AACTTCCAGGCCTTCTGCCGTGGCTTTTTGGCGCGTCGCAATTACCAGAAGCGCTTGCAGCAGCTAAACGCAATTCGCATCATCCAGCGGAACTGCGCCGCCTACCTCAAGCTCCGCAACTGGCAGTGGTGGCGTCTGTACACGAAGGTTAAGCCTCTGCTGGAGGTGACCAAGCAGGAGGAGAAGCTCGTGCAGAAGGAGGACGAGCTGAAGCAGGTGCGCGAAAAGCTGGACACGTTGGCCAAGAACACGCAGGAGTACGAGCGCAAGTACCAACAGGCTTTGGTTGAGAAGACCACTCTCGCTGAGCAGCTGCAAGCTGAGATCGAGCTGTGTGCCGAGGCCGAGGAGTCACGCTCACGGCTGATGGCGCGCAAACAGGAGCTGGAGGACATGATGCAGGAGCTGGAGACGCGGATCGAAGAAGAGGAGGAACGCGTCTTGGCCCTAGGTGGCGAGAAAAAGAAGCTCGAGCTGAACATCCAGGACCTTGAAGAGCAGCTGGAAGAAGAGGAGGCCGCCCGTCAGAAGTTGCAGTTGGAAAAGGTGCAGCTCGACGCCAAGATTAAGAAACACGAAGAAGATCTCGCCCTCACCGACGATCAGAACCAAAAACTGCTCAAGGAGAAGAAGCTACTGGAAGAGCGGGCCAACGACCTCTCCCAGACACTGGCCGAGGAGGAGGAGAAGGCCAAGCATTTGGCGAAGCTGAAGGCCAAGCACGAAGCCACCATTGCCGAACTCGAAGAACGCTTGCACAAGGATCAGCAGCAGCGGCAGGAGTCCGATCGATCCAAGCGCAAGATCGAGACAGAAGTGGCCGACCTCAAGGAACAGCTCAACGAGCGCCGCGTGCAGGTGGAGGAGATGCAGGCGCAGTTGGCCAAGCGCGAGGAGGAGCTCACCCAAACTCTGCTGCGCATTGACGAGGAGTCGGCAACCAAGGCCACCGCCCAAAAGGCTCAGCGCGAGCTGGAGTCGCAGCTGGCCGAGATCCAAGAGGATTTGGAGGCCGAAAAGGCAGCCCGTGCAAAGGCGGAGAAGGTGAGGCGCGATCTGAGCGAGGAACTCGAGGCCCTCAAGAACGAGTTGCTCGATTCCCTGGACACCACAGCCGGTAAGTAAACATATACATATATAAATCCGATTTATCAAAAGCTAATTAAAACATACGTATGACAAACAGCCCAGCAAGAATTGCGGTCTAAGCGCGAGCAGGAGTTGGCCACGCTAAAGAAGTCGCTCGAGGAGGAGACGGTTAATCACGAAGGCGTGTTGGCCGAGATGCGGCACAAGCATTCGCAGGAGCTGAACGGCATCAACGACCAGCTTGAGAACCTGCGCAAAGCGAAGACTGTGCTGGAGAAAGCCAAGGGCACCTTGGAGGCAGAGAACGCTGACCTGGCCACAGAACTGCGCAGTGTCAACAGCTCCCGGCAAGAGAACGATCGCCGTCGCAAGCAGGCCGAGTCACAGATTGCTGAGTTGCAGGTAAATGGTGGCAAAGCTAGGGTTTTTGGGTTTCAAATCCAGGAAGAATAGCTCATCTGTATATTGTATTCATAGGTGAAACTAGCTGAGATTGAACGCGCCCGCTCGGAACTGCAGGAGAAGTGCACGAAACTGCAGCAGGAGGCCGAGAACATTACAAACCAGCTGGAGGAGGCCGAGCTGAAGGCCTCGGCGGCCGTCAAGTCTGCCAGCAACATGGAATCGCAGCTCACCGAAGCCCAGCAGTTGCTGGAGGAGGAAACGCGCCAGAAGCTGGGCCTCAGCTCGAAGCTGCGACAAATCGAATCCGAAAAGGAGGCGCTACAGGAGCAGCTCGAGGAGGATGATGAAGCCAAGCGCAACTATGAGCGCAAGCTGGCTGAGGTCACAGCCCAAATGCAGGACATCAAGAAAAAAGCCGAGGAGGACGCGGATCTGGCTAAGGAACTGGAGGAGGGCAAGAAGCGACTCAACAAGGACATTGAGGCGTTGGAGCGACAGGTCAAGGAACTAATTGCCCAGAATGACCGCCTCGATAAGAGTAAAAAGAAGATTCAGTCGGAGCTGGAAGATGCCACCATCGAGCTGGAGGCGCAACGCACGAAGGTGAGTCTGTGGTTTCCCATCTGCAAAACGTTTGCTCATTCAAATAACTTTTCGGACTTAGGTGCTCGAATTGGAGAAGAAGCAAAAGAACTTCGACAAGATCCTTGCCGAGGAAAAAGCCATATCAGAGCAGATCGCCCAGGAGCGCGACACTGCCGAGCGGGAGGCGCGTGAAAAGGAGACCAAGGTGCTGTCGGTTTCCCGCGAGCTGGACGAAGCCTTCGACAAGATAGAAGACCTTGAAAACAAGCGCAAGACCCTCCAAAACGAACTCGATGACCTCGCCAACACACAGGGTACCGCCGACAAGAACGTCCACGAACTGGAGAAGGCGAAGCGTGCCCTTGAGTCCCAACTGGCCGAGCTGAAAGCACAAAACGAGGAGCTTGAAGACGATCTGCAGTTGACCGAAGATGCAAAGCTGCGCCTAGAGGTTAACATGCAGGCTCTGCGCTCCCAGTTCGAGCGCGACCTGCTCGCTAAGGAGGAGGGAGCCGAGGAAAAGCGACGCGGGCTCGTCAAGCAGCTACGGGATCTCGAAACCGAATTGGACGAGGAGCGCAAGCAGCGTACGGCCGCCGTGGCGGCAAAGAAGAAGCTGGAGGGTGACCTGAAGGAGATCGAGACCACCATGGAAATGCATAATAAGGTGAAGGAGGATGCCTTGAAGCACGCTAAGAAGCTGCAAGCACAAGTCAAAGATGCGCTGCGCGATGCAGAGGAGGCCAAGGCGGCTAAGGAGGAACTGCAGGCGCAGAGCAAAGAGGCCGAGCGCAAGGTCAAGGCCCTGGAGGCAGAAGTATTACAACTGACCGAGGACCTAGCCAGCTCAGAGAGGGCTCGCCGGGCTGCCGAAACGGAGCGGGACGAATTGGCCGAGGAAATCGCCAATAATGCCAACAAGGGCTCCTTGATGGTCGACGAGAAGCGCCGATTGGAAGCCCGCATCGCCACTCTCGAGGAGGAGCTGGAGGAGGAACAGTCCAACTCAGAGGTGCTTCTGGATCGCAGCCGCAAAGCGCAACTGCAAATTGAACAGTTGACCACCGAGCTGGCCAATGAGAAATCCAACTCTCAGAAGAACGAGAACGGCCGTGCCCTGCTGGAACGGCAGAACAAGGAGCTGAAGGCCAAGCTTGCCGAGATCGAGACGGCCCAGCGCACCAAGGTGAAGGCAACGATCGCCACGCTCGAGGCGAAGATTGCAAACCTCGAGGAGCAGCTAGAGAACGAGGGCAAGGAGCGGCTGGTGCAGCAAAAGACCAACCGCAAGATGGACAAGAAGATCAAGGAGCTTACGATGAACATCGAGGACGAACGGAGACATGTCGACCAGCACAAGGAGCAAATGGATAAGGTAAGTGGAAGCAGGTGAAGTCAAAGATCGGTATTTAAGTTATCTTTTTGTTTTAACAGCTGAATAGCCGCATCAAACTGCTCAAGCGCAACCTGGACGAGACTGAGGAGGAGCTGCAAAAGGAGAAGACACAGAAGCGCAAGTACCAGCGTGAGTGCGAGGATATGATTGAATCGCAGGAGACCATGAATCGTGAGATTAACTCACTCAAAACGAAACTTCGGTGAGTAGTGGCTCGTTGCGCCTAACTTTCCCTTTCATCGGGAGGAGATTGTCTGTAGGTGTCTCTTGGGGTCTTACTTTTGATTATTGTTTGCAATTTATCTTTGGTTCAAGCTCCATCCAAGTGGCCGAGACCGAAAAGGCCAAGGCGTATTCGCCCAAAAAGGATGCCGCACTCATTATGAATTGTGAGGGTCTGCATTAGGTTTCGTTTCGCTTCGTTTCCTTCTCGTAGGCTGTAAGTGCTGCTGTTGGCCGTGATCCTTAGAACCAGTTAATGTCAACTGAACACCCAGCATCCAACCAACGACTGCCTCTGCATGTTAGGAACAGAACACACCTTTGAGTCCAAACTCGCGAACTTGTTCCTTATTCCAAATTCCTCAATATAGTTCTTAGCCCTAAGTCCGTCCCAGACGTTCTAATTTGTCTTTTGCCCCTGCACTGCACGTTCACCCAAAAAAGATGAATCTACTGCAAAGCGAGCGGTTGATTAATAAAATGTATCTTCCCTTTCCTAGACGCACCGGCGGCATGGGTCTCAGCTCCAGCCGGCTCACGGGCACACCTTCATCGAAACGCGCCGTAGGAGGCGGGGGCGGCGGCGGTGACGACTCATCGGTGCAGGATGAATCATTAGATGGAGAGGATTCTGGCAATTGACGCGTTAATTATTAGATGAAGACACGGTTGAAGCGGATGAAGGAGGTAAAGATGAGGAGCAAAATAAACGAGTATATTTAATGTTTCTTTTATATAATTTCTCTGTTATTTTTTATATAAACTATTATACATACTTAAATTAAAACTTAAACAAACAAACCAACATTTTTATAACGACAAAACATAATCGTAAAACAAAAGCAATGTTGTAAAGCACTCTCCCACTCTATACGAAACATAAACACATGAATTTTGCTATTCCTCGAATGGCTGCGGACAAAAGCAGGCAACGAAATAAAATTAAGTTTATGCAACACAAAAACCAACCAAGAAACGTATTAACTTTGAACCACACAAACCCACATCATCGGGAGAGACGAATTCAACAGGACACTAATTATTTTCACATTTTAATAACCTAATATAGAACCCATAGAAGTACTCAATGCAATATGTAATTCATGCATTTAACAACTAAAAGGTTTTCAATCAGAAACAGATCAGAACAGAAAATCAAATGTTGAACACGCAACTAATATACGAATTTCGTTTTTGTTTAAAACTAAACAATAAAATATTTGCTACATAAAACTGATCTTTCTTTGGGTAGACCAATTGTATTATGAAGAAATGAATATGCAAGGAGCTTTTAAAGAAACAATTTTAAAGGTCGATAAAAAGTTTATTCAATTTTTACATATGTACATAGAATGACTACAGACTAAAGGTAACTGGCGACTCTTTGTTTAATAACTATCCTAAGATAAGCACTGACAAATTCGAAAATCTCACTGAAGTTCCCCCTACCCGCCCTGCACTAATCTAATGGCACTATTCGATCCTACGACCTACGTTGCTCGATGGCTGCTCCCCTCTTGCACAGGCAACGGCACAGGCATGTCGATGTGGTGCACCACCACGATTTCGCCGTTCAAGGCCTCCAGCTCTGCGGAGGACTTGTTCTCCTGGAGCTGCTCCTCCCGCCTGCTGTTCAGGTAGTACACCCCGGCCACGATCAGGCTGAACGATGTGACCGATACGAGCAGGGTGCCGTACTTGAGGCACTCCTGAATGGCATTCAGACCAAAGGTGCTTATGTACAGCGTTTGGAGGACCTGCTCCGAGAAGTCTCCCGAGGTGATCTCAATCCACATCAGCGGGAGAATGGTGGCGTTCTTCAGCCGTTCGCCCTGATCTGAAACAAGCAAATATTATGAGATAAGATTACGGGGACGAGGGAAACGAGAACCATCTTTGGCACTTACTTCGCAGGATTGGCGTCTTGTCCAACATGATGTTGATCTGGACACGGGAAGCTCCGCTAATAGGAAAGCCGAATCGAGGATGGATGTCGGCATAGGTCTGGTGGAGGTCTGCGTCTGGCTTGATGCCATCGAACTCCTCGTTAAGCACCGGGTCGCCCGTGAAGAAGTGCGGGAATGAGGGAAAGATTGGCGCGTCGCCGTAGCACTTGGTGGCGTTGATCACTCCACTGGGCAGGCAGAGCTCCGTGTTCTGGCAGTAGCAGCTGTTCGCTGGGTTTTCGGAGGGATGGGCGAACACGTCCATCGGTGTCCGGTAGCGCAGCACATCGATGTCGTTGTAGATGGTGACCTCCTTTTCGAAATGCAGCGGCACCTTGCGGCACAGCACCTGGAGGAACACGTTCACCGTACTGCGATCCTGCAGCAAATGCGGTGAGAACATTGACGGCTCGGAGCCGTCGATGCGGTTGCACTCCTCCCCCTCCCAGTAGTCCAGCTGGGGCATCCCATTGAACTGGGTAATGATGCTAAACTTGGTTATGTCGTCCTCTCCCGTGTTGAGCTGCACCGAATCCACGCTGGTGCCGTTCCGCTGGTGGAGAATCAGGGTTAACAACCTTTTACCTTACTGACCTTACTCCACTTACCGTCTGTAGGAGGCCAAATCGCCGCCTGCCTCTGCCCAGGGACTTCAACTTGATAATGCTGTCTTCATAGCCCCACAGGTAGTCGGAGACTGTGAGGTTTTTGAAGAGCGGCTCCTTGAACTGGGAGATAAAACCAAAGGCAACCAGGCGATCGAATGGCTTCATGCGCTTGACTGGTCCTGCGGCAGAAATCAGGGGCACATTGGGCACCCTGAGTACTTCGTGCTCCCCAACGGACGACTTCTCTGGCAGGAACTTGTAGGACTTGCGGTCCTGGAAAACCACGTTGTTAAGCCGATCAAAATAGTCGTGTTTAGAGCCGACTCACCCGGAAGCTAACCGTAAAGTTCTTGTTGAAGGACACTTCGTCTTTGATGGTGTGTTCCTGGTAGGTGATCGGCCCCACATCCACGACCTTTATTTTCTCGGCCCGCCCAGCCAAGTACTCATCGATGTTGGGATAGTGGAAGATGTGCGCCTTCAGTAACGTATCGTACTTGGGGTCGGGATTCAACCAACTTTTGGCGGTATCCGAGTTTTCGGCGAGAACCAATTGCTGTAGAAAAGTGAGATAGGGAAGTCTGTGCGAATACGAATGAATCAACTCACCTCCAGCATGGTGTTGTTATAGTACTCCGTGAACCACATTACGAAGAATCCGGTCACGCCGATTACAAAGAGCAAGAACATTACGCCAAGCACTGAAAAGTCAAAGCGGATTAAGCGAGCTTGCTTGGCTTTTCCGAGTGCTCTACTCACTTATCAGTGTGGCGATATCCTTGGACGTTGGCTCGCGGTTTTGCGCCTGATTGCGCAGCCCCAAGGCCTCCAGTATCATCTGCAGCACAGTGGGCTTCTCGGGTCCGGTCGACATGACGTAGCCTCCGAAGTTTCCCGTGCCCACTCCGCTCCGAGTGGAGTTCAGTGTGAGGGACTTTGTTATGTGTGGGGGCACCGGCCGATCGGACTCCTGCCTATGAGGCGAGGCTACCTCAGGTTCTGCGACGCGGGACATGTCCTGTGGCTGTGGGGGGTTGACAATCTGTCGTGGGTGGCTGAAAATATGTTGTAACTGTTTAAATGACTTGCTCTTATCATGCCCTTGTTACTTTGTTGTGCCCACAACCCTGAACCTATTTGTAATGCTTCGTGGCCTAGGCATCGAGTTGGTTGCAAATCCGAACCTTTTCATTCATGTTTCAATATAGAATGTTATCTTTATAAAGGCGAAACACGTGGCCCAAAGTGATCTGTTTGGCATGATTATAAGCTTATCAGGCTGGACTCCACGTATTTAGTAACTGGGGGTTCATTGAACACATAAGTGGGAAAAGGCACTCCTTCTTAGAACAATTAGTTTTTGACTTAATTAATACTAAATACTACCGTTTGTTGTATTGTATAATTGTCACTTTAATGGACAACTATTTAGTCATTAAATCTTTAGTCTTTAAGAAAAGTTCAATCCTTCGCGACGAACGAATTTAACCATGCGCTTACAGATGTGCTCGCGAACTAATCGGCGTTTCGATTCCAAGTGCCTTTGTTGGTCCGGCGATGGATCGGCCCGTGCTGAATTCAAAGTTCGTTTGAATCTACTTAATTCTTATCAGCAGCTCCTATAGTCTATATGCTTGGTATTTACTTACTAGCCATTAATTCATTAATCAACACATGAATATATGTATGTACATGCTTAGAGTTGAGCTTTGCCAACTATGGGGTATGTTCGGATTCGCCAACTTTGAAATCGGGTCACCGACAGGCTATAATCTGATCGTTGAAATTTTCCGATGTCCGCTCGATCTTGAACCAGAACAGGAATTTTGCAAACGATTGAGCTGATAACTACAATCTGTCTACTTTCGGTAACAGGTTCATTACTCTAAAAAGATTTATTCCAGCTCGGCTACCTGCATCCCCCTGAATATCGTAACTAGCTAATGAAAACTATTACAGGAACAAAGTCCTTTTTAATGCTAACAATTTTTAAATGTGCTTCCTGGATGCTTCTCCACTTCACTTACCCTTGGAGGGCCTTCGATCGCTTCAGCTGAAGACGTCTTTCCGAGGGTTTCGTCAGTTACAGCAAGTGGCGCTGACTGATAACGTGATGTGGGGTTACCAGGGGATTGGCGGAAGAGAGAGCTCGCGACGTGACGGAGAGGCGGAGGAGAGCGCGATCTCGCGACCAGCGTGCACTTGAAATGAGCTCCGCGGCACCAGCTGATTTTCAGGGGGGCAACGCAGGCGTGCGCGCTACGGTGGAAACGGAACCGCTCTCCCAGAGACCAACTGCACCCACACGCTTATCTGTCGCTCTCTCTCTCGCGCGCTGTTTACTCGGCTCCCCGCTTTGCACTTTCGACGACTGCCAAACATTTGGCGTCTTAATTAACAATTTCGTCGTGTTTACGCTGCCTGCGCTTCACTTTATTGGTGGTTCTCTTCGGGGCCTCCCGACCCGCTCCCCTACGATCGATGCTCCTGCGACGGGCACTACCTATGCTCTGTATCTATGTTGCGACCGACCCGCTTTGTATCTGTATCTCTATCTGCATCTGCATGGGGCATCTGGCGCTGCTGTATCTGTGTCTCTCTGCTCCGTTCTTTCTGTGCCTTGTGTTCTTTGTTCGCCTGCTTCTTTGTTTTGTAGCCGTCTCTTTTGTGGACCCGATCGCACTGGCTCTTGTCTCGATCTACGTAGCTGCAGCTGGATGAAGTCGTTGTTGTCGCTGCCTCCCGTTGTTGTTGTTGTGGCTTTAGCTAAAGGTAGAGCTATAGCTGCTGCTGGAGCTTGCGCTCGAGCTGGTTTTCCGCCCGAGCTGCACTTTCCTGCCCAGCTGAGCGGCTCCGTATCTGGAGTGCCTAGTTTCCTAGCTTCCCAGGCCACTCCAAGCGAGCAGCGAACAGCAGCAATTAAAGACGGAGACGGACTGCCTTGCGGAATTTGTTTATCTGGAGTCGAAGTGTGAGTGTGGCCCACTGCCACCGGTTGATGTTGCTGGGTTGCCGCGATTAGCTACATGCTCGCAACTGCCCACGCATTATCTGCCTGCAGGGCAACCCTACCGAGCCGATTAGATTTCGCCCGTTTCGCGCCGATCTTCGCGGGATTAGAGAGCGGGCTGGAACTGGAACTGGCACTGGCACTGGCACTTCCACTGACACTGGCACTGGTTCTGCGCTGGACTGGACTGGACGACGGTGCGTACTGGCCGCAAAACAAGTTATTACTACGACGTCGGAATCGGACGGAATCAGTGCGAGCTGGCTGCGCCGGCAGCGCAGTAGCTCCTCCTTCCTCATTCTCCGCTGCGCAGTAGCGTCGCTGCCTCTGCTCTGTCCGCTCTGCTCAACTCTGCCTCGACCGCAGTGATAAGCGGTCGGGGTGGTCAGCTACGATTCGTGATAACCGCTGGACGGCGCTGGCGCTTGCGCTTACGCCGACTGCGCTGCCCGAAAATCGGGACCTCTTGTTTACTACGTAGCAGCTTTGTGCGTGCGCGCGGGACAAAGTGCAAACTGGATCGTCGATCGTCGCGGAGACAAAGAAGCCACTCGGCGCGGAGATAGATGGAGAAAGATGCAGCACAGCCAGCTGCTCGTTCCGCTCCAGCTTCGTTTGCGCATCATTATTATCGAGTTAGGCTCGCCCGCCGATTTTGGGGGGAGGGGGGTCCACAAACAGGCTTTGTTGGCAGAACATCTTCTTTTGAACTGATGAAATTGAAACGTAGAAGGGCTTGTTAGCCGGGGGAGTAAACAAAACATTGATAGTATAATAGCATTGGCTTAATGAATACGTATAAAATCAAAAATAAACAACATCATTAATAACAAAAAAATTCCGAGATTCGGAACCACTTATCAATGGAATTGCTCCTACAACATTTATAATACATTTTCTCCCTTTTCGGCACACTGATTCTAGAAGCTTTTGTGCGATGGCTTCTGGTTTCCCCACCCACAGCCTATTTATAGGTGTGCGCTGCCTCCCAAAACAATTTAATTATCACTTAAGTACTTGAGCACCGTTCTCCCATGGGCCTGCATTTGGTTTACCCAAGCAATTATCGGGGGAGATGCACAGGCAATCCGCTAAGTGCAGGCGATCCGAAGGTGGCCCCTCGTGTTCTGATTTCGTTTCGCAACTTTCGCCTTGGAAGTATTTAAACTGGCTTATCCCCAGTTCTTGGAGTCGCAGAAAGGCCGGAAGATAAAGTACCCCCGCCAGGGCTGTGCTATTGAACCCCAGCGAGTGTGCTCAGCATTTGCTAGTTATCAGTTCCGTCAAGAGCTTACAACAATCCGCCGTTTCGAGCTCTCCCCGCCGGAGTCCCCGCCTAGTGGCCCCCGCCCCACCATCGGGTTTCGCATCAGCGCGGCTGATAGCCCCTGAACTTTTTGTTTTCCCCCGAACGGATGACGCGAATGGGACTGCGGCAGCTCGATCTGTCGTGCCAGTTAATAGCCTCCCAATACTGCTGAGCTGCCTGAAGTGCGTACCTGAGCACCCCCCTTGGGACCTGAGCTCCAAAGTGCACATTGTTGGGCTGACAGCGTAAGTGGCCTAACTCACTGAAGATTGTTAGGATCTCGCTCAGCTGCCCGTTCAGATCGTGAAAATGAGTGGGGCCATTATCTGCTAGTGCCCAGTTCCTCGACGACCGCTTACAGGAGCCTTATCACTGGGTCGGGCTTCCTATCATCAACCTGGTTGCCGGGCAGTCAAGTGCCAAACACTTCCCGAACTCTCACAAACATCAGCTTTCAACCCGACGACTGTGGAAATCGAGCGGTTCCGAAGGCGCCTCCACACACACATTCCCGCTCACCTTAATGGAACTGGATCGTTGGCCATGCAGGTGGCCAACATTCTGCATAGTAAGTCCGAAACCTTGAACGAGATCGAGTTTGACACTGCTTTAGGGGCCTAGGTGGGCCAACTGATGACACGCCACGCAGCCAAATTAACATATGCGTATGCGGCGTTGTTGTCGCCGTGTTTCTGCTATTATTTATTGCATCATTTAAAGCAACAAGTGCGCCATTTCGTACGGCAGTTTACATAAACAGAAAGGTCGCATGCAACCCGGTTAGCCTTATTGACATGCAAACTCGCCGCCAAGTCAAGCTTCGGATACGGGTCGCCAGTTGGCCGAGTGTGTGTGGTTGGACTTGGCGTGGAATGTCACGAACTTTTTCGGCCAGAGCCACTGCTCAGCTTATCTAGAATTGTGAATTATGTAGGATGGGGCAGAGATGATAGGGAAAGTCAGCTGTTTCAACGGTTAAAAATCATCATGTTGATAATCAACTTAAAGATTGTCTCATTGTCCGATATGTATCAGTCGTCATTATAACTAAAAGTGAAGAGGAAAAATATTTTATAAAAATTGTAGAAAAACTATTTATTGCCGAAGTTTATATACCCGTGCAGGCCTTAAATATGTCGAACAAACCACATTAAGCTATGTCGATTTTTCTATTAAGTTTCTACATTTTTAACGATATGACAGCTATATGCTATAGTCCTCAGATTTTTATCAAAATTGATTCGAAATTCGAGAATCATTAGAAAACTCTACATTCCAAAAATTATGCTTGTTTTGATAAAAAACAACAATGGTATAATTTTTTCCAAAAAAAATTGCATAAAATCATTAAAAAAGCTTTGTTTTTTGTCTATATCTCTATAAATACTGAGCTAAATATTAAATGTCATGTACCGATGAATTCGTAATACAATTCTGAATAACACCTAAAATTGTTGAAATTTGGCGTTCCAAAAATGCGAAAATGGGGAGAAAATGATTTTTTTTAATCATCCAAATAGTGATAGGGCTGGTTAACTTTGGTCATAAGGTGCTCAAACCCGTGTTTGCTTCCGCTGTATGTCAATATTTGGCCATATTACAACCAAAAAACCCGTAAAAATATAGTGTTTTTTACTAAAATTGTCAACTATTCTTTTCCAAATCAGTTTTTTTCAACTAACTAAAGGATAAGTAAAGTGACAATTAAATTACATTCGGTGGCATAGATAGTTGGGCTTCTCTGATTTCCAAAACTATACTTTGTTTGGCTGTAATTTGTTTTCTTGATTCAAGAATTATTAAAAAACTACATATTTTTTCCATTATTTATATTTTTTGATCCTTCCTATGGCAGCTATATCATATAGTCAACCGGTTTTGATCCAATTTAATTCGAAATTCGATAGCAGTTTTTTGTTCGATCTCTCGTATGGGAGCTATCCGATATAGTCACCCGATCCGCCCCGTTCCGACTTATATAAAACGTGAAAAAACTACACAACTTTTGGTAAAGTTCCAGCAAATTAGCTTTAAAACTAATTTAGAATCAGACATACGGACAGACGTATTTCGTATTCGGATTGTGATGCTGATCAAGAATATATATAATAATATATAAACTCTGATTCACCTGGGAAAGTATTTCACCTGCTTACCCAGAACTTCAGTTGTGGAAATAAAAGCAGCTGGGCAATTCCTTGAATAGCGTTAGTGCCATTGATTTCCCCAAGCTGATTTGTTAGGCAAATGCAGCGAGTTTCTGTTGCTGCTGTTTCCACAGCTGGGTTGGCGGACTTCCCGAACCCGATTACGCCCAGCCTGGCTGTTTGGCAATGCTTCGATTCTGAGTAGGCAGCACGGGCCTTTCGCAATGCGGCACAAAGCTCCTTTGGCAATAACAATAATTTGCGATCGCCGGAGCCGTCAGCTTTGCATACATTCTTTGGCTGCAACCTGTCGTCGCTCGCTGGCAAGTGGATGCGGTGGTGCTGGGTTTGGCAACCACCCGTGAGTCACTTGCCACAGCAACCAACAACTAACCAGCGACCACGAGAAAAGCAGCAGCAGTGGCTCATATCATAATCGCAGCTGGTGGACGAGTGTTAGTGAGGCAATCAATGGGATTTTCGGAGTGAGCAGCATAAACGGAACGCGCAACGCAACGCAACGCAACAAAACTAAACGAAACGAAAGACTTCAATGCAAGGCAACAAACTTGTTTATCGGCCTGGGCCAAACTCCAAAACAGCGGCCGCCGCATGGGCCGCCTCACCCGATTCCTCAGCCGATGCCCAAGCCGATGCCGATGCCTAAGCCGCTGCCTGAGCCGATGCCGATCCGCCCGAGCTTCGATCGCATGCGCTGCATTAAGCAAAGCTCCCGCTCGCTGGCTTACTCTCGCTTTTGCTACCTGCCAACTGGCGACGGGCGACGGACTGTGGTGGTGGGCTGTGGTGCGGTCTGCCTACCTGTTTATCAGGTTTCTGAGTTTCGCTTTGTCGCAACGCCACGCGAAGCGAGCTTCTGGCTCTGGCCGAGCTTTCGCCGCCTGAACATCTTACGTTGGGGGGCCACTCCAAGACGGCGACTTCAGTTACTCGGCGGCACTGCTAGCGATCGAGACGTTTACGTTTTCCGGCGGTTGCTCCACATTCCCTGCTCACCGTTCGCCGTTCGCCGTTCGCCGCTCACTGTTCGCTGTTCCCTGTTCACCGTTCTTCGTTCACCGTCCACCGATCGCTGATAGCCGTTCACCGTTCATTGTGCACCTTCCACGCTCCAGTCCGGGTCCAAGATTCTCGGCTTGCACATCGATCGGACCGCCGCCAGTCCGTGTAACCGCCGATCCCAGTGTGAGTGAGTGAGTTAGTGAGTGAGTGAGTGTGGCCTGGCCACTTGGCAGTGCCTTCGAAACCTGCCGCACCAGGTAGCAGCCACGCGCTGTGGCAGCCAGCGAGCAGCGATCAAGAGTGCTGGGGCAGCAGTCGCATTCCTGGGCGCCGCCGGACTGCAGCCGGAGTTCGATTGCCGTCTCCGGCCGATCGGAGGCAAGCCCTTGGCCCCAGCAGCAGCAGTCGCGTCCCTGCCCCCCACTGCGACTCTTGTTGCCACTGCCACTGCGACTGCGAATGCGACTGCTAAAGCGACTTCAATCGGAGCGCTGGTTGAGCAAGACCTTGCCCAGTCAGCCAAAATGAAACCACTTCGACAGCGAGTTCGCTTGGCAGCGCTCAAAAGCGGAAAATCATTGAATTATGCTTTGGGGGCTTCGGTCTTGTTTTTGTTTGTGTTTCTGTGCTGCCTCCGCGGCTAAACGCCGTCCGCGGCCCTGCCAAAAGCGCATTTGATGTACGTGCATAGTTTTATGATTACTTGTGTGGAAAAAGTGAAATTTCGCTCTGCACTCCACTCGATCTGCCACGAAGCAGCGGCTCAAAGCGGCGTTAAGTAAAAAGTTAGCCAAAACACACATCCACGATGAGTCGCGAGATCCGAGATCCGAAATTAAGCATGCGCAGGCAAGAAACCCTAAGATAAATACTCGTAAATAAATAAATAGAGGGCCCGCAAGCTTTTGACCACATAACGATGACGATTATGCGAAGGTTGCAGCAGCCCGGCCAAGAGCTTTGGGCCATCTTCATCGCCTCGTTTGGTTGGCCGCTGTGGCCAGTTGGTCATAAAGTTGAGGTGACAGTGGCCTGGCTTTGTCTCCGCCTGCTGTTGACACATTTCACTGCGAAAGCAGCCGCGATCAAGACGCTGCCCCTGCACCTCCCCTCCGGCGAACTGACCCACTGCGGGTCCAAGATGAGCCACTCCAGGCCGCACATGTCTGTCACGCCATCGGCGACGACTCCGCGCTGTTTAGGGCCCCAATTGGAAACACATTTCGTTGCGTATCAGCAAATGCAGCCCGGGCACGACAAACTGGCAGGTGAATTGCCGCTTTTTCGGACGGTCAGTGTCACAGTAGCCATAATCAGCGACAGTCAAGGCTTATGGGGAATCAAAGCCGCAAATACCCTCTAAAACGACTCGCTATCAAGCCAGGTTCAAGTTTTCACTGAAGTGGCTGAGGTTCATCCCTCATAAAATCTAAAATTCCGGAGTCGATAGATGCAAGCGTCTTGTAGATAATGAAACAATCATTCCAGAAACATCCTCCAACCCATAGAAAAATGACCAATTTCAAACTAGCACTGGTTTCTTGACAACCATCACAGTTGGTGGGTCGACCAGCCGTGATACCCTTCGCTAGGGTACCAGATCCCAAATTGGGTCAGGGTAATTGCTTACACTAAATAGCTACTACCGCTTGTGGTTGTTGTTGTTGTTGTTGTTATTATTGTTGTTGTTGTTGCGGCTTTGTGCAACACTTAAACGCAGTGAAATTGTAAGACGGCTCAGCCCGATCTGCGATCTCTGCGCCACCAAGCCGATCAGAGCAAGCGGCGGATGTCTTCACCGCGATTCCGCTTTCAGTTCAATTCATACAAAACGTGTGTTTAGAAAGTAAGTTTCTATTGAAGTTTGGATTCTGGCCAGTCAGGCAGTCAGGCTGCCAGCCAGCCAGCTGCTAATTGAACGGCCCCAACAAGTGAAACCAAAAATAAACGAAACTATTACATCAGCTATCGCATTTCGTTGGAATGCCGAAAAGCCAGGCGTTATTTGCGGCAAGGTGTTGTTGTTGTTGCACCGGACTGCCGCCTCTGGTCTGGAGTGGAGTTTCGCATTCGCCGGATTTGCATTTGCATTCGGAGTTTGATAAGAGCGGCTCAAGTTCTGGAGTAAGCGTAAACAGTTGTCCGCGTTGAGTCACTCCAGTGCGCCAGGGGTCTGGGCAAACACTTGCACCGACTACTCAGATCCCGGGCAGTGAGCAATCCGAAGGGTCGGACCAAAGCCACCCAGTGGGCCGTGAACGCAGATGCCAATTAGCAGGCAAACAAACGGCCGAGAGTCGAGAGTTGAGAATATGGGGCCCCGTCCCCGAATATCGAATCACTGATTGATGGCCTAGCTAAGCGATCGTCGCCGAAAATTCATTTGAGGTGAAATAATTATTGTTTAATTAGTATTCAATGGTCGTCGGCAGCGGCGATGCCAACAATGGTGGATCCGACGCCCTGCTCAATGAGCCAGCCAGCCAGGCATTTGAGCCAGCTTGAGCTCGGCGAGCTTCGCGGAGTCGGAGGCGGCGGCAGCGGCGTAGAAGTGCGACCTTGTGGCGCTCCGAAAGCGCAGTAAACTCGGCAAATAATAAACTTCGCGGCTGTGTGTGTGTGTTGATAGGGTAGAGCGAACTCAAAGTACAAAGTTTAACGCTTTTAGCTGAAACGACGGAGAAGCCATAAAGCCCCTGGCCATTTCCGCGGGCATCCAAGAATCGGAGTCCGATTATCGCAGCTCGTTCTCGGAGGGGCGGACGTGCCGTAGGCTCCATCTGGAGTTGGACCATCCCACCGCCCCGATAAGCGGCCGTTTGTATGCAATTCGCCTCAAATCGAACCCAAGTGAGCCGCAATTAAAGCGCTTCTATTGTCTCCGGCCGTGCGACGCCTGCGAATGGCCCTCTGGCCATTAGCCGAAATCCATTTGGCCCCTCTTATGCGCTTTGTTATACCCTTGCAGAGCAAAAGGGTATTATAATTTCAGTCAGAAGTTTGCAACGCAGTGAAGGAGACACCTCAGACCCCATAAAGTATATATATTCTTGATCAGCATCACCATCTGAATCGAAATATGTATGTACGTCTGTCCGTCTGTCCGTCTGTCCGTCGGTCCGTCTGTCCGTCTGTCCGTCTGTCCGTCTGTCCGTCTGTCTGTTTCTATGTAAACTAGTCTCTCAGTTTTAAAGCTATCTTGCTGAAACTTTCCCAAAAGTTGTGTAGCTATTGCACGCAGTATATATGTCGGAACGGGCCGGATCGGCCGACTATATCGGATAGCTCCCATACGAGAGAATGAAATAAAAAATTCTCACGCCGTTGTTTTTGATCAGATCGACTTGAATTCTTCAAGATGCCGTTTTCTAACTACTATTGAATTTCGGTTTAAATTTGATCAAAATCGGATAACTCTATCATATAGCTGCCATAGGTGAGATCGAAAAATATATATAGAATTAATGGAAATAAATTGATAACATCGTTGTTTTTTATCCTACGAGCATGATTTTTTGAATATCAAGTTTTTTAACTACTCTTATATTGATAAAAAAATTTCATAAAAATCGGACAACTATATCTTATAGCTGCCATAGGAAAGATCGGAAAATCTATATTGAAATAACAGAAATAAAATTATAACATCGTTGTTTTTCATCAGGCAAGTATGGTTTTTGGAATATAGAGTTTTGTTACGATTCTTGAATTACGAATTAAATTTGAACAAAATCGGACAACTATATCATATAGCTCCCATATAGTCGAAAATATGGAAAATGAATAGAAAAATCGTCATAGCTTCGATGTTGTTAGGCCTTATGCATTTTGTTCGACATATTTGAGATCTGCAAGGGTATATAAGCTTCGGCTTGCCGAAGCTAGCTTCCTTTCTTGTTTGTTATTTATTTCGGCTCCGTTTATGAATATGAATAATGGCAGACGCGCTCCGCCTGGAAATGTCGATAGTAAAACGTTTTGCTCTACGCACGAAGCAGCCAAGTGCCTGATGTATGGTTGCGATTGCGATTGCGCAGCAGTCAAGGTCTTCGGGTTAGAGCCTGTCGGCCCATTAAAAAGCGCTTAATGGCCCAAGGTCCGCCTGCCAGGAAGGGCGCACCAAGAGCGCCGAGTCGAAGGTTCTGGAGTCGGCCCCAGATCGGCTTTTCGCCATTGTGCTGTGGCAAATCAGCTTTCGGCCGAATCGCTCGCACAGCCACAACGCGATGTCAAAAGAGCTCAAGGCTGCACGCCCCAAAACGTGTCTGGGGCCTCTGCATCTCTGAGTTCTGGTGGCAGAGTGGGAAAAGAAAGAGTGCGGGTAGAGGGGGTGATCATGGGAGCCAATGTCGCACAGCGCACTGATCGAGATGTGGTATTGAATGATTACTTTCCTGTTTATCTGGCTGCCACTGGCAATTAGAGATTAACGAGTCGCGACTACGATTCAACCGGTATTCCGGCTAGTCCGTCCATGTATCTCTAGGTCTCCGTGGAAACAAAGCGATTTGGTATTCATATAATTTTGATTTGCATTTTAGTTAACAACTGCAAGGCGGTCTGCTATCGACTACCAGCCCGACCGCCCCAAACATCGAGTGCGTCAACATGAACGGCCCTAAGCACAAGTTTTGCACAAAGCTCTCGAGCACCTATCTAAGAAAATGGTGTAAGTATTCCCCTGCTAGATAAGCCTGAGTGTTAAGCCTTAGCATATAATTGGATAACTGCACCACACTTTTCCCATGGAATCGCAAATACATCATATACTCTATCGAGTTCCAAAATTCCACGTGCCTCGCTCTGCTCTTGAAGTTATTTGTCCGATTTGTCCGACTGGTTAGACTGGTATGCGAGTGGAAGCGTTGTTTATTATTATTATAAATTACGTATGGTATGGATTGGATGTCCGATAACTTCCTAGTTACCCTAGCTACCTTTGCTAGTTACTCCCCACTTATGACATGTACATTCCGTGCCGTAACCTTCCAGAGGTCTTCTGCCAGGGATACTCCGGATCCGGTTATAGTTCTAAGTAGACTTTCCAGTTCTATAATTCGCTTGCAATTACTCAATCAGAACTAATTGGGCGTATTTATAGATAATAGGCTATCTCAGAACCGATAGTTAAAGGTCAAAGGGTAAGTGATTCACTCGATATGTTCGATCGGCGCTGTATAAATATTTATGTCGCACATCCAGTGGATGCAGCCGAGCCCATCCAATACCAAGTGACTCATCCCAATCACCCAGTAATTTATGCGTGCGGTGAACAATTGCTGAACAATCCGATTTGATTTCGCAGGGATCACGATCGTCATAGCGGCGACGCTGATAATTGGCGGCATTGTGGTGGCCTGTGAGTTCTCCGTGCTGATCGACGCAGTCGTGGACCGCATGGTGGCCCTGCGTCCCGGAGCCAAGACCTTCGGCTGGTGGGCCAAGCCGCCGGTGGAGCCGAGGATCAGTCTGTACATCTACAACGTGACCAACGCCGACGACTTCCTCAGCAACGGCTCCAAGGCCATTGTCGACGAGGTGGGGCCCTACGTCTACAGGTAGGTGGTCTCGCCCTCATCCGACACGACACCCTCTCATCCGACACCCTCTCATCCGATCCCCTCTCAAACGATACCCCGCAGTGAGACCTGGGAGAAGGTGAACATCGTGGAGAACGACAATGGCACGCTGAGCTACAACCTGCGCAAGATCTACTCCTTCCGCGAGGACCTCTCCGTGGGCCCAGAGGACGACGTGGTGATCGTGCCCAACATCCCCATGCTGAGTGCCACCTCGCAGAGCAAGCACGCCGCCAGGTGAGTGACCCACTGATCCCCCCTCTGAGTAGGAGTTGTGGCTAACAACGCGCTTCCCGCTTCCCCCGTTCGAGTTCAGGTTCCTGCGTTTGGCCATGGCCAGCATCATGGACATCCTGAAGATCAAGCCCTTCGTCCAGGTGTCCGTGGGCCAGCTGCTCTGGGGCTACGAGGACCCGCTGCTCAAGCTGGCCAAGGACGTGGTGCCCAAGGAGCAGAAGCTGCCCTACGAGGAGTTCGGTCTGCTGTACGGCAAGAACGGCACCTCCTCCGACCGCGTCACCGTCAACACCGGCGTGGACAACATCGAGCGGTACGGCATCATCGACAACTTCAACGGGCGCACCCACCTGCCCCACTGGACCACCGATACGTGCAACTCGCTGGCGGGCACCGACGGCTCCATCTTCCCCCGCACATCGACCACGACCGCATCCTGTACGTGTACGACAAGGACCTGTGCCGCCTGCTGCCGCTGGTGTTCGAGCAGGAGGTGATGACCGCCAACGAAGTGCCCGGCTACCGCTTCACCCCGCCGGAGTGGGTCTTCGCCGACGTGGACCGCCACCCGGACAACATGTGCTTCTGCCCCGCCGGCAAGCCCTCTTGCTCCCCCAACGGACTCTTCAACGTCTCCCTGTGCCAGTACGGTAAGTACTCGGAAAAGCTCTTTCCGATAATTGCTAACCACGAGGTGCTCCGCAGACTCCCCGATCATGCTCAGCTTCCCGCACTTCTACCTGGCCGACGACAGCCTGCGGACGCAAGTGGAGGGCATCTCGCCGCCCATGAAGGAAAAGCACCAGTTCTTCTTCGACGTCCAGCCCGTAAGACCCAACTCCCCATCCCGCCCGTTTCGAGTCTCTAATCCTCTGTGTCCACAGAAAATGGGAACCACTCTGCGCGTGCGCGCCCGCATCCAGATCAACTTGGCCGTCAGCCAGGTGTTCGACATCAAGCAGGTGGCCAACTTCCCCGACATCATCTTCCCCATCCTCTGGTTCGAGGAGGGCATCGACCGCCTGCCCAACGAGGTCACCGACCTGATGCGCTTCGCCGAGCAGGTGCCGCCCAAGATCCGCGTGGCGCTCATCGTGGGCCTGTGCACCCTGGGCGCGATCCTGCTGCTGCTGTCGACCTTCTGCCTGATCCGCAACTCGCACCGGCAGAGCACCCTGCACCTGGAGGGCTCCAACTACCTGGCCACCGCCCAGGTGGACATGAACAAGAAGCAGAACAAGGATAACCAACCCGCCAGATACTAGGCGCTCTAGTCGGGATCTGGTCGCAGTCCGAGGGTCTCTGGGTGTCTTAGATTAGGTTAAGAGTTAGCTAGGAGCTGGAACCCACTTCCACCCACTTCACCCAATCCCAATCACCCATCCCAACCCATCCCAATTAACCCATCCCATCCCCGAAGTGGAATGTGCGTCTCTGTAGTTTAGCTGAAATGGAGCTGGGAAGACTTGTATGTATTGTATGTGTATCTGTATCTGTATCTGTATCTGTATCTGTATCTATTGTATTGTATGTAGGTTACCTTTGTAAGTAAGCGTTATGAAAATTTTGAAGCGTAGCCTTACGAAGCAGTCGTGATCGCTTAAAGGCTCAAAGCTTCGACTTAGAACTCGATTTGTTATACCAAAACAGAAGCCGATCCCACACCTGCTTGCTACCCTGTTGAAATTGAAATTTTATGTCCAGACATTCCAGTCACAAAAGTGGAAACGTTTCTCAAATAAAGCCAAGTTCAGTCCTCGAATAGCAATGTGCCTCATTAGACAAAATGCGATACAAACTTGGCGAAGAAAATGTCTATTGCAAATAATGTGTACCATAAACAACGATATTGTTTCAATTATCCAACCACAATCCATATATGCTTCGAAAGCTTGATAATGATTGGAATTGAAGGTTATCCTTAAATACACTAAATTAATTCGCAATTATAGTATACTTCTGCAAACATTTCTTTGCCAATAAGTTTTTCTGGTGGGTTTGTTAATATTGTGGAATGGAATTTTTATACAAACGAATATCAAGTATCCGACAAAACGTGGATTGAACTTCTTAATATAGTATTTGGCGGGATCTTGTCACTTGAGCAATTTTCAAGTAGGTGATATAGCTGCAGTAATTTGATTCGACTTCCCAAAAGTATGCAATCTTAAACTTGTGGTTCCAAGAAAAGTGAATCTGGTGATGACTATCATTTACATTAAAACGTTTGCAGGTATTTTTCAGAGTTCACAATGGCGCAATAAGGCATTAGATGCAAACGAGATTCTAGTTTCTGTGTGATCAGGGCTTTTAAGTATATATTAATATACATAGTATCATAAGGTTACAGGTTAGCGATCAATTGAACCAACTAAATACTAGGACCCCCAGGGCCCGTTATCACCGTTCAAAACTTTCAGTGGTTTCATTACGAACTTGTCCTCGAACCTTGAAAGTGGACATTTGGTCCAGACCGGATTTGGCAGAAGAGGCTATTAATACGTCTATTAATACGCTCTGCCGAGCTTGGACAAGACCAGACAGCCGAGCTGAGTCCAGACTTTAATGGCAAGTCATTTGTTTCGCTGCACGTTTGACTGCCGGAGACACTGATAAGAGCCACTGCTCTGTCTGTTCCTGATAAGGCAACCCAAGCCGGACCCAGGACAAAGCCTCCACTCGGCTGCAGGCCGTCCCCACCTGCTGCTCCATGGGGTCAGCCGAGCGATATCCCGCCCGGGGGGGTCCGACCTGCCCAAAATGGAGGGCGGTGCAGTGCAGTGCTCGGAGGAGCCGTGCCCATTCTGCACATCGGAGTCTGGCCTGCAGCAGATGATGATGGTTCGATAGATATAGGTATTTGGAAGTGCCTAATGCCTATGCTCGGATCAGAGGTCAGGCGTTATCGCTGTTATTCCCCTGAGTCGGCTGAATCTGCTATCGGGGCTCGGTGATAACCTTTCTGTTATTTGGTTTTATAAACATTGCGATTCGAACCGAATCAAATGAATCAAATGAGGCAAGAAGAGCAGGAGGCGTGATAAGTGATTGTAGGGCGCTCGCCGTTAGCGCTTAGAACTCGACTCAAACGGATCGCGTGTTTCCTCCCGGCCGGACGCGAATCACTCTCGACTTGGAGCTCGTTCCGCCAAACCCGCCACTAGTGACGAAATGAGGACTGTTCAGTGGGTGAAGGTAGTGCTCTGCCTGGTCCTCGCGGCCCTGAATGTCTACCTGTTCGCGGTGTCCTGCTCCGTGCACTACCCCACTCTCGTGGCCAGGGAGCACGTGCGCTTCCGTCAGGAGATGCCCACCATGGACAGCTGGATAAACTCGCCGTTCGGCAAGCTGAAGAACTACGTCTTCAACGTGACCAACGCCGAGGAGTTCTGGAGTGGCCGCGACTCGCGGCTCAAGGTGCAGGAGATCGGACCCATCGTGTACCGGATCGTCGGCTACAACGACATTCTGGAGCGGAACGAGAGCTTCGTGAAGTACCGCAAGCACCGCTACCGCGTGGTGGAGTTCCTGCCGGAGGAGAGCGTGGCCCCCGACGTCCTCAACTGGACCATCACCTCCACCAACAACGTGTTGCTGGGCGCGGCCGCGAAGCTCAGCCACGACAGCTTCCTTGCGCTCTTTGGCTTCGACGCCATCGCTAGGCTCGATGACATTTTCATCACCGACAGCGTGTACTACTTCCTGTGGGAGTTCACTCGTCCGCTGCTGCAGGCGATCTCCAAGGTGTCCTTCCTGCGGTCCAACGTCGCCGTGCTCCACAACGTAAGTGCTAGCCGACTGTCCGCGTTCCGCGCTCTGCGTTCCCAACTCAAATCTCCCCGCAGGCTCTCCAGGAGAAGGAGGAGGTCTACACGGTGAACATCGGCCCGAAGCGCGGGCTCGACAACTTCTTCCGCATCGAGACGCTCAACGACGAGGTCATCATCCGGGAGCAGCTGCCCTACACGTACCGCTACGACTCCGAGTCGTGTCCGTTCAACGTGACCGGCGCCCTGGACAACTCCCTGTTCCCGCCCTTCGTGCAGCCGGAGACGCCGCTGGACATCGTGGCCATCGAGTCCTGCCGCGTCCTCCCGCTCACCTACCAGCGCCAGCAGCGATTCAACGGCCTGGACACCTTCCGCTACACCCTGCTCCCGGCCCACCAGAAGCCCCCCGCCTGCCTGGGCGCCAGCTACGGCGTCAAGCTGCCCGACGGGATGTTCGACGTGTCCAAGTGTGTGATAAGTTCGTATGAGTGGCATCCTGGCACCCTATCCTCGATAGCCGGCTAACCCAGTGATTTCTCTCCCAAGACGGCGCCCCATCCGCCTTCTCGATGCCGCACTTCTACGGGAGCGGCTACAACTGGAGCGAGCACTACGAGGGGTACACGCCCAACGCCGATGACCACGAGCCCTACATCCTGCTGGAGCCCGTCACGGGCATCCCGGTGTCGGAGAAGTACCGCTTCCAGTCGAACATCCCCATCCCGAACCTGAGCAGGTTCAGCCCCTACCTGAAGAGGTTCAGCCACATGATGATCCCCAGCTTCTGGTACGAGTTCGTAAGTACCAGCACCCAGCACCGCGCTCCCATCTTCGAGGGGCGTCTGCTAACGGCTGCCACACTCTTCGCTCTTTTAGGAAATGGGCGAGCTGCCCGGCTTCGTGACCGCCCTGATGTGGATCAACGTGAACGTGGTGCCCCGCGCGCAGCCCTTCTGCATGTGCCTGTTCCTGGTCGTGGCCCTGTGGAGCCTCCTGAAGGCGGCCCGGGTGGCCGGCGGCGACCTCGGCTACGGGGCTCTCTTCCGGAAGCTCTGCCCTGGCGAGATGGGCACGGTCACCGCGCTGGAGACCAAGTTCCCGGCGACCGCGCCCGCCCTGGATGTGGCTGTCAAGTAAAGTCTGGCGACGTGATTGATGCCCAGACTGGACCCGTGTATATATGTATGCAAGACTTAGGTTAAGGCTGGCGGTGCTGCTGGTGGTGCACTATCAGCAGCTCGTCTTGCGCAATATACGATTAAGAGGAAAATTGAATGTGCCTCATTTCACCTTATCTGTCAGCCGGCCAGACTGCTAGACCGCTAGACCGTCAGACGGCCAAACGGCCAGGTCTAAGCAGCTCTCCGCCGGCCGCCCGTCTCCTCCATCGGCAAGCCGGCAATCCAGTGATCCGGCGATCCGGCGGTTTGAGTTTGAGGTCGCGGCTCTCTGTTTGATTCGCCCCGCCTCTTGAGCCGTGCGGCGTGACAATGAAAACTTGGGCACGTACCGAAGATTTATTTTGCGTTTTATTCGATCTGTGTATTAACTGCTGGCTGTTTGTACTTATTTCTTCGGCCTCTGAGCCGCTTTGCTGGGGACTTTGCGGTTTGTTTACTTTGCTTCGCCTTGTTTACCTCTCCATCTCCATCTTCTTCCTGAACCTGAACTTTGCACATGTGTCTTGATCTCCTCGGCCTGCAAGCTGATGCCCTGCCCGGCTTCAAGGTAATCCACCCTTGGCCCTCTTCCCTGTCACGCCACCCGCCATCCGCCACCCGGCAGGCGGTTTTTTTCCTTTACAGCGCTCGCCGTTTGCGATTTGCGATTTGCATAAATCGATACCCCCAGCGCTCGGGGCTAAGGATGCCCCAATTTAAATGTTAATTGCGCGGTCAAGCCGAAAGCTGTTTGTATAATTGGCACGAGAGTTATGTCACAGGTGGAGGGCCATCCGGGTGATTTATTGACCTGCCTGGCACGGACCGACCGCGACGGATCGTCTGTAGAATCGCCTGCGTCAGAGTAGTAAAAGCGCTCATCATAATAATATAAAGTGTATTTTTGGTTTTATGGCCAATTATTGTTGCCCCCTCCGAACTAGAATTATCAGTCTGAACCTGGGCCCCATTAGCGAGCTCTGTTCCAAGTGCGGCGAGCGCAGGGGTTGGGTGAAAAAGGCCAGTCATGTCGCGGTGTCCGAAATGTCCACCTGGCCGGGTAAATCCCAACAGCTCGAAGCAGACCAGTTGGAATCGATCGGATCGATCGGACTGCGCCAAAACAAAACCCAATCGCACACACCGCACCCGAAGAGCTTTCGAAATCTGGTTGAGTCTAGACTGGTGCGTGCGATTCATGACGCCAAAGATAATTAAAAGGGAAATGGAAATGCATAAAAGTGATTACAACACAGCGGCAGCAACGCTAGCACTACCAAATGCGCTCGTTAAGTCGGGAAAGAGTCGGAAACCGAACTCCACACCACTCCGCGACGATTGGAGCAACTAAGACCGAACTAAGACTGGCAAAATCAACATGTAAAATTCAATTTTCACGTACGTCAATGCTTTTCCTACGAATTTCGTACGTGAACGGGTAAACAAACGATCGGGGTGTGAGAGATAAATCTGTGATAAAACTCCCATTCCACCCTTTGAACCGCTGGCCCGACTCTCAGGCCACTTGCCGAAATTCAGCTGAAAAAACCTTAAGTCAGTCATCGAAAATCCGGTTCGGCTGCTCAGCTTTGAGTCGACACTATGCCGCGACTTTGGGCAAAACCGCCGCCGCCCCCCGCCTGCAAAAGCTTCCGCCGCCAGAGAGCTGGCCATTGCGCTCAGTGTAGGAGCCGTTAAAGCTCCTGGTATAAAAGCCAGGCCAACAGGCTAACAGCTCGCAATCCAAGCTGCGCCTTCGTACGCACCACAGCTCCACCCAGGCCACCGAAACCCTCCGGAAGAAAAGTGAGTAAGCCACTTAGCCGAGTTTGGCTTAACCGGGTTAGACCCATCGTCTCTAGTCGCTGCTGATCTCGAATCGGGCTGACCCCACACAGGGCGGCCGGGAGCCCCAGTTTAGCCAAGTTTAAGTCGAAAGTGGCTAGGGCGACGTGGTTGTGAAATTGAGAAATCTTTCTTAGGCATCAAAACCAGGCGAACGTCAATTAGTATGCATATGCGATATATAAGCCAGGGGCCATAAATAATGCATGAACAAAGTGGACAGCGACTGATCGCCTCGGATGACTATCTCGGCAGGCGTCTGGAAGAAAACGAAGCTGATTATCCGCCACCTGGCCAAAGCTCTGTTCTGTCGGTTTCTTTATCCTTTCTAACCAGAATATCTCCTCTGTCTTTGCAGTAAGTTTTTGAACATGAAAGCCTCGCTAGCCATTGTGTTCTGCGTGGTCGCCGGCTTGGCAGCCGCCGCTCCTGACAACAAGTACACTAGCAAGTTCGACAACGTCAACGTTGACGAGGTTCTCGGCAACGACCGAGTGCTGAACAACTATCTTAAGTGTCTCATGGAGAAGGGTCCTTGCACGCCGGAGGGACGCGAGCTTAAGCGCCTCTTGCCCGACGCCCTGCAGTCCGACTGCTCCAAGTGCACCGATGTCCAGCGCCGGAACTCCGAAAAGGTGATCAACTTCCTGCGTGCTCACCGGGCGGGAGAGTGGAATCTGCTGCTGAAGAAGTACGACCCCAACGGCGTCTACAGGGCCAAGCATGCGCACTAAACACTCCACATATCCACAGTTGCGTGCACTCATTTCATTTAAACCTAATTTAAATCAGAGATCCACAGTAAAAATGTTAGTTTTTTATACCTAAATGCGGCAAACAAAACTTTTATTCCAGGGCGTGACTAATATCGGCTAGTAGAAGGCGGTGAATAGTGGCGGTGGATTAACCCCCTGAACAGATGTTATTTGCTCTCGTTGATCAGGTCGATGGGCCGAAACTGGTTGGCCACATTGATGGTCCAGTCCGAGTGCTGCCCGGCGGTAAACTCTTTTACGAAACGGTAGTTGCATATGAACACCTTGTCCTGGTACTCGGGCAAAGTCCTACAATAAGAAATAGTCAGTAAGAGGGTTACTGAAGCGCAGACGATCCAACTTACCCCATGTTCCAAGGAATCTCTTCACCGCGCTCCCGCATCTCTGACAGGCCGCGCATTACGTGGAACACCATTGTGATCTCGACGAAGCGCTTCTGCAGCTTGTCATTGGCCTCGTCGAACATTATGCCCACCTGATAGGGGAAACTGAGGTAGATGTCGCTCTCCTTGATCTCCAGCTGCCTCCGCTGCGTCATAGACAGTTTTTGGATGACAGGCCGCAGCTCCGCGATCGCCTCGGGTGAGACCAGCTTGTCGAGCGAGTCCAGGTCACCGCCCATCAGTCTTGAGGAAACCACCTGCAGGGCTTGCTTGGCGCCATATATGAAGTCCTTGAGCTGGAACTCGCTGTCAAAGTAGGGGCGGATGATAAACTGGATGGTGATCCAGTTCTTTAGGGTGTTCAGCGCGGAGGGCCACACGATCTCGGGAAAATCCATGAGGCGGGGCAGTCGTTTGGGGCTTTCCCTGGCTTCCTGCTCCTTTTTGTCTTGCTCCTGCGGCAGCGAGGCGTAGGACCGCCTGGCCGGCTGTGTGTGATTCGTTATGGTGCCCGAGCCCTGGGTCGTGGACGTGACTATTGCTGCTCTGGGCTGCAGACGCGTCAGGGAGGACCGTGCCATGCCCAGACAGCGTCTAATCGTGTGCTGCATTGCGAAATTTACACTTTTAGCAAATGCAATCGGGGCTTACAAAATTACTTTGTTATTGCACGGCAATTAAGTGTGACCGCAGGTGGCTCGTCCAAACAATCCAATTTCTTATGTGGCCGTTGAATTTGAACCAACGTAATATAGCAAAAACCTTAGCGATAAGTCATAATTTTAGATGGAATAAACTCTCCTCAGTGGGAAATTTTAAAATTTTGGCCAGCAGGGTTAAAAAAACCTTCCCAAATTATTTGAACTGGGAAGAGGCGTTGCCAGACCTTCATGCTCCTATCGATACTTCGATAGCCTGCCACCACCAAAAAATGGTGCTGACTTCCGGCTGTCAAATTTTTCTTTCTTTCCCAGCCACGACGAGCAAGGGTCGACAGCATGAGGTAGATTTGAGATTGTAAATATGCGCGAAATGTCGCATGTGCAATGCAAAAATGTGTGCAAAGTGCGCTGGGGCGGGAGCTGGCCCTGTAACTATCTAGTGGTCCGAGTGTTATTAAGTTTTCCCCGGCAATTGTGAAATAACAAAACGTGCGCCGCTCTCCAACGCACACACACACAGTCGCGAGCCCGATGGTTTCAAAATGACCGACTAACGAGTACCCCTTATTTGCAGTTCTCTAAAGCTCCAGAAGAGGCTCGCAGCCTCCGTACTGCGATGCGGCAAGAAGAAGGTCTGGTTGGACCCCAATGAAATCAACGAGATCGCCAACACAAACTCCCGTAAGTAGAGATAGTACCGATTACAGCAAGCAGCCCAACTAACCACCAATCCCGCCTCCGTTGCAGGTCAGAACATCCGCAAGCTGATTAAGGATGGTCTGATAATCAAGAAGCCCGTCGTGGTCCACTCCCGCTACCGTGTGCGCAAGAACACCGAGGCGCGTCGCAAGGGCCGTCACTGCGGTTTCGGAAAGCGCAAGGGTACGGCTAACGCCCGCATGCCCACCAAGCTACTGTGGATGCAGCGCCAGCGCGTCCTGCGTCGCCTTCTGAAAAAGTACCGCGACAGCAAGAAGATCGACAGGCACCTGTACCACGACCTGTACATGAAGTGCAAGGGTAACGTGTTCAAGAACAAGCGCGTCCTTATGGAGTACATCCACAAGAAGAAGGCCGAGAAGCAGCGCAGCAAGATGCTGGCTGACCAGGCCGAGGCCCGCCGACAGAAGGTGCGCGAGGCCCGCAAGCGCCGCGAGGAGCGCATCGCCACCAAGAAGCAGGAGCTCATCGCTCTGCACGCCAAGGAGGACGAGATCGCCGCCAAGGCCGCCACCGCGGGTCATTAAGCAGTCCGGCCTCGCGAGTCGAGGTACCCATATTAATAGTACTGTTTGTCATCTGAATAAAAACAAGTTTAGTTTGGCTGAAATGATTTTGTACAGACGTAAAATGCTTCGGCTTCTTAATGGCGATTTAAGATGAGAAAACCTTTTCAGCAATATTTATATTTATGCCTATACACATGAATAGTTTTGCATCAAGGATCTTTGAGCCTCGACCTTTATAGCAGCATGAGGATTTACGCGAGGTCAAATGTGACGGCGATGATGAATTACGGAGAAGACAGGATTTTTTCCCGTACACCCCTTTAAATTTTTGTACTTAACTGTGCAGTCTTTTGAATAATGATTAACGTAAGAATTAAATTCTGTTATGAAAACCATTTTAACAGAAAAGGCGATGAAAGCTTTCATTTTCAGCTTTGCTGCTTGTGGAAAGCTGTTGTCATTCGAACACATTCGTGAATAGAATTCATCATTCGTTGTTCAACTTCAGAACGGGAAAAGAAATTTTTATATAAAAAAAATGCATAATCAGAATTTCTTAAGCGAATGCATAGATATATGCAAACGTAAGTATGTAACCATTCCGGAGCGAGAGAGCGTTAAATTCGGTAAGCACTTTGAGGTTCTGTTTTCGAATATTTTTGAAATATTGCGATCAAAGAACCCACTGCTGGACAACCTCATCGTGGAATACAGTTTGGAAGGTATGTTCAGGTAGCCTTACCAGTAGGTGCCCTTCCCTGCCTTGAGCTTGGCCCTGGACCCGCTAGTCTTTTTTACTGGAACCAAAATGTATACATACTAGTGCTCAGAGTTCTAAAGATAAATCTAATATTAAATTCGATCGTTCTTACTGCAACCAAAACGTATACCTCTTGGAATCCCGATTTCGTAGTGACTCAGAGTACTTGTAAACGCGATAACGAGTTGTAAAGATAAATCTTATATTATTACTGATAAATCCGGTCGTATTCGAGTGCCCGTGCTCCGGTCCGTGCCCCTCGCGAATTCTCGTGCCCGTGCTCCGGTCCGTGCCCCTCGCGAATTCTCGTGCCCGTGCTCCTAATCTTCCCCGCGTTCCCCTCGTGCCGCGCCGCGTTCCTTAACCGATATAACCGCGTAGTTTTCGTTAAATTCACAGGGAGCTCGGGTGATCAATTAAAAGTCGCGAAACCCAACGAATTCGATTTGGTATTTAAGCTACAAATTCCGTATTACGAAAGTATCGTCGTGACGCGAGATTCGAATAATCCGGGCAACGTATTTCTCAACATGACTCGCGTACTCGAACTTCTTAGGGACGATCCCCGCGAGGATCATCGGAGCCTTCGGAAACTGCTTCAGACTCAACTCGTCGACGCGAAGAACTTCCTCGTCGTGGGCAAACTGTGTTCTTGGCTACAAAGCCTTTTTAGGAAAGCCCTCAATCGGATGGAGGATCGCTTGGAGGTGGATGGCATGGTGTCCCATCTGAAATACAAGACCTGTGGGCCGGCCCACACCATCTACGTGGATGGCGAGCTTACGTACTCGGTTGACTTTGTACCCGCCATCCTCCTGCGGGCCGAACAAAACGTGTTGGGCGCGAAATCGTTAAGATACTTCGAGCTCGCAAGTCTCTCCCACTGGGAGGCGATCCCCAAGCCCCTAAAAACCCACACCCCGACCAGCAGCATCTCGTTCCGGTCCTCCTTCTACGCTGCGGAGAAGGCTATGCTGCGTGGTAAGCACGAGAACTGCCGGGATGCAATTAAACTTATGAAGAAATTCCGTGACGTTAAAACCAATTTGAGCAATCTTAAAAGCTACTATATTAAGACTTTATTTCTTTGGAAGATTAGCAATGTACCGGAGACCTACTGGCAGCAGCCGCTTACAGACATTTTGCCCGATGTAAGCATAAAGTGTCTTTAGGTTTAAACTTCTGGAGTGATTATTAACTAAGCTCTTGATTCCCCCAGATGTTCGATGACCTGACTGAGTGCTTAAGACAGGGAATTCTACCCTTCTTTTGGGACCCCGAGCTAAATATGCTCGATGTGTTAACATCAGACCAAGTGAAGGAAATGTATCTATGTGTGCGAAGGATCTCAGACGCGTTGAGGAGACCCCGCCAATTGCCTTACTCTCGGAATGTCGTTTTTCGGGTTTTTAGTATGTCCTTTTCTTGGCAGTTTGTTATGCCTTTATTTATTCATTTACTTATTTTTCCGCAGGCCACAAGGATGAGAGGAACATTCATCGTTCCTCGGCTTGAAAGGAGACCATTTTGTGTGCCGGACGGAAAATCAAAGTGCCAGACTGAAAGCAAAAACAAAATCTCAAATTTGTAAATTACAAATTCATAAAACTAAAAAGTTGAATATAACATAGTTTAAAATCAGTTCCAAGTTGATGAAAATGTACTATTTATTTAAACCTCATTACCATTAAAATTGTTATTTATTTATTTATTTAACTGAGGCTATTAAAAATATATCATTGATTTTTTAACCAAATAATAAATGTTTTTCAAAGCTTAAATATAAACAATGTTCTTGGTGGTAAACTCAATGGTTTCAGCTACAGATCGCGGACTATCGATAAATTTCCACACCTCAAATTAAAACGTTGAACAAACAGCTGTTTGAACGTCGATGGTTTGACCAGCCGTGTAATCGATAGTGCCATCGCCAGTCTGCAGCCCTGGCTTGGCCCGCACTATATAAGCAACTCGCAGCGCTCTCCTCTCTGTAAATTTTGGAAAATCTCTTCGTTGGCGTTGGCTGTGGTGGTGTAGTCGTCGCATTAAATTTAAATCAAATCGAATCGGCGGTGCGCGTGCAGACTGTTTAGAATTCCTACATATATTAATTGAATCGGACGAGATCGACGGCCAAAGTCGTGGTCTTATCGAGCTCTGTGCACGCATGCAAATTTTCGACATATAACAGCCGCGACTTCTTAGACCGCAGCGCACTAGTCAGAGCAGTTTCGCCGGGACAGCAGCTACTCCCGCAAACCCAAACAGCTAAACTGAAGCCAACTCAGCCAAATCACCTGTGGAGATTTCGTAATCCCATCCAGGAATATTCCGAACGCGAGTGAAAGTGCGCGAGTGTTGGTGCGGCCAAAGCAAACACAGTTTCTCGTATCAATTGCAGCAGCGGTGTCAGTAGTACATCACCATCTGAACCAAAGCCATCATGAGTGGATACACAGACCTCACCAAGCTGGAGACAAGTCGGTAAGTCCGAGTCCGCTAGTTAAAGCGTTTAAGTTCAATTTTCCCAAAGTGATGCTAAATTGGCCCCCCGATCCCCGATCCCCACTCCTCGATCCGCCCCTGCCTCTTGGCGCTCTCTTCGGTCGACTCACTCTCAAATTGAATGCGAACCAACCGCACCCCGCGTGCGTTTTCTCTTTCGTTTGCACCGACAAAACGAAAAACGAGATACAAGAAATTTATCGTACGATTTTCGGTGGACGGAGAGACGGCCACCAATTCAAACACGAAAGAAAAAAATCCAAGCCAGCGCCGTTCGCTAATATGACACAATCGGCTATATATTGTACACCTATACAGAAATATGTTGGCGTTTTTCACTGTTTGTTTGCTTAAATGTTTCGAGTGGGCCCACAGAGGCAAATCAGAGGCCCAGCTTTCGGATGAGCGATAAGGCTATCTATATCGCACTTCCCCTCCTCAATAGGTCTCATTAGCCAAGTGACACTCGTCCGCCAGTTATCGGTAATAGCCATTACTCATTCGGTGCTAGTATCTGGCAAATATTCGCCCTCCTTGGCCGCCTAAAATCACAGAAAATTCTCTGATTCACCTCGCACTGGCAGTGTGTCATTTTTGAGGCAGGTGTCGCCTTGAACGGCAACTTACGGCCGCCAATGGCCAAACAACCCGGCCATTGAGCCATTGAGCCACTGAGTAGGTAGAATATCTAATTTGCGGGCGGATCAAATATCGATTATGCTGGAGGTCGAAGCGCAGCCAAACACAGTGGCGCGCGGCCAAAGCAAGCCAAATATTGGTCAATTCGGTTCAAAGAGTGCGTTTTCGTATGTATATGTCATTGCCCAACATTGCAAATACGAGAAATACCACAAAACATGGCAGCAGCAGCGGCAGAGCACCGCCAGCGATTCATTCATCACGCTCAGCTGATGGTGGCGACTCTCAATTTGGTCCGGCCATCGTACATCGTACAGTTTCTGGGCAACATCACGCCACATGCCAGCGAAGAGAAATCGCACGAATGGGAAGAGAGCCGTCCGCAAGAGAGGCCTCTCGCTTGCCACATGAGGCCAGCTCAGCTCAGCACCACCCACCCACCAGCCAACCCCCAGGCACCCCTCCAGCTGCCGCTCAATGAAAAGTCGCCTGATTTCGGCGGTGTATGCCCGGTGTATCTGCCCCTTTTCTCCCGGCCCTCTTTTCGCGCATGTCGCGTGACGCTAACCGAGCTTAGCCCAATTCCCACGTCAGAAAGGGCGGGTGGATCGGGGAGCAGCAAGCAGTCAGCAGTCGGCAGGTGTGCTGGTTGCTCGAGGTCTCCAATTGGCTGACGGCCGGTGGCGTGTTATAGCTCTCGGGAGCGGTTCGGGAGGAGATCAATGGGAAAGAAGTGGTGTACCCGCTAGAAAAGGTCAATAGCAGGGGTCCCGAGGCGCCCGTCGATGAGTGGGTCTGGCGCGTGGCCAGCTTTCGAGCCTCGACTGATTAGAACTATCTATGCAAACAGTCGTGGTCAGAGGGCACATAACATTAATTGAAATTCAGTTGAGGTGATTGCTTAGAATTCCATGAGACGGCGGCACCCCAGTAATCTGTTATGGCCGAGCGGCCGGGCGAAAAGCGTTGATAAGATGGTAATTGTTTTGGCATTCCTACGCTGATTTCCATCAGTGGAATTCATCGCAATTAGCCTAATTAGTCACCGAGTGACTGGGAATCCGAGTGACTGGGAATCCTCCTCCGACGTCCACGACGTCTGGCCGTGCCAGCGGAAAAAAACCTTGACACCCGTCTGGCGCAGCTCCGAGATCTAGATCTTGTTCTGCTTGTGGCCCCCAGTGCGCCGATGTCGGTCATACCACGTAGCACGCAGCACTCGCGTGACCACCCCCACCCCCGTTGGCTCCGTGTTACACTTCGGCCATCGATATCTAGATTCTCTAAGTTTGTTCGCCAGGGCAGCGGGGCGGGGGCATCGTCGGTGGCGCTGGCTGAGGCGGTGGCGGCGAAACTGTAGGGTAGAGGTCTTTAAATGGCGCAGTCACTAAAACTAAAATTATCAGTGCGCTCGGCGCTCGTTCAGTCAACTAGCTGCGATCACGCGGCCCCGCACTGGCTGGCTACATTCCGGGCTGGGCAATCTGGCCGCTTTAAATAAGAGCACGGGAGATACGCAACTCCAGCTCCGTCTGGGAACCGTCTGGCGGTGATAAGCCATGACAGGCCTCTTGACTTTGGTCGCTTAACTCCAGATACCAGAAACTAGCTTCCATTCCGGCGGGTTAATGCCTGACTCGCCCAGCTTTATGGGGCTTGACCCGACTATGTTACGCGAACTCGTCGTGAAACGAAATTAATGAGCTTTGCGAGGATTGTATAACTATTACTTGGGATCTAGCAAGCTCTGGCTCCCGCTTCGCCACCACCATCTCCTTCTTTACAGCACGTGGACGGGTTAAATTGGCTTTGAAAACCGAAATAGAAATCGTTCTGTCCGTCCGTCCGCCCGGGCTTTGTTTTTAGAGCCACACGAGCACTGTCAGGTACCCAAGCACCAACAGGTTTTCTATTTTATACAAATTGAATTTGCGACAACGGCAGCGAATAGCTGATTTGCATAGAAACCAATTCATATCTATCATACGCCACGTTTACCGCCGGCGGGTCGCCCCAGCCCAAGCCGAAAGCATCAAAGAAAGAAGTCTTCGAGTGGCGGAAGTCTGAGCGCCGCAGACTTAACGACGCTGTAGAACGGCCAGTGTTTGGTCGGGTTTGATGTGATGCGGCGTGGTCCCCAATCCCCAATCACGCCGTCTATTGTCCAAACTGGTTCCCCATGCACACGCTCTACTGGTTTTCTGTGCGCTGGCCCAAGCTCATCTTTCGATTGTTCTGCTTTTCAGGAACTGCCTGCGCCGCATCGCCCGTCACGATGAGCAGCAGTTCTCCAAAGACAGCATCGTCAATGTGATGGAGAAGTTTGTAAAGACTGTCAACATTATGGACGACACCATACTGGTGCCATGCAGGCTCATGGATCGACAGGTGTGTAGAGCAATCCCTTAACGCAGCACCCCCTCCACGCAGCCAGCCCATCAATAGGCAACCGAACTCATCCATCCCCTTTACTGGTTCTTTCGCAGATCGGCGACAGCACTGACATCATCCCAGCCACCGGCAAGGACTCAACCGCCAACCAGCTGACACTGAGCTCCAGTGCCCACGGAAAGCGGGGGGCAGCGCACTCGAAGAACGTGCACGACTTCCTCAGCGCCTCCGAGCTGTTCAATCTGTACAACATGCTGAACTCGCTAAAGAAGGATCTGCTCTGGACCGCCAACCAGGAGGACGACGAGCAGCAGCACCCACACCAGGAGCTCAGCGGCACCCCCAGTTCCGCTTCCAGTTGCAATCCCACCGAGAGCAAGACTGAGTCCAGCAGCGGCAGCCCAAACACAGCCGCCTCGGGCAGCGCCAAGGGTCACGTACGCCGCACCTCCACCGCCTCGATGATGTCCACCAACTCGGTGAGCAACATGAGCGACTCGGACTCCGACATCTCGCAGGAGAACGACTCGGGCCTGGAGTCGGACGGCAACAAGAGCGACAACGCGCAGAGCAGCGACGGCAGCGACATCGTGGACGTGGCCAAGTCGAAGCAGGGCTCCGGAGACAAGGCCACGGAGCTGGCGCAGCGCTGCCGGAGACATCTGAACGGTCTGTACCAGTGCTTGGAACAAATGACAGAGGCGGCCAACTACCTGACCGCCAGATACCAAAGTGATATTGGGCCCGTTTAGGACGGCCACTCAACGCCTTCTCGACCCTCTTCTCCTATGCCTCCTACTCCCAAACTTTCACTTCCTTTCGAGCTGGGCGGGGTTACCTTTATAACATAGTCGCGGGCGGGTCTTTTCTCTCATTAGTATCAAGGGAACCAAGTGGGAGGGCTTCTTTAACTTTAACTATAACTATAACCGTATCTGTATATCTATATCTATGTATATGATTATATATATGTATGTGTATCTTGAGGGGGTGCTAAGTAAGACATATGGAGATCGTATGTGTGCATGAGGATTGTATAAATGTATAACTGAGGATGATGAACAACAACTGGTAGTTATAGTGATGGATAAAGCAGCGCCTAAAGCAACAAATCAAGCAAAGTTCTATTGTAAAAATTGTAACCTCTTCGTTGTGTCTCTCTTATGGTTTAAAAGGGGCAGCGAATCGAAACAGAAATCGCAGAAGCCAATCAATTAAGTCGCGGCCATTCCTTCTGAAGCCGTTGGGGTCCACTGCGCCCAAGTCAAAAGCGTTATCCATTGCGTTGCTGAGGCTCCAACCCATAAAATATCCCCTATTCTTTGCAATTTGATTTTCGTATATGTATTGGATAGATAGCTATAGCTATGGGAACTGCAGAAACAACACTAAAGCAAACAATGTTCAACAAGTACAAGAAATCTAATTTCTAACTAAACTACGATACGAACACACAAGTGAAGTGGGAGCGGAGCGGAAGCGGTTGTGGGCGACCACTTCACTTTTAGCCTGTATGCAAATTGATATATTCCACAATTGTTATTGTAATTGTTTAAGCCCAATTTGTGCCGTTATGTTTCGTTTGATTTTCTCTTCGCCACCGACCAGCGGCCTCCAGGCGATCCGGCGGTGAGGAGATGGGGATGGGGAACTCTAGCAGACGTCACAGCTAGTCGCCCGGAGATCCGCCTGCATCTCGCTGGTTCGGCATCGAAGACCAAAGAGCAAACTGTAAATTACTAACGTTAATAGCGCTTGTGCGAAAGCAAAAGAGAATTATTTATACACAATAAATAAATTTTACTTAGAAAATATATGCCACTTGTCGTTTCTTTTGTCTCGTTCTGGTCACCTGGCCATCGCTGCCCTTCTTTTGGGGCTGGGCTACGATAAAGAAAGTGCCAACGGAGCTAAATTTTCAGTTGGGGCTCGTGTGATGGGTACAAAGGCCGCTTAGATCGCTAAAGTCGAGCGGTTAAAAGGTGGCAATGGCCGTTGTAAATGCGCTATATAGATTACAGTGGATACCCGGTAACCGAGTTCGATCGACTTTTTGTGCAAAATGCATGTCAAGTGTTTTATTGCCATACCTTTCCGTTCCAAGCCTTTAAAAAGTGTACTTTAAAATATGTACGTATGAAAAAGTTATCTAATCTTTCCCCAAATCAATTAGATAAATATTGTTATTCTTGTCCCTTTTTCACTGAAAAGTTTATTTATCATTTGACGCACTTGGACGGATATATATTTTTGTGTGTTCAATGTGATCAATTGGCATTTTTTAAATTAATTATTTCTAGCTGAAATTTTTTGTTGATATGACATTTTACTCGACTTTTGTTTAAGAAATATTGAAAAACCAAACATCAGCAGAACTTCCAATATTCTCTGACCCTTTAACCCAAACAAATCTAAAAACATATTTATTTTAAACAATGTGTCTAATCTCTTATCCGAAATTCGCTTTGTTGGTTGGATCTTGGAGTAAACCTTAACTTTTCAACACAAACCGGATACTCCTTTATCTAATCAGATTTCCACTTATATTAATGGAAGCAAACGCGTGCCACATCTTAAGAGTCACCGGTTTTATTCCTCTCGCGATTTCGATTGGGAGTGACTAGCGTGGAGGAAACTTTCCTCGAACCACTTTCAGGTGAAGCCGATAGACAACCTTATCTACGCAATCGTTAAGTAATGCTAAAGGCGAAGCTTGCCTGAAATTACCAAATAATTCCCCACCCGGCGTATTCATAGCCTGTGACCGTGAACAACCAACGATCAACCATCGACTGACTCATGGCCATAACTACTCCACGGTCAAGTTCAAGGTGGGAAGGACCAGACCCAGGCAGACGGCTCTTTGGTTCTTGGACACGTGCTCGAATCGTGACCTATGCAAATGGTGATGGTGCGGCTCTCAAATGGTATATATCTTGATTCGGATTGTGCTTTGATGAGGAGTGCTGTGAAATCTGATTTTAGAATGTCAAACCATTCTGGTAAGTATGGATCTGGGCCAAGTTAATTGTGCTTTCCGCCGCGGCCACTTGACGGCTAGCCACTGTTTGTTTCTGTTTCTATTTTGGTTGTGCTCTTGGACGTGGCCTTATCATCGTGGTGACGAGAATTGCGAGCAGTCTAATTGAAGCCATGAACTTGTTTCGTGCTTATCACCAGATTCCACTTGACTGGTTTCCAAGGTCTTCCTCCTCCTGGCTCTCTAGACCTAACGCGAATGTAATCGAATCGAATCCGGCTGCGATTCTGGGGGATTTCTCGGGACTCTACATCAACTCTCGTCCAATCAATTAGCGCCCTGCTAAGGCTTCCGCATCGCAAGGGGGCCGAGAGGGGGGTAGTTGGCCAAAACGGTTTGCAAACTGCGCCAGTCGCAGTCTCGGTTTAGGTGTTGGTTATTTTTCGAACATTTGTTTTGGCGCTGTGGATCGGCTGAGATTCGGCTGCTGTGAGGTAAAACTTGTTTACGGTTCTAGCCCGCTTTCGGTTTCCGCTTGTTGTTGGCTATCTGCTCGCCTTAACCCCGGACAGCGCCGAGATAGACGGAAGTATCATAACTCAGTGGAGATCGATACTACGGCTATGTTGCGTTGTTTCGTTTCCGTTTATTGACCCCGTCCGCTCCGGCAGCGTCTGAACCTTGAGCAGTCGATCAGCTCAGAGCAATCTTCCCCAGTCGCCAGCCTCCACTCCCCAGTCCCCAGTCTCCGGTTTCCTGTCCAGTCGTCAGAATTAGCATAACCCAACGGCCCCAAAAGAAAGTCGGTGTCGTGGTGAGTCAGCAGTTTTGGCCGTTTGTAACTGGCCAAGGTCCAAGCTGCCAAGGCTGAAGCTGCTCTTCAGCATTGAGCTGCACTAATCGCAGCCGCTGTAGAAGCAAAGTCGGAATCAAATACTATCACGTGCCACTGCCGCTATCCAAAAATAACTCAGCTTGCATATTGAAACGAGATTTTAATTAATAACGGCACTCCGCTCAGCTCCAACTGAGATTAGCATGAAAGGTTCGAAAATGTCGAGAAACACTTCCGTTTGACCCCTGAGCGGATCGACGTTCGCAGGCGGAAGCTGAAAGATCTTGGCTGAAACCTAATCAAGCCGGACCTCGACTCGACTGGATTACCTAATAGCGCTTAGGTTCAGTTAGGGCCGTCTCTCCCAGAGGCGACTTCCTGCTTCCATTTGCGGATGCTGATATGGCTGAGGTTCTGTTCTGGCCCCAAATCCAAATCGGGCCCCGAGATTCCGCGTTATGCTGTCAGCTGGTACGTCACATTGCTGAATAATTAGAGCCCCGTCCTCACGCCCATCCGCGGCCCACCTGCGATCGGCTGTAGATGAATAGCCAAGCGCAAACATCGCATTCGATGCCGCGGGTATTCGCGGGGGCCCGGTCTGAGTTGGCGGCCAGCTCGGCGACGTCGGTTCATGGCTAGCCACTGGTACAAAGTCCAAAAACTCGAAATTCCACACTCACACTCACACTCGGCCAGAGCCGAGCTCGGGCTCACACGGCAGACATTACAGAGAGCTCTAAATCACGCCAAAGATATTCATTCACGAACATTCTGCGGAGGTAGCTTCCAAATTGCCAAAACCCGGCTGGGATGCAGCGACCTCCTCTCAAAGTCCGGCGATCAACTTCATCTCCGCCTGAATGGGAGCAAGCGCTAATTGAGCACCCTCGAAGTTAATTAGCTTGACCCACTCGACTCCACTCCAATCCATAAAGGGGAGCTCACATTCGCAGAAAGGTGGGCCAAGTTCGGAGAGCTGACGTGACGTCAGATGCTTTTCAAAGCGGAGTCACTGGAAGCCAAGAATTGTAAAACTTCAAATGTACACAAAAAGCAAGAGGGATGTGACATCAGTTTGAAAATTGTTATTAAATATTTTATTTGCGAACAATTGTAAATACATATATAGTTTTAAAATGTAAAAGTTTTTGTGTACAAGGAATTTAATCGGGGACGAATTTGTATCCAGAGCAATCGAAGATGGCAAGGCTGGTCCAGTTCTTTGTTTCCTAAGGGATCTGTACGAAAGTGGCACCGCTCAGTTGCACGTCACTCTTACCAGACACTTTTGACCTGTTTGGAGAGCCGCATGGAGAGGCGTTCGGGTTCAAGGGCTTCAATCGGGGCTAGTAAGAAAGCCCCGCACACCCCGATGGCGAGCTGAGAATGGGAACCGGACCGTCAGCTACGCAGCAGACTGAGCCAATTTTTGCACACTGCCGCATGACGGGGCATTTTCCTTTGTCAACTCGGTTTTGGCGACTCCTCATCCCAAATGCCTGCCTCGCACCCCGCTCCCCGCACCCCACACCAATTCCCCTCTGGTCGAGGCGTCAATTGATTTGGTATTGCGCACACTTGTCCCACGTTGCGAAACTGCGAAGAAGGGGCTGACGCAACATTGAGAACTGGCCAAAGGAACGAGAGGCCGCACTTGTGCCCATTTCACAAAAGGCCCATGCCGCAGATCACTCATACGCCCTGTGCACCAGTGTGGGTAATTACATGCTTACAAGAAGAGGAGGCAAAGGCAAAGGCAAAAGCTCGGAGTTTGTTCACACACACACACACACAGGCGGGAAGTCATTGGACTAGTTTCATAACTGCCAAAACAACAGCGTGCTCCTCCCCCCCGACCCCTTGCACCTGCTCCACCTGTTTGGAGCTGAGCGCAAGCGCAGCCGCAGTTCGGCTTGGCCCCACTCGGATTCGGTTTCGGTTTCTGCTTGGACTCGGGCTCTGGCTGTGGCTGTGGCTCTAGCTCGGCTCGGCTCGGTCCGGGCTCAGGTGAATCTGAATGCCACACACCTGGGTCTGACCTTCATGGCTAAAAACAGTGGTTGCGGCGACGCGACTGCGCTGCCACTGCGACGGCGACGGCGACTGCGCCGCGGACCGATCCAACTCTAAAGTAACATTTTACGGCCAAAACCCAGAGCGTCAACAATAACAAGAATTCCACTAATAATAATAACAATAATCGACAAAGACGTTAAAAGCAGCCACAACAGTCAACAGTCAACATGACGGCTAACAAAAACGACAACAACGGAGCCCCCGCCCCTTCGGCGCAAAGCTTTTGGCGCGTTGGCCGCTCGAGATCGAGATCGAAAGCTGCACTGCTGCCTCAAATCGGCCCAGCATTGGTTGGGCCAAGTCGCATAAGGAATACCCTACCCGGAAGCCAAGGAACTGGAGCTAGGCAGTCACTACAAATAACAAAATTAACTCGCAGCATTCTTTGGCATGGAACCTTTATACCTTTCTAGAGAGAAACGAAGCAAAAGTGGAAGTGTGCTCTAGGACCGGCCCCTGCCTTTCGGATCGCATTCCTCTTCCTGGCCAGTGGCCCCAGCGCACAGATTGTGGAAGCCAAACCAGTTTGGCCATATAGGGCGCATCTCCGGCGCAGCCAGAGCGGGTCGCGCCTCCTTCACTGGGCCACCGGCCACTTTGGAGCCTGTCTGAGGCGTGTTTTTGCCCACTTAAGGCTGATTTGATGTTTCAAGCGTGGCCTGGTCAATTGGTATTCCGCCGAGCAGGCGTTCCCCGCCTGTCCCGCTCCCTGGCCCATTTGCACAATTAGCACCGGCGGAGGCAGCGGACTGCCAGTCCATGATCTGTCTGCTAATTTTCCATTGTCGACGCTTCTCTGGGGATTTTTAGAACAGTGCGGGTTTATTTTTACCTCCTCACATAATAATGAACATGATGACAAGAAACGGGGATCGGATCGGCGTCTCTGGAAATTCCACGATGGCTAGCCTTTTGATCGACCGTGAAAGAGCAATTAAGATAGGAGGAGTTCAAAAAATTGATCCTTTATTGGCTTTAAAGTACATGGGTTCAGTAATTATAAGTTAAGACCGATAGGATAATGGATATCCAGCTACACCGAATACCATCTACTTTACACGTGGTACTCAGTTTTCAGTCTTCCGAAACAGGTGTAAATCCCCGAAGTGAGAGTGAATCTGCAGTATATCGTGTTGTCAAAAGCTCGTTGGATTGTCTTAAGGTCGCTTTAATCGGAAAACCAATTGTATCTAGGGCGCATAAATTTCCAGCCCATTACAGCTGCAGGTCCGAGTAGCCAGAGTGGGCTGGGCGGAACTGCGCATTAGCGGCCCATTTAAAGTTCAAAATATCGAGTTGGATTTTTGATTTCGCGGCGTGCGTCTTTCGCTTGGCAGGCCAGCGGTCGGTGTCGGTGCTCCGTGCTCCGTGTTCGATGTTCAAGTGTCGCGTCGCAGGTGAAACTAATTAAGTAAATTTAACGCAGCATACCGGACCACTACCCCCCTCCTGCCGTGAGGCACTAAAAGCAGGCACTAGTACGCAAGCGAAAATGAAAACTAATTGCAATTTCAATGAGAAACAAGTACGTAAAGCTACGAAGTACACAGGTGTAAAACAATAAACGACAAACATAACTGATGAGATATACTCTATATGCGACTAATTTATACTTACATATCTGCCTTTTATTTGGATATATATCGATTTTGGTCTTGGGGCTTTCATTAAGTTTATTATCACGTTACAGTTAGATTATGTATTCTTTGTGTGGGTTCTACAGCTTTTATATGCATATTAATCGGGTACACAATTTAAACATAATTCGTAATTACATGAGTCGATTACAACCAATTTACCCCTAATTGTAAATCATTAAAAACTTGCCAATACAACATATATTAAATTCATAGTAAGACCAATTGAAGTGCATTTCAATTTTGCCTTGTTTCGTCCAATATCTGGCACTGAAAAGGCAATAATCTTGATCTACTTTACTAAGGAAACAGAAACAGTGAAACAAAGTCTTTCTTCATTAATCTACAAACAATTGGGCTAACAAATTTTCGTTTGGATGGATAGCAATATGGTTTACTTAAAGGACTACTTTTGAATAAGTGAAAGATTCTACCAAGTCTAGTAATTCTTTGAGTTTGTTTGAGATATGCATTTAGTAGTTTCACATTAACGCACTCACACACACACTCGTTAATTAACTAAGGAATATCGCCTGTTATTGACTTATGTAGTTTGGTATAGTAATATTCACGCGTTAAAGCTAAGGTAGGATAGTATAAGTTGGTAGGATAATTAAATGAGAAGTACCAACGTTTTAGTATTTAAAACACAATTTCAACTTGGCACATCCAAAACATATAATAAGAACATATTTGGAATAACTTCAAAATTAAAAAAAAAAAAAATATGTTTTCCTAATTATTTGTGAAGGTAAATAAAAAATGTATTCAAAAAATCTGTAATATATCAAGTTACGTTTCAAAGGTAAAAATTACTCCAAAATAAATAAACAAAAAATTTCGCTGGGCTTACTGCGGTTATGATATAAAAATTTCATCAAAAACAGTTTTCTACATGCTATAGATATTTCGTCATTACTTTCTGCACCAGTCCATAGATTCAATTACGGCCTTTAAGTACTTATTCTACTACGGCCCTTGAGTATTATTCCATTCGTGTAAATAATCGTCTCTTCTTATCAGTTAGAAAGTTATTGCGCTCAGTTTCTGTGTCTAGTCTGAGGGATTCGGTTGGACTTTTATCTTACGTCTTAGCGAGCTAGTTACTGTTTAAATATTGTTTGATGAATAAGTATGATGATGATCTTAGCCCTATTAGTTGTTTCTCTCAGTTCTATTCAACATTTAGGCCACTCAGCTGGTGGCTCTGATGCTCCAAGCTACGCTTCAGATCCACAATGGTATTAAGAATGAGTTGCTGCTTACGATTACTACCTCCCATTGGCTGGCCCTTAGCCTCGTCGACGGTCACGTCTTGCATAGAGCTCTTGGCTGACACGGAGGTAGAGAGTTTAATTTGCGAACGCTTATTCAACTTGTTTCGCCCGCCCGCATCTGTATTTTACTTAATTAAAAAGGGAACACTTATAAGAGAAGAATCAGTTACTTACCAAACTCCAAGTCGAAGTTCTTCTTTATACGCTCAAACGAAGAGCTTCCCCTATAGACCTTGCGTTTCAAGGGCTCGCTATGTGGGCAATAGAAGTTATTGTTAATTTGTGACTCTGTCTGCAATTGGCTTTGGGATGGTGCCTCCAGCTTTGTTTTTGGGCCCGACTGCTGATGCTGTGGCAAGTAGTTATGATTGCCAATATCCTCCACTGCAATGCACTCCATTTCAGAATCGCTGCCATTGAAGCTGATCACCGTTGTTGTGGTAGTGGAGGTCACCGTCATTATGCGTCGCTTTTCTTTAGGACTCTCTTGAAATCGTCTTCCATTTAGCTGCAGCTGTGGCGAGAGCGGAGCTGGTGGGGTATTGGCGCTTATTTTACGTGGCGGCAGCTCTGGTGGGGCGTTTTGATTCATAAAGTTGGTCAGGTGAGTCTTGCGAGGACTGCAACGTCCAGGCTTAGGACTGTTGGGTGGCGAAGAGGCTGACGAAGTCTCAAACTTGAGCATCTCTATGCGCTTATTTATCGCTGCAGCTAACTCATGCTCCAGGGGAGGAGTATTAGAAAGCGGCGGCTGTTTTTTTGGGTCCACCTCGCTGTTTTTGAGCATTTCCACTCGCTTGTTGGCCAAGGGATTTAACCGCCGCGGACTGGCGACTGGTGTGTCCCTGGGTATACTGCAATAAATTGTTTAGTAGTACATGATTTAAACACATTAAATAAATAGATACCTCTGCAAGCTGTTCTTCATAGATTCAAGCAGGGACTCAGCTTCCATGATGAGCTGCTTGTATTTAATATCAGCCTCCAAGTCTGCCTTAAAAAGAGCTTTTTCGCTTTCTGCGATAGTCATCGAGTTTTTTTCATTGACGCTACCAAATATCAGTGAGTTGGAGCGATTTGACAGTGGAGAAGTTTTAAAGATCCTGCGAATAAAAATCTGTGTATTCTGCGAAAACCACCTCGCGTTTTCTCTTACCTTTCCTTTGGACCTAGTAGGGTTCGGCGCAAACAGACGGGTGTGCCTCCCACACTTCGGGACCCGCGAGACGCACGAAGAGGTGAGGAAGGAAGCTTCTCTCGGTTTTCGCAGCTTTTCTTGCGCGTCTTAAGAAACCGCTTGCGTCGGCGCTGTTGGGAGCTTTCCCCGGTCTCCTGGCCACTCTTACGACGAAGTCGGGTTGAAGTCTTGCGTTTAACTAAGGGACTGATGGGCTGATTGGCATAATAATGACAGCTTCCCAAATTTCGGGACAATTCCTGGCGGTCGAGTACCACCTCCTGCATGGAAGAAGTGTCGATAAAGTCGATATCCAACAACTCGTCTGTGTCGCACTCATCGCCGGCATCCTGTCCAGTGTCCAGCTCAGATGCACAACAGTCAGTGAGATCCGAATCGCTGCTAAAAATTCAAATGCAAAGTGATCAGGCCAGTTGAATTGCTTTGTTGAACAGTGGAGGGTTGGAGCTCACCTGAGTATGTCAGTCTCCTTCTCGTAGATATAACTCTCGTCAAACTTCCCAATCATCTCGTTGAGGGTGGCCTCATCATCACTCAGCACGAAGGAAGTAGTGGTAGCCCCTGCGCCACCACCAGCTGCCACAGGAGCTGAAGTTGTTGTCGTCTCGGCTTGATCCAGGTGACGTCGCTTTATGGTGTGTGGGGCATGCAGATTTTCCACTTCAGTCGACGACGAAGAGCCCTCGGATTCGAAAGCGACCCCAGTTCCAGTTGAACCGCCAGCCCCTCCCCCAACAGTGTCCACACCCGCCACTTTGGCCGACTTGCTGGGAGTGCCTCGGCTGTTGGGGGTTGCTGTATGAGAACCTCCCTTTTCTGCTTTGTTTACTGTTGTTTTGGCCACCGGAACTTCCAGCTCATTGCTTGACTTAATGCCCGACGAAGTCGTGGAAGTGATGCTGGCGGCATCCACCTCAACGCGCGTTGGGCCAGAAGAGGCTGGCAAGTGCTCTGCCGTGTTGTACCAAGGATTGGTTCTTATGCGACAGCGCTGTCTAGGCGATGGAGCTGTAACATACGGTAAAAGAAACGGTGTGGGATAGCACTTTAGTCAAGTCGGGACTCTAAGTGGGTTAATTGCTCAGTTTGCCGGCGGGCGGGTTAATAACACCGACACTCACATTCGAAAAGCCTTGGCTGCTGTCGCAGAGCCAGTGGACTGGGTGACGACTCCAGGCCATGATTGGCACTTGCAAAGTTGCTCTTGGGCTGCGGATCCATAGGAGACATTTCCTCAATGCGGTTCAGCCCGAACTTGTAGCGCTGCGCCTCGATGGCCAGGGAGTTGACGCTCTTTGGAAAGTAATGCGTTCCCGAGCGCATGTTAATGTAGTACTCAGGCGGATTGTAGTTGCTGGCGGCGCACGGTGATGTGCCGTCTGTGGAGTACCCCGTCGAGTAGGCGCTCTCCGGCGAGGGCAAGCTGTGAGGACGTGGTCCCGGCATGAAATTGCTGCGCTGCATTCCCCGGGGAGTTCGCATCCGTGATCCTGAAGGAGGAACGTTGGGATTAGGGGGCGTAGCCGTCAGGTTGTCTAAAGACTCGGCTAGCTGAGCTGTCGCCAGCTTGGAGGGCAACAGTCGGCCGTATCGCACATGGTTGTTGCTTTTCCTAGGCTCCTCCTCGTACGTAAGACGCATGGCGCTAAAGTTCTCAGACTGCGGGCGTTGCTGGTTTGCTGGGATAGGAGCTGGAGGGCGGAGAAGCAGAGCTCCGACCTCCTCGTACTCCACCTCATCTTCGGGTGGGATGTGGTATTCTTCATTCAAAGCCTGCTCCCGGAATGTAGCTTGCTTGCCAGATGACGGCTCTTTGGATCCTGTTGACCAGGACAACGAAGATATGGAGGATGAGGAGCAGTTTACCCTGATAGGCGACTTCTCGGTGCAAGAATTTTCTTTGCTGTTGGGCACACTCAAGTGGTGCGATGACTGGTGTTGCTGCTGGTGGGGCTGATAGCATTTCGGAGCGTACAGCAAATTGTCCGACTTTGGCGAAGTTATTACGTACGAGTCGTCGTCGGGGGATTGCCAGCCATATCGTCGGCTGGGTGGCTACAACAAGAAAGACGTAAGCAGTGGCAAACTTCTAGGGAATTTCACTTACGTGACACTGAATGGGCGACACCTCGCGCCTCCGCACCGGACTGGCGATGCTGTGGCTTCCGCTACTGGTCAGGACCGGACTTGTGACATTGCTCCCCTGTGGGGGCAGGGTGCCCGCTTTCTTTGAATTATTGCAGCTGGAATTGGCAACCTCCGCGGTCGTATGCTTGTGCTTGCTGCCCTTCTTGCGGGGACGCACAATGTGCGTCTCCATCCAGGAGCGCAGCTTGGATCCAAACATGGTGGATTCTCTAGTCTTAACAAAAATGGACGGATAGTAGTGACTGAAAAGAAAGGTTATTAAGCTTGCTGCCAAGTGCAATTCAGCTGCAACAATGGACCAAGCGGACTCTTGGGACCACTTTGCGCAGATAAGGAAATCCATTTATGACGGCACAAAAGCCGAACAACATTTCAGCAGGGTCGCATTATCTATAGTTTGTATGGGGAAGGTTGTGCTGGAATTTAATGCGAAATTACCTTATTCGCAAATGCGGCCGCCGTTGTCTGCCCCCTCATAATATCCTTTGCGCCTCCGTTTACTGTGGCGCCCACGCACACACACAGGCAAAAGATGAAAGGACAACGGTGAATCTACACCAGAGCACACACGGACACGACACACGCACACTCACGGACAGCTTCAGCTTCCTGTGTTTGTGTTTGTTTGTTTTTTGTTGATGGTTATTTTTTGCCGACTCCCGTTACGTTCAAGCCGAGTGCCGACGCACCCAATGTTGTTGGGGGTTGGTCCCAGCCGAGATGCTTCAAGGACTCCACTGCCCCTCCTCCGGTGAACTTAAGCTGTGAAGTGAGTGAGCCTGTGTGGGTTGTCTGTGTGTAACTGTTCTCGGTTGTAAGTCTCACGTAACTGTAAATTTTATGGCAAGCTTTTATTTTTGCCCCGCAGACTCTTATGCGTTGCGATGATTTTGCACTTGCTTCTATTGTTATGGCTGATTGGCGAAATCCAAATTTCGATTTAAGTCAGCGTATTTGAGTTTAATGCAAATTATTTGAAAACGCTTGCGCAAATTATAAGGAAAGAAGCACAACTGCCTTTGGGGAATAACCGCAAGCTGTGTGTAGTCAAATGGCTCTTTTTCACTAGAATTTTTCGAGATTTAGTTTTTCATTTTTTGACGATGTGTATGGGTATGCGGTATATAAACTTCGGTGGTGGCAGGAAAAGCGTGTGGCAGTATCAAGTTAACGGATGTTTGATGCGCGGACACAGAAAGAAGGATACGTCCGTCGCCGCCGAAAGAAGAAAAGCTAATGACGGGATGCGCAGTTACGCAGGATTAGGAGTTCATGCTTTTTGCCATCTGTCAAAGAGCAGACTTAGAAAATTTAAATTCCTCGTAATATAGGCGATGATTTTTCCCAGTAAAGCGGTAGATAAAATGCTTTTAGCCGAAAAGTGAGCTATATATTTGTGGAACTGCTTTCACGCTCCGCGCTGTTCAACACTGGCATAGAAAACGCAATCGTGAGTAGCAGCTGTTGGTCACTTCTGGCGTTAACCAAACCTACATAGTGTGAAAAGTAATTGTTGAAAAATAAAACATGCGCTGCTATTATGAGGAGCTCGAGCTCCAAAGAGACGCCTCGGATGGAGAAATTAAGACCGCCTTCCGCAAAATGGCGTTACGCTGGCACCCGGACAAGAACAACATGGAGGAGGCCACGGAGCGGTTTCAGCGGATCCAGCAGGCCTACGAGGTGCTCTCTGATCCACAAGAGCGAGCATGGTACGACAACCATCGCGAACAGATCCTGCGGGGCAAGAACTCAGAGTACTCGGAAAACTGCCTGGATGTGTTTCAGTTCTTCACCAGCTCCTGTTACAAGGGCTATGGCGACGACGAACAGGGTTTTTACCGGGTCTTCACCAACGTCTTCGTCCAAATTGCCGCTGAGGACATAGAGTTCATGGATGAGGACGACCGGTTGGGGATGGCACCGGATTTCGGTCATTCGAACAGCAGCTACGAGGAAGTGGTGGGTCCGTTCTACGCTTTCTGGCAAGCCTATAGCACTAGGAAGACTTACGAGTGGCTGTGCCCGTACGATGTCCGCGAGATTAAGGAGCGCTTCATCCTCCGCAAGGTGGAAAAGGAAATGAAAAAGATCGTGCAGGCTGCTCGCAAGGAGCGCAACGAAGAGGTAACCTGTCCATTTCACCTTGTAGTAACTTAAGGAATTCACCCTCTTACTTTGTATCCTAGGTTCGCAACCTGGTCAACTTTGTGCGCAAGCGGGATCGCAGAGTGCAGAACTACAGGCGCGTGCTCGAGGAACGGGCCGAGGCCAATCGCCTTAAACAGGAGGAGAAGCGGAAGGAGCAGCTAAGGAAGCGCCAGGAGGAATTGGCTGCCGCCAAAGTGAATAAAATCTTTAATGAAGGTTACGAGGAGCAGCTGAAGCAGTTGGAACAGCAGTATGGCAGCGAGTCGGACGACTACACGGACGACGAAGAAGACGATGGGGTCGGCGAAGATTCCAAGGACGAAGACGATCCGGAAGCCGAGAACTTGGAAATTGAGTATGTGGACGATTTGTATTGCGTGGCTTGCAACAAAACATTCAAAAACGCCAAGGCACGAGCTAATCACGAGGAGAGCAAGAAGCACAGGGAAAATACCGACCGCTTGTGTCAACAGATGGAGGAGGAAGAGGAGGCTTTCAACGCAGACAGTTTAAACGAAGTCGAGGAGTCGCTGGATAATATGCAAATTTCCGACGATCAGTTATCCGGCGAAGAAACCCTAAGTGAAGAGGAGTCCCACCAGTCCAAGCGCAGTAAAAAGAACAAAAAGTCCAAGAAATCAACAGCTAAGCCAGTACAAGAGGAAGTCAGCGATGGACCAGACGAAAACATTGAACTCAAGACCACTAAGAGCGAATCGGAGGACGACAACTGGAGCAAAGGCAAAAAGGCGGCTAAAAAGTCCAAAAATAGAAAGTCAGCGGCAAGCAAGACAAAGCCCGCAGAGCAAAGGGTTCCGGAAACCACTCCAGTAGATCCGAAAGAGGAGACGGCGACGGTTCCTAAAAGTGCACATGAAGATCTTGACCAGTCAAAGCCTCAACATACTTGCGTAACTTGCCGTCTCGTCTTTGATTCAAAGAACAAGCTCTTTTCGCATCTCAAGAAGACGAACCATGGCGTCTACATTCCCAAGGCAAAGCCAGATGTCGAGGGCAAGCCTTCTGGCAAAGCCAAGGGAAAACGGAACAAATAGATCCGAACGAAATTCAGAAAAATCTTGTATCTATATTGTAGAAATGTTAGACGTTTATTTATGCTAATGTTAAAGTTAATTCGAGAATGAAGTTAAGTATGCTCGCTCTATGTCAAAGGTTGTGCTTATTTTACTTGAAGGCAGCTACGGAATGCACACGAGTTTGCTGCCGGACTCCACGCGCAGGCGAACGTGGTAGCGCATGTTGGAAGATTCCGCTTTAAGGCTGATGCCTGGGGAGACGAATGTAAGGAGTACGCCGATGACTCCGCAGTACAAAGAAATTCCTGCGAGAGATAAGTTTAGTTTGCATCTATTAGGGGCTTAACTCAAATACCTATGCTGCAGTCGGCGGGGTAAAAGGGTTCTGCATCCGGACCGCATAGTCGCTGAACCCGGGCTGCTCCCCAACCCATCGGATGCAGAAAGAGTGCTAACATCACACATATTCCTGGAACACAACTTATACTCCGCTGCTAAAAATGGAAAGATTCGTTGTCTTCTTACCTGCCACTACTTGGGCGCATGCCGTCATGTTGTGGATGCTCTTTCCAAAGGCCGACTGGCGGCAGCAGGTGATTAGGGTCAGCAGCACCGTGACCGACAACAGGCTTAACCCCAGCGAGACGAAGAACATGGCGGCCTTCCACTCACCGGGGTAAATGCTACTGTCCGTGGCCAGTCCATCGAGATCGAAGCGACCGCAGTTAAATCCCCCTTCGTGCATTGTCTTGCAGCGCGTATAAATTCCCTCTGAGGACTGTCGATGAGGGCTGGAACCAATGTTGACCTCTTGGGCGCGGCCCACCAGCCATTTTGGCGTAACCAGGGCCACGGCGAAGAGCATGTCCGCCGCCAAGGTGCAGAGGAACCACACGAGGCTGGCACTGGTGATGATAACGTAGCACATATCGATGCCTGAGATTCGCTGCAAGTCACAGATTCAACGATCAACTGCGGGAGCTTACAGCGCGTCAGCACTTGTCGGATAGATAATAGACTCTAAGCGTATTGGCTTTGTCTGGGCACGCACATCCCACACCCACTTCGCCGTCACCCACCACCACCCTCGCACCACTCGCCACCACCAGCAGAGCGGGGCCAGCACTTCCTCACAGCTGACCAGCCCAAAATGGAATTGTTTATTTTATGCTTTCGCCGTTCGCTGTTATGCGCTCAACTTCTGCCGTCTGTTTTATGTTATTCACCCCACTCACGCGCACGGAGGGTGGCTGGGGGATAATGGGGGGGGTGAGGCGAGGCGGCAGACCGCCCAGTCCGCGGTTCAGCCGAGAACTCACTTCGTGGCTGCAGTCAAAGCAAAGAAAGAGAGACGCGCGAAGAAAGAACTCTGCCTCGATGGCGTTTTCGCTAATCCCCAAGCGGCTATTTGGCAACTTTGTGCCACACTCTGTTTCTGGTCTTCCGATCGCGCAGGCGTCGCCGTGTCCGCTGCCGTTTTCCCACTGCGTCATCTCTCGCCGACACCAACCGACTGAATGAATGGGCCCATTAAAGCCAGCTGCAGTTCCAGACAAAGCCAGACCCCTATCACAGCACTGGGAAAAATGTTGCATCTATTAAAATTAATGCACAGCACTGAATTATGGAACAAGCTAAATATTGCTTTTTTAATGTTAGTATCTCGGGATGAGTTTAAATTAAATATTTCCATACACATATGTTATTTGTTTTATTCACCTAATCACTGTGTAATAAAACTGCATTTACTTTTCCCACTTTTTTTAAGACTTGGGGAGAGCAATGGAGGCTATTGTTCATATTTTAAATTACCATAAACATTTTCAGTGTGGGTATGGGCGCCGTCGTAGCAATATGAGAGCGTGGAAATGCAGACATTCCAGAATCGGACCTCGAAGTGCTCTCCCTCGCTCTCTGCTCGCGGGATTGATCGGGTAACTCCCCTCCGGCCCCTCAATCTCCACCCCACTGCGATTGGGTGAGTAATGCGACGTGGGACACCCTCGACCGATCCAAATGCTCTGATCATGTGTAATTCCGATTGAGGCGATCTCCGGCTGGGCGGTTATCAGTTGGCCGCGTCCGCTGGGGGCCATTGCGTCATCTGCACTTTGTTTGTACACAGCAATCGTGACCGAGGCCGTAATGGGATCCGCACACAGATTACGCCGCCCGCGAAAATTACTTTCACTCTCACTCTCGTTGACGGAACAGAATCCGCCGGGCAGATCACTTACCGTCCTCCATCATGCCGCGCCGGATGGTCTTCCTCCTCCTGCAGCTGTGGACAGTGGTGCAGGGCCACTACTACGACTACGGCTACTGGGAGATCAACGATCCGCCGCCACTCTGCTCCGACTACGAGATGCTGGTGGTCAACACCCATCAGTGCGTAAGGCGCTGCAACATCGTTTGCAGGGAAGGGGTTTGCTTCGAGGACGGATCTTGTCCCTGTGCCGATCAGTACCTAGCAGGGAATCCAGACGGACTGGTTTGTGCCGCCGAATGCCTTCCCGGTTGCACGGCAGCTGGCGGCTACTGTGCCGCCCCCGACCTCTGCGTGTGCCGCAATGACAAGTACTACTACTTTGATCCCCTATCCCAAAAGTGCCGTCACAGGGTTGGACGACTGCTGGACCCCTGCCTTGGGTAAGTTGGATCCCGATAGGAGAAGTGTCTCTTTACCTTGTGACCTTGCAGGCGCTGCACCCACGGCAGATGCTCCTCCGACGGTCAGTGCATCTGTGCCCAGGGATACGAGCTGAGAACCAGTCTGTTCCACGGGCAACAATGCATGCCATTATGTGATCAGTAAGTAGGGAGCTCTTTCTCCTTCTCCATACTAATCGCAGAACAAACCCTCAGCAACTGCGGACCCCGAGCCTACTGCTTCGCCCCCAACTTGTGCGCCTGCCGGCACAAGCATTATCACTATACCCACAACGGCGTCTGCTCCCGGGACTATTGACGATGGGGCGCCAGCTGGAAAAGCATGGGGCTGTTCTAGGCCCCCCCTGACGATACCTGATAATTTTATTTATTTCTCAATAAGGTTTTATGTTTAAAAACTATTTATTTGATTCGAAATATGAAAAGCTATAATAATTTAAGTTATAAATTATCAACTGAGCAGACACCAACTAGTCTTTCCGTTTTAAACCTGTATATGTATGCATGTATGTATGTATGTATCTCGCTGAAGCTTTACCAAACTTATATTCGTCCATTTTATTTTAACGCGTATCTTGAAATATAAATTTAACTTAAAAAACTTTTAATTTCAATTGAAGTGCTACAATACCGTCTTTAATCTTTTAAATTACGTTGTAAACTAGTCAAGGCCCATATCCCATATGTACCATACACACCCCATCTTCTAAACGCACGGTTATGTTCAAATGGTCCTGAACGATTCCGGCGACTATAAAAAAAATTTATTCAATATTTTAAAAAAAAAACAAAAAAACTAAGCATTAAAGTAGGCTAAGTATATCTGCTCAGTTGAGTCCAAAAACTGAAATGCACTAACTTTGTAGGGGAACAAGCGCTGATTTTTGAGAGCGAAAAGAGCTGTTAACTGGTTCTTGCCGCTCTTACCACGCCGAATTACAGACTGATTATTATTGTTTATAACAGACCGAACACATGGGAGGCCTGTCGCCTTTAACATGAATATAATATATACATACATACATATATACATGTATATACATATATGTATTTATCTGATATCCTATAGATCGGCAGAGGAACGAGCGCCAATCGAGGAAGACCAGTCATGCGTACGTGCGTTTCAGAGGCGTCGCCTCCGAATAAAACCTTTTGGAGGGGCTTCAAAAACGGGTGCATCAGTTAAAAGAGTGTATTTACAAGTTCCCAGCTTTGGCTGCTTCATGTTTTCCTAAAAGCTCCTAAATTTAAAGTATCAATGTTTGCCAAGCCTATCAAAATTAGGGTATTTCTATTGACCCACACCCCGCCCACAGGGTATTTCTTAGATAAAGCTACAGCCAAGAAAAGCAGCGCTGTCGACGGCGGCATTTTTAGCTTCGCGCGTGTGGCGTGTTTTTGTTTTACTTTTTGTTGTTCCATGGGAGGCGGGCCTCTTGCTGCTGTCAACGACAGTGGACAGTGTTCTAAATAAATAAAAAAGCAAGTACAGTTTAACAATCATTGTTGTTGGTCATTGTAACTAAAAATAAAATATTTCCCAACCATTAATTATGTTATTTGCTTATTCAAACAAAAAATAATTAATACAAATCAGTAATGGTATAAATGCAGAAGAATATAGTAGGTAAGTTATTTTTAGATAAGTTTAAGAAAAAATATTTATATATTTATTTACCAAACAACGTCATAAGCTTATCCAATGTTTAGTGGGGTAAGTTCCACTGTGCCCGGCAGCAGCAACAGCAACAACAACGGCGCCAACAACAGCGGCGACAGCACTCGTGTCCGATTGTTCTCCATCGCGTTTCAGTTGGAGTTTTTCTGTCCATCGACGCGGTCGAATCTTTAGCTGGAGCTCCTGAACCCAGTCTGGAAAGCACTTTTTCTTTTTTGCTAACTGCAGCAATTTAAAATTTTAATTATCTGCAAGGCAGTTCGACGGGAAAAAGAAACCAATAAAAATGGGCCAAGCAAAGGTAAGCGGAATCAGAAGTGCAGCACACATGGAAGCGTTCGCACACAAACAAGCACAATTTCTCATGTGTATACGCATCCTTGGTCCTTGACGAGTTGGCAACCCCAAAAGGGAACTGTGGAAAATTTAGATAACCGCTTAGCTTTACTTAATAGAGACTTCTCCAAAGCAATGAAAAACGGGATATCGGCCTACATACATAAGTGTTATTTAGTTTTTGGTAGTACGCCTTTGTTTGTGTGATGCCGCCTGTTCTGGGGGTTATGTAAGCTGACTTGTCAAGATGCTTCGATGCAACGGCCCGTCAGCAATGTCATTGATTAAAGGCCGCCTTGCGGGTCTGGGCTTGCGTGTGTTCCCCGTTTACTGCAATGATTAGGCCGATTTAAGCAATTATTTATGCACCTAATCACGCGGTATATGTATGTACTTTGCGATATAAAAGCACATATGTACATATGTTTGTACATACCTGGGATGGTGTTGCTGCTGCGCAATTTGTGAGGCACGCACGAAAGCCCCAAAATGCTATATTAACAACAATACCGGACCTGGCTATAAAAAAAAAACAAGTGCAAATGCAGGAAACCGGTTGGGGCCTTCCCACTTTGCTCTAAAAGAGTTCCAGATTCTGAATATAAACGCAGAGAAACCACCGTAATCACAACGGAAGAGCAGACTAAGACGGCGCGTGTGTCGCCTTATCAAAAACTTAGCAGGGGGCTTTGCCAGTGGAAAATATTCAGATCTCCGATAAGCCAGGCGATAGATAGATATTAATAGATCACACACCAGATACCACCTGTTTATCAGATCACTAACCTAACCCTACTTCTCTGCGCATCTTATCGCCACGCCCACCCACCACGTACTCCGCAGAAAATCTCCTCTGCACTGAGCAAGCTCTTCGTGTATGGCGCGCTTAAGTATGGACAGCCCAGCAACTCGATCCTGGCCAGCTCGGGAAATGGGTACGCTAAGTTCTGGTGCAAGGCCACCACCACCCAGAAGCTTCCGCTGGTGATCGCCACCCGCTACAACATTCCCTTCCTGCTCAACAAGCCCGGAGTGGGCTATTACGTAACGGGGGAGATCTACGAAGTGGACGACCGCATGCTGAACTCTCTGGACAACCTGGAGGACTGTGAGGAGATCTACACGCGTGAGATGCACGATATGAATATCGGTGTTGGCGAGGGGTAAGCATTTATCAGAGCTGACGTCATTTTCTGAGATCTGGTCTGATCGGTTGCCGTTTTTTTTTTTCTGCCGTTTTGCAGAACCGTTCCCTGCTGGGTGTATCTGCTGCAGAAGTACCCGGAGAACCTGCTCAGCTTGCGTTACTTGTCCAGCTACGAGAACTCCACCACCCATCCCTACATCATGCGCCACCGCCGCACCCACAAGCACCCGGCCCAGGACGATCTCACCTACGAGGCGCAGAACTAGTAACATCGTTCTTAGAGGGAGCCCTGCCAGCCTGGCCAACAGTCTTATGTTACCGTAGTTGCATTTCTAGACCGTACCTGCAGACGCAGATGTACTGAGCGATTTATTCGCGCATATATTGGCAAATGATATACACTGATATGTACCATACGCATTATTTAGGTTTTAGCAAAGTTAGTTTGTAATTTCATAGTTTTCGACAAACAAAAAGCAAATAAACAAAAGCAATTCGAAGTAACCGCCTGTGCTGGTCTCTTACATAAACGCTTTAATAGCATGGTACACCAAGGGGTCTGGTACTTTTCCACCGCCATCTTTCATTTCTCGCGGTGTACGGGAGTGTGTTTCGCTGCGAATGGTAGCAAGAAGAAGAGTGGCCGGGTCATGTCGACTGGGCAAACTATGGGCGGATCTGTTAGCACGATTTCCCTTTGTAGAGATAAGCTCGGTGACAGAAAGCGCAGTAGTTATGCACAGAATGGCGGCGAGAGTCTTTGTGTACGGCACCCTGAAGCGCGGGGAACCCAACCATCATTGGCTGACCAACAAGGAGAATGGCCAGGCCCGGTTTCTTGGTAAGGGGACGACGGCGGTGAAGTTTCCCTTGGTGGTTGGTACACGCTACAATATTCCTTTTCTGCTTGCCCGTCCCGGCGAGGGGAACTACATAGAAGGCGAGGTCTACGAGGTGGACCAGGCCATGTTCGGCAAACTGGACCAGCTGGAAGACTACCCAGACTACTACGACCGCGAGGAACAGGCCATACTAACCGAGCAGAATGAGTATGCGGGCATCTTGTAACTGCCTTATATAAGCCCTCACTTTCGGCGCCCATTTGCAGGACTATCCAGTGCTGGTTGTACCTTATCCGCAACTTTCCAGAAAAGATACTGGCGAAGCCACTACTGTCCTCGTACCACAACACGCCGGTGCAGCCGTACAGTGAGAAGTCAGTGCGCACGGTTCCAGCCAGAGAAGATCTCTCTTACTGACGCAACTTCCCCCCCAATCTTGCAGCTACCAAGACAGCCGACCGGAGGACCTCGAAACTGATGACTGATACACGGAAGCTTATAAAAAAGTAACGTTTATAAACGGATTTCAACGCATGGCTGTTATTCGTATTCTATTACATTGATTCCATACTTCAAAATGCAAAACGAAATGAACAATAGTGGTTTGTGTAGGGTAGGAGTAGCAGTGGAGGAGGTAAAGATGAATCAAAAAGCCTAGAAAATCTGAACGCGTTGGCGCAGAGCCCTTGGATGACTTAAGCTCTGCAGCCAACACTGTGGTAGAAAGCAGACCTCGCGGCCAGCATCAGCACCCTGGGCGTGTCCGGACCTAGCTGGCCTCGTCGTCGAGCGACTGGAATCGGTTAGAGGCCGCTACCGGGGCAGTCGTCGACTCCTGCACGCGCTGGAAGCGGCCCCCATGGCGGACTTCTTCAAAGGCGGGTTCGTTTTTCTTCTTGCGCTGTTCCTCTGGACGCGCCGCACTGAGCGTTGGAAAGAACTCGGTGTTGGTGATGTCGGGGGCTGCGCGTCGTGGACGCAGGGCTCCGCCGATAGACCCACCTGCCAGTCCGCTTCCGGCCTGCTGCTGCAGAGATTTATAAGACTTGTTCTGGATTGAGGTACCTTATCTACTTACACTGTAGCGTAGCGCGGGTGAAACGTAAGTTTTCGATGAGGGTTTTTCCACCTCCACCGGCACCGGGATCTGCATCACCTCCTCGGCCGGAATGACCTTCTTCCAGGGGCCATGCCCGACGCGCTCTTTGTTGGCGTCTGCATTGTCATACCCGTTGCTGTCTTCCTCTTCCTCGTCGTGGGAACCGCCGTCCTGAGCGGAGGGTACCCGAGCAGCGCGCTCGGCGGATTCCTGGGTAGTTCTGAAATGAGTGGGAGAGCTGTAGATAGTATTTTGTGCTATGGTAAAGGTTCAAGAACCAGCAATGGCTTTTGGTCGTGCTCTTTGCACTGAAGTTGAGCGAAAACTCACATGGTGCTCAGTTGGCCGATCTTGAGGCCGCTGTAGTCCTTGCGCTGCTCCTCTTCGAACTCCTTCCACTCCTCCTCAACGGGCTGCGGGCGGTACGCAACACATACATGTATTAGTGGCCGACGGGCGGCGATTTCACCAGACTCACCGGGGTCTCTGGCACCTTGGTGCCGCTGTTCTCGTTTTCGCCCACCACTGCCACGCCGCCAGCGACTGCTTCGGGTTTTTTTGGCTTGACCGCCTCCCGCTTGCTGCCATCTTCTAGGTTTTTCACCAGCTCATCTGCGGTCACGAACTTGGTCTTGTTCTTCGACTTCTTCTTGTCCTTTTTCGCGAAGAAATCGTCTAGCTCGGCCATGGCTTGCGAATTAATTATAAATGATAAAGTTTCGCGACAGGAAATTTAGAGAACAACTCTGCGCTAGAGCTGCAACAACATCGGCAGTGTGACCGCGAAACTATCGATAATTTCAACCATCCAGCTCTGAAAATATGTACTTTTTATACTCTTAACATGCCATAACATAACATAACATAACATAACATATACCATAAATATACCACAAAAAAAATAATATTATTTAGTTATTAACAATAACATAACTCCTTCTTTGGAGATTTTTCGCCTTCATAATCTGACAGCCTAAGAACGCAATCTTTTTTAGTTCGTCAGGTTTTTTTTCATGGGAATGGTATTCTACTCACTGCGAAATACACTTACAATTTGCTTTGGCAAACGAACCGGACCGTTGATTTTCCACAAAATAATAAATTTTAAAATTATTTGATGCATCGATGTTTTTAATGATTTAGTCGTTGTTTTTCGAATTTCGAAATTGATTTTTGTCCGCGGATGCTTTTTCAATAATTTTTCAAACTTATCCATCGTTATCGAATTCTGCTTCAAATCGATACTTCGATCGTTGCGCGGTTTTTTCAAATTCTCAATAGCAGCGAACGGTGTTGTATTTTGCATACGTATTTAAAAACTCTGTAAAAACGGAGCTTGTTCGAATAAATTAATTTTTTGCAACAATATTGGCAATGTGCATAATTAAGCATGTGCAAAAATCGCAGGAAAGACTCTGCAAAGATTAGCATTATAAATATTCGCGACATTTGGCAACGAGTTATTTACATAGGAGATTGATAACCACCTAATTAAGTCCAGCAAAATGGAAATCACCGCGGTGGTTGCTACCAATGCAAAGCTGGACCATTGTGTAATGGAAACCATATCCATCCGTGGCTAATTTTGCATTCATAATGACGTCGGTATATCACTTTGGATGCAAGGCGGCAGAGCCAAATTGCTTAGCTAATTGTGCACCAAACATAGTCCAGTCTTCCTGGGATTCGCATCTCGCCTGACCCAGCCCCACCCAAGTGCCAAAAAGACAACTATTTGGCCTAGTACTCAGCCCAGTCCGAGCCTCTTAGGCCAGATAGTTCCGCCTAGATTAGCCAAGCTAATAGATATTTATGTCTGTACCAACACCTACCCGGCCACGGCCTGCAGCCAGTGGTTTTTGCTTCGCTTCGGCTTGGTTTGCCACATCCCAGAGCGCGCCAGATACTCCGCAACCCATTCATATTGACAAGCACCTGGCTGGCGGCGTTCAGTCTTCTTTCGAGCGTCGCAGCGGGCACATCGATTTGATCCCCCACTTTCTGAACACGATTCGAGCGATTCAGTCCGATCCGAACAACTAAAGTCTCGCATTTATTCGCGTGCGCGAGTGTCGAGTTTGATACAAATATTGCAAGTGTTTTAAGTGAGGAGGAGAATCCGAAACTCTCGAGGTAATTGAAACACTTGACTGGGCCAGATACAAATGCTCGCTGCGGACCAACCTGCAGTCCGACATCTTCTCGACAAGATCGGCCAGCAATTCTGTACTTGACTGCCTCATTGTATTCGGGCAATTAGGCTGCAATTCGGGGCATTTACCTGCCCAGCGAAGCATTTAATTGGGGATTATAAAGCATGCCCCTCCAGATCCGTATCGTGGCGTAATCAAGTAGATGCCCTACTCAGTCTGCGTCCAAGATACGCTCGTGAACCCCCGTCTGTGTCAGGGTCGTGTCATGACCTGTTGCAGGGGCTGGCAGAAAGCCAAAGCTGATGTTTTGATATTTTCCATTTCGAACGCCTTGGTTTCGTGTGGCCCTTTGCCGAAATACATATTCGAGCCTCGGCCTGAACCTCAGAGTTAATTTTATGTGTCTGGGCTTCATCTCATTTGTATCGAAGCCGATCCAATACAAAAGATATTTACATATCGAGGGGCTTTTTTCTGTATCTTTCGTGAGGCTGCTCGACCAAAGGCCGAAACGGGCAATGGAATGGAAAAATTGCTCAACATTTAAAATTTGTTCGATTTCATGGTTTAATGTCTCAGCCTCAAGTGGCTTTCTTAATGATCCTCCACGCAGACGCAGTCGCAGCCGCAGCTCTTCTCCGTCTTACATCACTCGTAGTAGCCTTAGAAAAGGGGTCAGTGAGTCCGTCAGTCGGCAGTCAGTCAATCACAAACCGCCAGTGCAATGGCTTTATAAACTGCAGACATATTGGGGGCTTCACTTTGCATTGGAAAACTTTAATGGCCCCCATCATCGTTAGTCGCAATCGCGTTGCGAATACTACTTCTGATCAGAAATGGCTGTGTGTAGGCAAGAGGAACACACCATCGATAAACACAGCTACATTCAGGCTAATTAAAGATTCGAATATGTTTCTACTTACAACTGCCATACCGGTTTGGGCTCTAATAAAACTCTGACAAAACGGAGGAGGGGATCGGATAGCTGAAATTAAAGAGTCTTGTCGTTTTGAAAAGGGTCATTTGCTTGTTGCGCAACATTTGGATAGCTTTAAGAAAACAATTGCAAGTTGTGAGTACGTTAAAAAAGATAGATAGATACATTCAGTTGTTATCAGCACTCGCTTAGTTCCCCTCAGCTTTCTCCTCCTCCGTCTTTAAACGGATCAAGTTCGTTGGGCAAGTCTTTCGTTTGCACTCAACCAAATGAAGCTTCGTTGTTTTAGGTTCAGTTGCTCAGTTTCGACGGAGCAGAGTGTGTCTTATGCTTATGGCTTCGGGTTTGACAACTTCGCCGACCCGGCTCTCAAAATTTGGCTCAACGTATGTATTCCAATGCTTGCATAAGTGCAAGCGATCTGAGCTTGTTTCTCGGCCAGCGGCGCCTCTCTTGCCTGTTCACACATTCGGCGGACGCGTTTTAATTGGTCATAAAGCCCGAAACTGGGGCTAAGTAACTAGCCCCTAACGGCTGTGGCCGAGAGATGAAGGAGAACCGCAGTTGGCCCAGCGAAACCTCCTCGGCCAGATTGGAGCTTGTAGTTCAAGGTGCGCTTGAAGCTGGAGCTGCAGCGTCATGCTTCCTTGCAATTCGTCTTCGCCGGCGGAGGTAAACACTCTCGCGCCACCTCGAATGGCGATACTGTAATGGATACGGCTGTGCTGGGTAGTGGGTAAACAAATCCGTCCGCTCAGTCTTGCGCGAAATGTCATGACATGGCCAAAGTGCAAGGCACAGCCGCAGGCCGCGCCAGACTGCAGATGTGGCCAAGTGTAACGCAGCTGCAATTGAAGCCATGCAGATTGGGCAACTGGCAACAATCGGGTTGCAACTTGCAACAATCCCCCAGCCGAGCAGGCCGAGGGGGCGACTCGAAGGCAGCCTGGCACGCTAGACGGGTTCGATTCCAGCTCCCCGCCGTTGCATAATCCAGCAAAGAAATGCGAATCCGCAGGCGCAATCGAAAATCCAAATAGAAACCGAAAGTCCAGCTGGAACCAGTTTGCGGCGGGTTGCAGCTCGCTGGCTCCCAACTTGGACTCCAGATGTGGCAAGAGGGGCACGCGTAGAATGAGCCCCAGTTTTTCCAGCCCGCTTGCGCCACTCGTTGCAAATCACTAGTTTTTCCTTTGACTGGTTTCGCTTTCCCGGAATGCTTTGCGCCACCGCGTTTCCATTCTCGTTCGATCGGACTTGTGCTAACTGCTGTCCTTCTGCCCTCCCCACTTCCCCACAGCCAAGATGACGGTGGACCTATCGCCCGTGCAGGAGTACTACAAGGACAAGACGATCTTCATCACCGGGGCGTCCGGGTTCATGGGCAAGGTGCTGCTGGAGAAGCTGCTCTACTCCTGCCACTCGCTCAAGGAGGTGATCATCATCTGCCGGCCGAAGCGCGGCAAGGCACCCGAGACGCGGCTGGAGGAGATGTTCAAGCTGCCCATCTTCCAGCGCATCAAGGACGAGCGACCGGAGATGCTCAAGAAGGTGACCATCTACCAGGGCGACGTGACCTTTGACCGTGAGTATTCCTCAGCTCCACCCGTTCACAGCCCTTATGGCCCTCCCTCCGATTCCACTTCCGATTCCAATTCCGATTGCGATTCCAGAGCTGGGCCTCAGCGGCGAGAGCCTCAAGCACGTGACCGAGAGCACCAACATCGTGTTCCACATGGCGGCCACCCTCAAGCTGGAGGGCAACCTCCGGGACGCCATCGACATGAACCTGCTGGGCACCCGGCGCGCCCTCAACGTGGCCAAGGAGATGAAGCAGCTGGAGGCCTTCATCCACCTGTCGACGGCCTTCTGCAACTGCGACCAGGAGGTGATGTACGAGAAGGTGTACGAGTTCCCGCACAAGCCCGAGGACCTCATGCGCCTGGCCGAGTGGATGGACGTGAAGACCCTGGACGCGATCACCCCGGACCTGCTGAAGCCGCACCCGAACACCTACACCTACTCGAAGCGGCTGGCGGAGCTGCTGGTGCGCGACCACTACGAGTCCATGCCCGTCATCATCGCCCGTCCCAGCATCGGTAAGTGACCCTTGACTGCCCCCCACCCCACTGGAGAGCCGTTGCTGGCTATCTTTCGAGCGGGAGTTTATCCCCCGTCTCGCCCGCGGCTTGCTTGCTTAATGGTCGAAACGGAGCCTGCAATTGCCGCCAGTCCCCTGCTAACTAATCACGCGCCTCTGCCTCTGCCTCTGCCTCCGCTCCACCTGCTCCTCCGCTCCGCCTCCACCTCCACCTCAGCTTATCTCGCCTGTGCCCGTGTCTATGCTTATTATTTATTTCTTTTTCGGCCACCTGGCGACTCTTGACTGCCTCCGCCGAACTGTACGATTTGTCTGCGCTGGCAGTCAATTAAACTTTTCTATTAGCAATTTTGGCCAACCTGAGGGGTCGTTATTTATGGGAAATAGAGAAACTCTGAGCTGTCGGGCGAAACCCGTTCGCGTGGCTTGATGCAGATCTGCAAAATACTGCCTTGGGTAATTTAATGGTGGGGTATAGTGTTTCCTAAGAGTTATAATCTATATGATAGGAAAACAATTCTTTGTGGGAAACCTGCTCTTAAAAGGGCGGTCTGTGATTGAGTCTTGGTTTAATGAGAAAATAGTGAAGACTGAATAAAGATTACGCTACTTTAGATGACAATTTATTTATGAAATTAAACTAAAAATTATAGTTAACAAATATTTAGTTAGTGTTACCTGTTTTGATTTTCCTAAAGGGTTGAACAATTTGAAAGCAGTAAAACTAAGTTAATTCGGAGAGCCAATTGGGTCGTGATTAGGCATTTCCGCTGACTGCTTCCTCCGAAGTCCGAACTAATGGTGGGTTAGCTGATTGGGGGAATCGCGGGATCAGGGCAGCGGTGACCCCCTAGTTGGGCAAACAACCAATAAATACTGTCAATAGCGACGGTTGCCGCTAACTAGCGAGCAAAGTTCTCGCAGTTCGCGGTTTCAGCAGATGGTGATGGGCTGCTTGGGTGTAGCTTTTGGCTTCTTGCCGCCTTTCGCTAATTCGTCAAGTGTTTTTCGCTTTCGTGTGTTTTCCCGACATCGCCACCGGTTCGATCTCGCGTCCGCCTCCCCGGGGCGGAACCACCCGCTTGCCACCCGCCTCTCCGCTGCCGCGCTTCCTAATCCGAACACCGCACATGACCACAGCAGCAGCCGCAGCCACAGCCACAGCCATTCAGATCCGCCAAGCTGCCGCCGCCACAACAACCTCAGCGTGTGGCATAAAACACTGCTTAAACAAACAACCAACCACATCTGCCACTGCACACAAACGCCGTCGTCATTGACCAACAAGTTCAGTGAGCATGCAATAGAAAAACAGAAGAAGACCGCCTCTCCAACCCGCCCCCGCTTTCCCCGCCTTCGCCGCAATCGCAATCTGCATAGCAACCGCATCCGCATCTGCTTGGTCCTCATCCTGACCCCCGGCACGGGGCAGGAGCACTCCGATCTGAACACCACTCCCGCCCGCCCAGTGTCGCCGTCGGCGTACGAGCCCGTTCCGGGATGGGTGGACAACCTGAACGGACCCACCGGCCTGATGGTGGGCGCCGGCAAGGGCGTCATCCGCTCGATGCTGATCGACACGCGCCACCTGTCCGAGGTGATCCCGGTGGACTACGCCATCAACGGGCTCTGCGTGATCCCCTACCAGTTCGCGCAGCACGCGGAGCGGCCGACGGAGGTGCCGGTGTACAACATCACGTGCGCCGACCACCGCAAGATGCAGTGGGGCGAGGTGATCGAGATGAGCAAGGAGATCGGCTACCGGTACCCGATGGAGGCGGGCCTCTGGTACCCGGACGGGTGCATCACCACCAACCGGCTGCACCACAGCATCAACGTGGTGCTCTTCCACTGGCTGCCCGCCTACTTCATCGACTTCGTCCTGCTGCTGCTCGGCCAGAAGCGCTTGTAAGTGTCATCGAGTGGCGCCGAGGCAGTGAGGCACAGCTCCTGACCGTTTCTCCCTAGCATGATCCGCGTGCAGAACCGCATCTCCGTGGGCCTCGAGGTGCTGCAGTTCTTCACGATGCGCGCCTGGTTCTTCCGCTCGGACGCCTACTCCTCGCTGTGGGACATCCTGAACGCGGCGGACAGGAAAAAGTACGTAGAGCGCGAGTGCGTTTCCGTTGACTGCTGACTGAATTCGAACCGCTGCTCCCCAAGCTTCAACATGGACATGGACCCCGTGGAGACCGTCCCGATGTACATCGAGTCGTGTGTCCAGGGCGGCCGCCAGTACCTGATGAAGGAGTCCCCCGACAGCCTGCCGCGCGCCCGTCTCCAGTTGAAGCTGTAAGCGAGCGCCGCCCGGCTCCCGATCCCCGATTCCCAAACTCTGATCCCTGATCCGAGCTCTGAGCACCCGTTCCCTTCCGTTCCGTTCTAGCATGTACATCTTGGACCGCGCGTGCAAGACGCTCATCGTGGGCTTGCTGTGCTACTGGACCTACGGATTGGTGGCCCGTCTGCTGGGCGTATGAGGTGCCGGCGACCGGTCATCTCCAATTCATTCGCGCGCTCTTCTTAATCAATCTCCGCTTAGGTTCGCTTTGGGGCACAACTCCGGGGCACCTCTTCGAGTGAGGCCCCGGACTGGTTTTCATTCCTAGTTTAAGTCCATTTTACGACCATTATTTACGTGAGAATAAAGTCCGTGTACCGAGCTTATGTGTCTGTGCTTCAGTGTCCAAGTGTTGATCCAGTGCAGAGGACAACCGCTCGCGAGACAACACGAACAACACACACAGACCCGCACACACACTGATCTCATCCCCCTCCCCTTCCCCTTACACCGGGGAGAACACCAGAACTACTCTAAGTGCGCACACTCATCCTCGACTAAGACCTAATCCACTCACACCACACCTCACCACACCACACCACACCGCACCAAACCGCATTACACCAAACCACATTACACTAAACCACACACACATTAACACACCTATGTAAATCGGCTGCGGTGATCATCAACCTGGGATCGTGGTACGTAGACTGGTTCCAGCTGGAGCGCGAGCCCTAGTAATCTCTCTTCTTCCCGCCCTCTAGTCTCCCCGGCTGCCTACGAGCCGCTGCCCGGATGGGTGGACAACCTGAACGGACCCACCGGCCTGATGATCGGCTGCGGCAAGGGCGTCATCCGGTCCGTGCTGGTCAACCAGAAGAACAAGGCCGAGGTGATACCCGTGGACTACGCCATCAACGGGCTGCTCGTCATCCCCTACGAGTTCAACAAGCAGGCCAAGCGCCCGGCCAACGTGCCCGTGTACAACATCACGAACGCGGACCACCGCAAGATGCCCATGGGCACCGTGGTCGAGATGAGCAAGCGCATCAACAAGCAGGTCCCGTTCAACGCCGGCCTCTGGTACCCGGACCCCTGCGTGACCACCAACCACTACTACCACAGCTTCAACGTGGCCCTGTTCCACTGGCTGCCCGCCTACTTCCTGGACTTCCTCATGCTGATCCTTGGCCAGAAGCGATTGTGAGTAGTGCAGCCGCGCCTAATTGAATGCCCTTCCAATTAACCCTTCCAATGTCCGCAGCATGCTGAGGGTGCAGGAGAAGATCTCCACTGGGCTGGGGGTCCTGCAGTTCTTCACGCTGAACGCCTGGTGCTTCCGGTCCGACAACTACGCCTCGCTCTGGGACAAGCTCAACGAGGAGGACAAGGCGATGTAAGTGCGCCTGGACTCGCTTCAGACAGGCAGGTGTGTAATCCGTGCTTCCTTGCAGCTTCAACATGAACATGAACACCACGGACACCGAGGAGGAGTACATGATCGAGTGCGCCAAGGGCGCGCGCAAGTTTATTCTCAAAGAGAAGGACGAGGACATTCCCAGGGCCCGCGTGCACATGAAGATGTGAGTTCGAGAAGGGACCGGCAATCAGCCATCTAATCAATGGTCAATCCTTTATTCCAGCCAATGGGTCGTGGACGTCGTGTGCAAGACGCTCATCGTGGGTCTGTTCCTCTACTACCTCCTCAAGTGGACGGGGGTGCTGGCCCTGTTCTGAGCTCCCAGTTCCAGTTCACGGCGGACTCGCACTGGTTTGGTGGTCACAGGCATTTAGTTAATCCTAGCTTAGTTTTAGTTACGCATATTCGAGGTTTTGAATCCAAATAAAAAACGATCATAGGTTGCTGAACACATGACACATGTCTCCACCCCCCGTGTTTCTCTCCCCGAATCCTCCCCTTCATTGCAAAGTGAGCCCGCTCACCTCACCTGTTGTTTGTTCCCGCAGTCACTCCAGCTGTCGCTGAGCCCCTGCCGGGATGGGTGGACAACATGAACGGACCCACGGGTGTCCTCATTGGCGCCGGCAAGGGCGTCATCCGCTCCATGATCTGCAACGGCGAGCTGAAGTCCGAAGTCATTCCCGTGGACATCGCCATCAACGGCTTGATTCTGCTGCCGTACCACAACAGCCTGGCCGAGAAGAGGTGAGTCGTCCGGGGTTGGCCAACCACACAGCGAACTGCATGCATTGCCTTCCCTGCAGACCGCTCCAGATACCAGTGTACAACCTGACCGTGGACGACGCCAAGAAGCGCACCTGGAAGTGGATAATGGACGTGGGCCGCGACCTGGGCATCAAGTACCCCTTCGAGGTGGGGCTCTGGTATCCCGACGGCAACATGACCTCCAGCAAATTCTACCACACCATCTGCACCATCCTGTTCATGTGGCTGCCGGCGTACCTCATCGACTTCCTGCTCCTGGTCTTCGGACAGCGTCGCTTGTATGAGTCCAGCTTAAAGTTGCCTGGGTTCACTTGGTGGTCAATGTGTTTTGTCTCGTTCCAGCATGATCCGGGTACAAACGAAGATCGCCGTGGGCCTGGAGGTGCTGCAGTTCTTCACCACGCGGAGCTGGGACTTCAAGTCGACGCACTTTGAGCAGATCTACAAGGAACTGGGCGAAACAGACCGAGTGATGTGAGTATCACGTACTCGCACTCAATTGCTTCATGAAAACACTTTGCTCTGAACAGATTCAAGATCAATACCAACGATGTGGACGACCATGAGTACATGAAGGTCAGCATTTTGGGGGGCCGTCAGTATGTTATGAAGGAACCTTTGACGAGTTTGCCCAAGTCCCGCATACAGTTGAGATTGTACGTCGTCTCTGGCCACCGCCTATTGCTCTTAACCCCTGCTTTTCCATTCCAGCATGTATGTTTTGGACCGCATTTGCAAAACCCTAATCCTCTCAGGCCTTCTGTATTGGACTTCTCACAAGTTGGGAGTAATCGATTTGGTCAGAAACGGAATTCTGACCAGCAAATGAAACTTCACTCTTTTTGGGATAAGATTCAAGTTTTTCGTACCTAAATGTTCAAGTGCCTTTTAAAAGGTTTATGTAAGTCAGTTCAAAAATATTCAGGTGTTTTGAAATCGTTGGTTTGTTTCGACAAGCCGTGTTGTTTGTAAAATAAACGAAGTTTTAATATCGCACCCTCGAGTTTTCTTTCTGTAACGAAAAACCACGGTGGATACGTATTGGACTGTCTAATACAAAAAATAACCGAGTTTTGTGAATATCAATTTTTTCAAAGTTAAAGGAATTAATGTTGAGAAAGGGATCCTATAACTTAACGATTGAGTTGACTAGCTGACCTCACATATTTTAGGGAAAAATCGACATAGCTTTGAGTAGTTGAAGCTTTTATTTGCAAAAGTAAAATCTCATTGCTTACATTCTACATTTTACGTGCTGATATCTAAAGTATAAGCTATAAGTTATGGTAAATTAAAATTTTGTTGTGATTTAAAATCGAATGGTTCGGAATGTTGCTAAATTTTTATTTTTAATTAAGACAACTAAAAGTTATTCATTTCGAAATTGGTAAGCAGGCAAAATTCATTTTAACTGGCGCCAAAGTGTAACCCCATGTCGAAACGTAAAAAGTTGACTATCGATAGATGGAGCTCTGTTAAGCTAACAGTGGCCCCCTGTTAGCTTTCTGCTGACTTTCAATTCCTGTTAGTTGCCCGCCACTTTGAAGATCGCTTTCACGGATCAGATTAGTGCTGGATATACTCGGAGAAGGTAATGATCGCGGAAGGCTAACTAACGTGCATTGTGTGTGCGAGGGGCCGAGAAGTATTTAAAAAGTGATTTTTCGAAGTGCATAAGTGATCTTTTGGGCGAGTGAATCATCTGTGGGTTATGCAAATCAGGTTGATGCTGTGACAAAACCTGAGCTTAGGATGATGACTCGCGGAGAAACCAATATGGTTAATTAGTTACTCTGAATGATTCATGTGTAATGCAGATATCGGAGGCGTGAGTGAAACCGCAGTTGCAAAGATCACCTTCGGCCCACACAACAAAAACAGCAGCCGTAAAAACAAGTTTTAAAACATTTACGATCCAAGGTTAAAAAACTGCAGAAAACGGCGCCCGCGGCGCACTCGCAAAAATATAATAAAAACTGCTTTGTTTTAATGACGTCGAGAACAGCTAATAAATTGATTGAGTTGCATTTGACAAATGATTAATTTGAATCTTATGCGCGACCTGTGACATCATCGGAGTCAAAAAACGGTTTCCAAAAGCCTGGTGGGCAGATCACGAACTGGCGTTCCGTGCCCTAAAAGGCATCGCCTGCGGTGACCAGTTCTCGGTGAAGTTCTCAAATTTGTTATTATACTAAAGGCGAATGTTCTGCTGACCAGGCGCGTTCATACTATACAACATCGTGTAAGAGCGGTAAACGGAGCTCCATGTTCGCCCAACTCGGGAACTGGGTTGGGGACAATTCCCTCCGAGCAATGGCAGCATTTGCATGGAATTAAGGCGTCTAGTGTTTCCGACCCCTTCCACAAACAGCTGAATTTGCATTTTTTATTGCCAATTACAATTAAGTAATCCATCGATTAGGCTATATGCGGCGTGTTAATACCCGCTGGAGCCCCTCCGATCCACTCACGAATGCATGGACGGATTCGTTCGCTCGCCGATTTGACTCCGCCCATCAGGTTTGTTTATTCGTCTCTACTTTTCGTGACGCACAGGGGCGTGGGTTCGGAGGGGTCGAACTGGTACTTTGCCGAGCCGATTGGTAGGTGGTGAGTTCTTCTGCTGAGGAACTCGACCAGTATCCCGCACAATTAATATTCGTCCGTTTTCCCGGGCTGATCTCACCCGTGTGTACTGTGCACACTCTGTCCGAGTGTGTTTAATTAAATTATTTGAAATTACTGAGTCGTGCGGAGCGCTGCCTTCTGCCCCCCACTCTGGACACCCCTCCCAAATCTTTTGTTGCGCACACGATGTAGGCCAGCCAATTGTTTATGAAGTGCACAGTGGGTATATAGAGCACACAGCTCTATCCACTTTAGTCGGGGCATATTGTCCATGTGTCTGTGGCTGTAGCCACTGGCTGTTCGCTCAAACAGTTTTCCAAACACAACAGAATTCCGCTGCCGCTGCTGTTGTTTTTTCGCGGATGCTTCACGAACTCACTTCACCATGAAGTCAGCCCGTCCACAGCTCTATCCACATCTTCAGCCCCATCTCCGCACGCATCCATCTTAATTATGACTTTTTTACGATGACAATTTCGGGCTGAGCTTGGCCAAAGTTGTGTACACACAAAAACCCCAGTTCGGACTGGCGGCCCCAATCACGATCTCCGCATTTCTGACACTCCTAAGCATTTTTTAGAAATTCAATTTCTGGCTACTTGCCTTTGTTTTCCAGCGATCGTTTGGAGTGTAAACACAGCCGGGCAACCGTCTGTTTTTCATTAGGTGCAAAAAACGCACTAAATTAAGTAAACAAAATCTCCAGTTTGCCAATAAACAGACTTTATGGCCAAGCGAATCAGTTTATTTTACTTAAAGTCCGCCCACCCTTGGAATTCATATTCTTATTCGATGAGGCAGCACGTAATCAGTGGAACAACAACTTCAAGTCTTCCGGCGTGTTTACTTGAGTCCTGAGAAATTATCTGCAAAGTATTTATAGAGTTAATATCGTTTCCCCTTCTGGTGGATGAGGCGCTTGTCGAGACGTTGTCGGTTCTTATTTTGGATTGGGAGTCAGGAAGCGAAGAAAGTCGTACTTTATATACCCTAAAAATTCGAATTTGTTTAGTAAATATTTGTATTTATCAGAGGCTGCCAGGCTTGTGCAATATACCTTGTATATATAATACTTTTTTTCTTGCTTCGAGCTTCCTCGAAAAACTTGAGATCTTTGCAGCTGAGAGTTGTGCAAAACTTCCGTTAAGTGCAATTATTTGCTGGTTTTAGTTGCTTTTCCTGGGCAAACCTGATCGACGGGTTTTCTTTTGGCAGTTACCCAGTGCATTCCAGAGGTGGATGCTGCAAAGAATTTGGCTTTGGAGTCCGTTCAGACTGACGAGAGTACCTGCTAATTCCCATTACGCCACTCTGTCAACTGTCACCTAAGACTTTGTGCCAGCGCTCGGCAAACAATAAAGCTGTTTGTCCATTGGACATCAACAACCAGAGACAGAGAAACCGAACAGAGGGCCAATTAGAGAAGGTGATTGTGCGATTCTGTTTATCTTATCAGCCCGAATTCGGTTCCTGGGGGGTCATTTACAACAGCCAATTTGTTTGCGTAGCCAAACAACTTTGGATGAAGAGGCTCTTCAACGGACGGGTGTCTGTTTCCTGATTACCAATTCGTTGGCTATTGATAAATAATCAGCAGTGGCGTATTCAAATTAGCCAGGTCTGCGTGTGATTAGCCGATTTCTCACACGTTTCAAGTATCGCAGCAAAACAAGAGGAGACGAGAGGCGGCAGAAGAAGGCAGAGAAGCCGCCTTGAAATTTACTCAAGAAGCCGCCCATAAATCTTGCGACTTCAGCACTCCCATCGCAGAGCCGCCCCCTCAGGGCCCACTAATATCCATCCAGAAGAGTTATCAAAGCGTGAGGCGCAACAAATTGATTGCTAATTGATACTGATGTGTCGATTATTTTATGATTGTTCTTTACGATCGTTAGACGTTGATACCCCGGCCAAACCTGATTCGAATCTGCGGATCACTCCGACAGCGGCCACTCGGCGCAAGTACTTCCCCGCCCCCGTCGTCGACCTTGTCTTCTCTGGCTCCGATTGTTATAATTTAATAACTACATGGGGGAGCAAATTAGGACCGCGGCGGTACCACAGAAACCACTTAAGACGCTTTCTTTAATTGCCCCAAAACGGAGCTCTTGCTCTTGCCCTCGCGAAACCTGTGGGGCAGCTTTTGGCTACAGCTGTGGCTATGGCTCCATTCCAGCCTCTCGCCCGCTCCGTGTGAAAAGCATCGTAGCGTGAAGCGATGTCAAACGCCGTTTTTGGCCGCATTGTGTTGGCCAGCTCTTCAAGGTTTCCCGAGGCCAGAAGTGCGTGAGCCATGCGGGTTCTGTCTCGACTGACCGCTGACCATGCGGCGCAAATAAGAGCTGCGCATTCACATTACTCATCCGCCCCGTGCCCGCTCACTCGTTGCAGAAACACAAATGGAGCTCAACAACTGCGGCTTCGTGGACCCGCAGGCCCAGCTGGGCGCCGCCCTGGCCCAGAAGGACATCCGCCAGTTCCTCGCCGCCCTGGACAACGGAGCCCAGGCCGATCTGCAGGACGACCGCCACACGAGCGTCTACGAGAAGGCGCTCTCCACGCCGGGCTGCGCGGACTTCATAGAGGCCTGCATCGCCCACGGCAGCCAGGTGAACCATGTAAGTGCCGACGAAGTCGCCGGTGTGCGATCCAGTTACCCAGTTACCCAAGTGTCCGTTCCACAGATCAACCAGAAGCTGAACAAGGCCGCCGTCAGCTTCGCCGCCGACTCCAGGGACCCCGGCAACCTGGCGGCGCTCCTGAAACTCCGGCCGGGGAAGAAGGTGCAGGTGGACAGGAAGTACGGCCAGCTGACGCCCCTCAATGCGCTGGCCAAGAACCTCACCGAGGAGAACGCGCCCGCCGTGCTGGCCTGCGCGCAGCTGCTCCTCCAGCACGGCGCCTCCCCGAACAGCGTCGACCAGGGCGAGTTCACGCCCCTGCACCACGTGCTGCGCAAGAGCAAGGTGCGGGTGGGCAAGCTGGAGCTGGTGCAGCTCTTTCTCGACCAGCCGGAGCTGGACATCGACAGCTACCGCAACGGCGAGGTGCGCCGCCTGCTGCAGCAGCAGTTCCCGGAGCTCCGGCTGCCGGAGGAGCGCCGGGCGGGGCCGGAGCTCGACTGCCAGACCCTCCAGCGCACCCTGCGCGACGGGGACGAGGCCCTGTTCGAGCAGCAGTTCGCCCAGTTCCTGCAGAGCCACGAGGGCTCGCCGGACAACCAGGCCAACGCGCACCAGGAGGAGCTCTTCGGCCTGCTCCAGGAGAGCGTCAAGCGGGGCAGGCAGCGGGCCTTCGCCGCCATCCTGGCCAGCGGCGTCGACGTCAACGGCATGGGCGGTGGCAGGGGCAGGGGTAGGGCGAACGAGGCCAGCCTGGTGGAGCAGGCCGTGATTGTGGGCAACTGGCAGGCCCTGGAGCGACTGCTGGAGGAGCCGAGCCTGCGGCTGACCGCCGACGCGCGACTGCTGAACGCGGTGGTGGGGCACCTGGAGGAGCCGCCCTTCGAGGGGTTCGACCACCAGCGCTGCTTCGAGCTGCTCCTGCACAGCGACCGCGTGGACGTCAACGAGGCGGACGCGGGGCGGCAGGTGCCGCTCGCCTACGCGGTGAAGTACCGCAACACGGCGGCGATGCAGAAGCTGCTGCGGCAGGGAGCCTACATCGGCTCGAGGAGCGCCTTCGGAACGCTGCCCATCAAGGACATGCCGCCGGAGGTGCTCGAGGAGCACTTCGACTCCTGCATCACCACGAACGGCGAGAAGCCGGGCGAGCTTAACTTCGAGATCATCATGGACTACAAGAACCTGATGCGCCAGCGGGGCAAGGAGCCCGCCGAGTGCCACCAGCTGCACGACGAGATGGCCCCCATCGCCTTCATCGCCGAGTCGAAGGAGATGCGCCACCTGCTGCAGCACCCGCTGATCTCCAGCTTCCTGTTCCTCAAGTGGCACCGCCTGTCCAAGATCTTCTACCTGAACTTCCTGATCTACTCGCTCTTCACCGCCTCCATCATCGCCCACATACTGCTCAAGTTCCACGAGAGCGACCAGCGGGCCCTCACCGCCCTCTCCGGCATCTTCTCCTGGATGGGGATCGCCTACCTGGTCGTAAGGGAGGCCCTCCAGCTGCTGATGGCCCCGCTGCGGTACTTCGAGTCCATCACCAACGTGATGGAGTTGGTGCTGATCCTGCTGTCGATTCTAACCTGCATCGAGGCCAACTACGACCGGGAGACGCAGCGCGTCCTGGCCGTGCTCACCATCCTGCTGGTCGCCCTGGAGTTCTGCCTGCTGGTGGGCTCCCTGCCGGTGCTGTCCATCTCGACGCACATGCTCATGCTGCGCGCGGTCTCCAACACCTTCGTGAAGAGCTTCGCCCTCTACTCGATCTTCGTGCTGACCTTCAGCCTGTGCTTCTACATCCTCTTCGGCAAGCAGGCGGCGCAGGATCCCGCGAAGCAGGGAGAGGGAGAGGCAGGGGGCGACGGGGACGGGGACTTCAATACCTTCACCAAGCCCATCGAGGCCCTGATCAAGACGATCGTGATGCTGACGGGCGAGTTCGACGCCGGGGACATCAAGTTCACGAGCATCTACACCTACCTGATCTTCCTGCTCTTCGTGCTCTTCATGACGATCGTGCTGTTCAACCTGCTGAACGGCCTGGCCGTGAGCGACACCCAGGTGAGACCAGCTTCATTACCCCGTAACCCTACCCTTTCATTACCATGCGCTCTCCCTCTCTCTCTGACCAGGTGATCAAGGCGCGGGCGGAGCTGAACGGCGCCATCTGCCGCACCAACGTGCTGAGCCGCTACGAGCAGGTGCTGTCCAGCCGCGGACGAGCCGGCTTTCTGATGGGCAGCCACTGCCTGCGGGTCGTCTGCCAGCGGCTGGTGAACATCTACCCCAACTACCTGGGCCTGCGCCAGATCTCCGTGCTGCCGAACGACGGCAACAAGGTGCTCATCCCCACCAGCGATCCCCTGGAGATGCAGACCCTGAAGGGCGGCGAGAAGACGGGCTTCCAGCAGCTGCCCATGAGTGCGGCCGCACCCCAGAAGAAGCTGCTCGACCCGCCGCTGCGGCTGCTGCCCTGCTGCTGCCCCATGCTCTCCGGGAAGTGCGCCCAGATGAACGGCGAGACGGTCAAGCTGGCCCTGGCGGTAATCGACCAGAAGAACAGCGCCGAGCAGAGGCGCCGGCAGGAGCACATCCACGACAGCCGGCTGAAGGTGATCGAGCACAAGCTGGAGCAGTTGGTGCAGCTGCTCCAGGAGCGGAACTGATCCTAGAGCCTGGAGCCAAGAAAGGTCCTCCTCGAACTGCAATAGTATTTATTAGACTAACCCCCTGCCGGGATCGCATCGCATTTAACTTTGAGCTTAAAGAGCCGAGTTAGTCGGAAATTGTTTTTATTAACATACGAGTAATGAAATTGAACAAAACCCTTAATAATTGTCAGTAAGTAAGTAGTATATAATGGTTATATAGACAGTAAATATTGTATAAACGAATATCTTTACTGTACCATTTGTACCCGAGTAAATATTTAATTTCAAATGTTAGATTTACGCTTCTTAGAGAGTTCATTTAGTTATTCCCTTTACTTGGATTTCTTTGTATTGGTTTTTTGTTTTTGGTTTTTGTTTGGTTTTGATTTGATATGATTCGGTTCAAAATGTGTGTTAGCCACATATTATGGTTAATGGATCCTTAACGTTTATACTCGGCGACTCGCTCGCCTATAAAAATCTCCTATTTGAGTCAGAGCTGAACTGAGCGTAGCGGACCAAATCGAATTTCACGGACCTAGCGGGCTAACGAGGCAATCAACGGCAATGGAAATCCGAGTGGAAACTTATGCGAACTATGCGGCTATAATTTGTTAACCATTTTTACCATTCAGCCTAATTATTGTTTCGAACGGCTTCCGACAGCAACGGAAACTAAGCTTGCGGCGGAGTGCGGGCCAGAATTTTGATTTGATCCGTTGGAGCGTGTAAATTACGACAGAGTGTCGAAGTGTCAGAGTTGTTGGATTCAAGCGCAAGCAATGGCTAAGCTAAGCTAGAATTTGAATTGCTATTAACTGTAGTTTAGTTACTCGACTTAATATCGCTCTAGTTGCTCTTGCTCTTGTCTTTGTTACAGGGCTAGGACTAGGACTAGGACTAGGACTAGGACCTTAAAAGCGGCAAACCAAAATAATTGACTTAGTTCTCGGAACGCGTTGAACTTCCTACTACTTCTGATTCTGATTCTGATTTGGTTTCTGATTCTGATTCTGATTCGGTTTCTGTTTAGCTCTTGGTTTAAGTTGTATATTCGTCTTATTCTGCTGCTGGTAGCGTGGCCGATGAAACGCTAACTCCTACCGTTCGTATATACTTTAATCTCAACAATAAATACGTATATATAAATAAAATCGTGTATTCTGTAAGGCATGTCTAATCAAACCAGCCGTATTGCTAACTATAGGTATATTTGTGTACTTATTCGTGCACCGCCTGCCTGCATCCACCTCTCGCTCCTTCTCCTTTTTGGGGTCGTGATGTCCTGCCTGATGTCCTGCCTGCGGGGCCGCGAACTTTAAATGCACAGGACTCGGTTCGGTTCGGTTCTCCTCCCTTCTGATGCCGATTGGTTCGTTTCGCTATGGGCTTGACTTGACTTGACTGGGAGCAAAGCTTCATCTAATGCAGTTACGCGTTCTATTCGATAATAATATCTAAGAGCTAGGTTTTCGTCATTACCCCGGTTGGTGTGGTGCCTGCTGTTAATTTGAGTTTCGGATTCGGTAACGAAGACGCCTCGAACACGCGCCTATATATTTGAGTATGCCTCGTTCGTTTTATTGTCGTTATACTCTATGACTAAATTAAACATCCCTCATCAGTTGCTTCGCTCCTACTCGTCTAGGCTCGCCACTAATCGTAATATCTTTTCAATCGCTTTTGCTGAAGATAACTAAATTTAAAGCTTTCTCTCTTTTTTTCAAGCAAATTTTTTGTTTGGTTTTCTGTTTGTTTTTTGTGGTTGGATTAGGTTCTATTGCTATTTCGTTATCATTATCATAATCGTTTTTCGTTTATGTACAATCGAATACGAGTACGTACCAATATTAAATATCACTTAATTGACGAGTGTTTGGTTTCGGTCTGTTGTTGGTTTTGTTTCCTTTGTTAACAATTCTAATTAAAAATTATGACCTTAGTTGTTTTATTTTTCGTGTAAAAATTGCAGTTAAAATCACAATTAAGTTTTTGTGTGTACGTTTATTTGGTTGTTTGGTTTGTTCCTGGAGAAAACGATTTAGTTGGTACCATAGAATTTCAATTTACTATCAATCGCTGTCTGATTGTCTGTTGTTAAGTTATGAAAGTGGAGCAAGAGTAGCGTTGACTCGACCTAACTCGAGTGGAGTGCCCTGGATGGCGCGGATGTGCAGAAGTAACTCGGTATTTGTTCCTATTCTCTCCGTTTGGAGTATATAATGTGCACATATTAACTCCTCTTCCTGTTTCTGTTCCCGTTCGATGTTTAAACTTAATGCGATCACAATGGAGACTTAAGAGAGAGAACAACACTTAAAAAGTAACAAAACAAGGCGAGTTTCTTGGAAACTTGGCCCGACCTAACCATTATCAAAGAGTCGTACAAAGAAGTCGAGTGTAAATGGCAAATTAGTTTGCTAAAATAGAGTTCTTGTGGAAGCTTGTTGGTTGCTCTTTGCACTGGAGACCACACTGGTTGCATCTTGCTTTTGATTTGCTGTTTCAGAGACACTAATTGGAAAACTAACTAAACGCGACACAATGGTAAGAGTCACTCTCGTTGGTACTTAGGTAGGATTGCTGATTGATTAGTGTTTGCTTGGATTCGTTTCGTAACGCTTTCATTTATAGTGCAGTGTAGATCCCGACTGGGACTAGGTTCGATTTGAATAAGTGAGTGTGTTGAGTACAAAATCACCTCACATGCTTTTTGGCTTAGTTCTTTTAACGTTGAATGTAGAAGAGAAAGGGCGCGGGATCGGGGAGGGCCGTAAGATATGTACAATACAATAATACAATATAATGATATTCGAATCTACTAATACTTCGCTTTTGTACTTCGAACGATCGGGTATGGATAATATTCGCTAGCGTAATCGTATGGGTAATCGGCAATTTAATGCGCTATCGTAACGAAAAACCTTCATAAATATTTCAATAAATTTTCTCTAACTAATGTCATATGTCTGTAACTATAGTAATAGCTCTTTAGTTTAAAATACTTCCTTTGGCATATGTACAAAATGTATTTAGATACTACTTGCCTACACCTCCGTGTACGCAGGTCGGTTATTGAGAAAACAAACACTACAGTAATGAGCCTAGGTCTAACCGCGATAGTTAGTTACACGTGTAATGTCTGCATGTAATGCCAATCTCTGTGTATTGTATAGTTCAAAAACAACCTTCGAAATTTTCAAGAAAGCCGGCCCACGAAAGGAAAAGTGCTATTACAACACCCTTCGTTAGCTCTTTCCTTTGTGGGTCGACCCATCTGACTAAGACTAAATCGGGCAGTAAACTACCGACAGATCTCCTCTTTCCCAATTCTGATTGTGACGATAACCATAATGATGGCGATTCCGATTCCGACTCACTCGGATTTTTGATTTGATTCGAGTACTACAACGGTTTAATGCACGTTCTTGTTAACATAGTTAATATTGATTTCCTCCTTAGGCTGATACTGTATGTATAAATTTGGATAGCTCCGTATCTGTATATGTGTATATCTGTATATCGTATAAAGCGACTAGTATATAATTATATAGGTAATCGACTATGATAACAAAGAGGCGAGCCCCGTGCCTAAGCCTAATCCTAAGCCTAAGAAACTACGAGTTCTGACACAAATGCACACAGGAAACGGCATCGAATACGCACTCAGACTGGATGTTGTCAACTTGGACGCTGCGCCGGAGGAGCGGCTGCCGACGCCGCCGACGACGAGGAGGACGAGCTGCTCCTGGCGCTGCTTGTGCTGCTGCTGCTGCTGCAACCGCTGCCACTGCCACTGCTGGAGCGCTGCTCCGAGTCCTGCTGCGGAGTGCTGACCGGAGGTCATCTCTGCCTGACCGGAAGTGCCTCGTCCTGCGCACTCTTCTGCTGCTCCTCGTCCAGCGGGTCGCAAATGGAGCCCTCGTCGGGATTGTAGTCGTAGAACACCTGCGAAGTGTCGCCCTGCACATTCACGTCGATGGGCGCATCCACGTCCTCGACGGCCGGCACAGCGCGGGCGGCGAACTCGGCGCTGAAGTCGCCACGTGGCGGCTCCTTGGGGCTGTCCACCATTATCTGCACCGTGGGCATCGCGCACGTGTCCATGGGGCTCTCCACGGAGCCCGTGCTGATGCGAATCTGAGGCGGCGCCTGCTTGGCCAGCCTCTCCAGGCCAATGCCACTGCCACTGGCGCTGCCATTTCCGTTTCCGGGTGAGGATGTGCCGCTTTCGTCCTCCTCCTTGTACTCCTCGCTCTCGCGGTGCACCAGCACGTGGACCAGGGTGGCGTTGTCCGGCCGCAGGCTGAGCGAGTGCGGGTGCGGCTGCTGGTCCGGCGAGGGCCGGGTGACGATCACCTCGGGGGCGGGCGCCTCGGCTGAAAGGCGGCAAAAGGGAGGACTTTAGTGGGCTGCTCGAACGGGGACAAGGTACAGTTCACACATACAGACAAAAGCGTTCTTGTTTACTCTTAAAGCGCTTTGTGCTGACAAACCTCTTTCTAGGGGCGGTTTCTTGCGGATGAAACTAGAGGCGCGCTTACGTGAGGGAGCCGACCCACCCCCCACCGCCTGGTGTCGGTCGCCGTCGGAGGCGGAGGTGGCTGCCGGGCCACACCCAGTGGCTGAGGAGGTGGCGGTGGAGGAGGTCGTGCCAGAGGTGGAGGCGGAGGTTGAGGTGGTGGTGGTCGTGTTGTTCATAGCTGCTGCTGTGGTGAGAGGCACGCATTAGTGTCGGGCAGTCGTGCACAACGCACAAGTACGAAGGTTGTGTGGGCAGACAGGAAGGTCAGACAGATAGTTAGGTAGTTAGATATTTAGACAGACTGAAAGACTCAAGACTGAGAGATCGCTGCGAGTAACGGTAGATGATGAGTCTGAACAAAAAGCTTACAACTAGAATGCAAGAGTTGGTTTCGATGGAATGCGTCTCGATGGAGGCCAGGCCACAAACAAGTGAGGTGGGTGCGCTGACTGAGATCAGAGAGTGGTGCAGGGTGGTTCAAGGTGCTGCCCCTTCGGGCGGTAACGGTAACGATCGATAACGGTAACTATGTACAGAGAGTATTTACAAATAGCGCAAGAGTCGTGAATGGGGATGGTGAGGGCGGTGGGCGAGTGGGTGGGCAGGTGAACAGGTGGGTAAGTGGGTTGGTAAGTGGCTTGAGTGGATTGCAGGTGGGCGAATAGGCACTTGTCAATAATTACTTTTTCTATGTACTGAAGGTGAGGTTAAGCTGTCATCGACAGCATCCTGATGACGCAAAAAGAAATTATAAAAGCTTCGGCGACGACTTGCTCTAGGCGCTTCCACAAATATGCTACCGCTAATAATAGTAATAGTTTAGTAGTTGAAATAACATTAACAATCATAAGCATAAATTTCATTTATCTGGATGTAGAATGTTGGGTTAGGTAGGTCGGTTCACATAAAAGATCGAGGATTGTTTTGTTTCAACGATAGCTGCAATTTTTTGACGAAATAACAAAGGAAATAAGGTAAAGCTTTCGACACTAAAGAAGCTGTACATCATTATGGATGGCGATGAGAATCGATTTTGTATGAGATTTAGTCTAGGAGTTCCAATTACCTGGTGACATGTTCGGTAAGCTACGTTTAAACTAGATGAGAGTTCTTATAGATAACCAAACTATGTTAACGATCTAAGAAGGGGCAAGCAACCAATCAAAACAAACTTAAATTGCGCATTCACGTGTCCATCGGAAATCAGTTTCGACGAGTCGGGTGAGTCAGAATGGTTGGTCTACGAATTGCTTTCAAAGGTTTCCAGAAAGGCCGCTACTTACAGATGATCTTGTTAAGACATTTTTCGGATTTCTATACCCTTGCAGAGCGTAATATAATTTCAGTCAGAGATTTGCGCGTTGCAGTGAAGGAGACCTCTCAGACCCCATAAAAATCTGAATCTGATGGTATCCTCGCCTAAAAATGTTAAAATTTGGCTGATGTTACCCCTTAGCAAAAACCAGAAAATTGGCGAAAAATGAATTTTGGTTTAATCGTCCAAAAAGTGGGCTTCCAAACTTTGATCATAAGTTGCTCAAACCAGTGTTTGATTCATAAAAGATCGATCCAAAAATCGCAACCAAACTAGGGATGCAGTTGGGGGACTATGTTACAAGAATTCTATATATACCATCCCAAATCAGACATCATTAAGAAAAGTTATGGGTTTACTGAAAATTGACTAATGTCAATGGAACTAATTTTTCTAATTTTTAATCCAATTTTTAAGTGGCATACCTCTTAAAGTTTATCTTTTAATTTTCTAACGAACTGCATAATTAGTACATTTTTTATTTTATAAAAAAAATCGTCATTAGCCTTGTTTAGCCTTTATGCCTTTTACTCGACATTTTTGATGACTGCAAGGGTATATCAGCTTCGGCTCGCCGAAGTTAGCTTCCTTAATTACTTAAACTGCAATTGACTGTGGTTCTTGTTCTGATTGTTGTCAAATAAGAGTTGAATAGAGAGTTGCTGTAGAGAGCTGCTGGCGGCAAATGAGTTTCTGACAGACTTTGCTTCTTTGCAGACTTTGCGTTCGCTTAATGAGCTGAGTTGGGTTGAATTGAGTTGAGAGTTGAGGTTGGATGGAGATACTAGATAGGATACTTATAAGTGGTCGACTGGTACAAGTACTGATAGTTGGTTGGTTCAATAGATACATATACTTAATCTAGCTGAATATACAACGAGTATGGATGAGTTACAGTCGAGAACTAAAAACGAAGTTTGTAAGGTTGCTTGTTGCTCTTGTTTTGATACTGATACTGATACTGATAGGGTTTCTGATTGTTCTGATTGTTGTTAGATTAAGATTGTAAGTAGTAGGTTATTGTTTGCTAAGCAGCTAAGCTAAGCAGCTGATAGATGGGAGATTGCCTTTACCTAGGTAATTCAAGCCACTAGGCTGCGAGCCACTTCTGAGAACGGCAGTGACCATGTCTGCGAGCAGGGACTCATAGTTTAGGGAGATACAAGAGGATTTGCTAGAAATAGGGCTTAAGTTCATATACACTGTGGACACACAAAACGTTAATTTGTCGACGCAGATCGACGGTTATGTTCTTGTTGCATGTTATGGTGGCATGAGCATGGAAAGCCTTTCGTTTTCGTCTAAAAATTGCATTTCAAATTCATCGCAGCCATGAAACACAAACATACATGGAATGGCTACGTGTCGGTGTGTGTGTTTTATTGTGTATTTGTCGTGTGTTGTGTTTCGATGTGGGTGTGGGTGGGTGGTGCGTTTGGAGCCAGGATAAGTACCGTTTGCCCATCTCGTCGCTCTGCTGCTTGATGTCCTTGACCACGTCGTCGGCCCCCGAGACGAGCATCAGCGGCAGGTTAAGCCAGGGCCCGGCCAGCTCGCTGAGGTCGGAGGCATCGGAGGCACGCGAGGATTTCCGGGACGAGGCCCGACTGGAACAGGCGGTTCCCCGACGGCTCACCTGCAAAATACCAGTCTTTGAATCGGGATTGACGAGCTGACTGGAAGGATGCCTACCTGGAGGTGGAAGAAGTTCAACGCCGAGAGCTTGGACTGCCATCCGCCTGGGCTGGAGGTTTGGGTAGCGCTGTCCCCGGAGTTGGAGCGCTCCTTCTCCCGCTTGCGCCTGTGAAGAAACATCACAGAGTTAGAAAGCTGCGGAAATCAAGAGGAAATGGCTGGTGGTGTAATTTCAGTACCGCAAATACTCCTTCCAGCCCGTCTGAATGGTCTTGGCCGCCTTTTCCTGGCGCTTCCAGATCCGCGTCGACGAAACAATTTCCAATTCTTTGCGCGTTGGAAACTGTTTCTTGAACTTGACATCCATTTGTTCCTGCAACTGTTTGAAGTTATCGGTCTCCTCGACATGACCTAGCACGTGCTTCACGAGCGCGTGCAAAATGTCGAGACAGTGTATTTTATTGCCCTTAGAGATGGGCAGATTAAATGACACTAAAGCGACATTATTGGGCTTCGAGATGCCCAATGGTGGATCGAGAGAGGCAATAAAATCGGACAGTTGCGAGAAGTGTATAAATTGGGTGGCATGTGGATCATATCTGCAAGTAAATCAGTTTGAAAAGTCATCAGTTTTCAGTCGCACAAAGCTCGCCATTCCGGATTTCACGAGGTCCTACGGCTAGGTCCCCTGCCAGGGAGAGAACACCTACTTGGACCAGCGAATGTAGAACATTTCCAGATCGTCCTCGACAATGCCGATCTCCTCCTCCTGGTGCGCCTGGTTGAAGTTTTCCAGGATGATGGCAATGTACATGTTGATCACGATCATGTAGCTGATGATGATGAAGCTCGTAAAGTAGGTGATGGCCAGCAAGGGGTGCCCGCAGTTGCCGTTCGTCTGCCCATGGATAAACGGGTCGCAGTCGGGTGGCTGTATCATCAGCGACTCCAGCACGTCGTTCCATCCGGCGGAGGTCATCAGCCGGAACAGCAGCTGCATGCTGCGCCCGAAGGTCTGGAAGTTCACCATGTCGTCGAGGGCACCCTGGAGCTTCACGTTTCCGAACAGCGACATGCCCAGGATCGCGTAGATAAAGGTGATCAGACCCAACAGGGCTCCGATGTTGAAGAGGGCGGGCAGCGACACCACCAGTGCGAACAGCAGCTTCCTGATTCCCTTGGCGGCCTTGATCAGGCGCAGGATGCGTCCGATGCGGAAGACTCGGACCACGCGGAGCAGCGTCGGACTGATGGGCAGGTCGATCATGATGTCCTCCATCAGAATTCCAAATATGGAGGCCAGCACCAGCAGAAAATCGAACACATTCCACGGCACCGTGAAGTAGTGGTAACGCAGGCCCACAATCTTCACAATTGCTTCTGCAAGAATAAGAAAAACTCGGTCGATGGGACAACTTGGCAGGAGATCTGGTTCAACAACTTACCGAGGCCAAAGACCGTGGTGAAGAAGGCGTTGCTCACTTCCAGGATGAAGAAGACCGCGTGCGGCTGATCGTAGTGCTCGATGCCCATGGTAAGCATGTTGAGAAAAATCAGTACAAAGATCGCGATCTCGAACCTGCACATCACGAAAGTGGATTCGATTAAAGTTTGATCGACACTGCCAAACTTCGGCCTCGCCGAAGTCGAGGTGCTCCTCAAAAATTCACAACGACGGGGATTATGTACAGGCATTGCGGGGAGCACCATCACATTAAGTTGTAAAAAGTAAACGAGATCTAAAGCTAACTATGTACATGCTGGTTTTACAGGAGGGGTGAGTTCCCGAAGGGACGGCCAAAGGACAGCTACTTATCCCAAAGATAGAACATGCCCACAGTGCGTAGGTCCGATATTTCGGACAGTATCTAATTCATATCAGTCGTCAAGTATCATAGTAAAAGGTGCTCTACAGAACTTTAAGGAGTATGCAATTAGGATACAGAGAAAAGAATACAGAAGATAGAGGCACTTTTGACGGTGCTTGCTTGGAACAAGCACCGAATCTGACCAAAAATGCCGGGAATTACAAGTGTTCAAATGAATTTTATCACCAAATCAGAAACATTCTATAGAGATGTGTCGTGGGCCTAACCGAGACAACTACGCGCTTGCATACGAGTTAGTACAAGAGTAAAAGTTAGATTTAGACGAGGCAGAGTAGGACTAATATTAAGCACAAACTATAAGTAGATATACATAATTTGCTGGTCTTAGATTGAGATTGGTTGGTTTAAGGGTGGATTGACGGGTTTGTTTACCTTCTCGAATTGGATAAATCATAAAACATAGCTAAAAAATGATTTATAGGTCGCTTAATAACTTTCTGTGGTTTCTTTCGTCCCAATTTTTTCATAGCCGTGTAATAGTGTTTTTGAGATTCGGTGAGAAACATTTCCAACACTCCTCCTTCATACTATAAAAGTGATGAGAATAGAATGAACATTTAATTATATATATACAATCCACAGTTATGTAACACACTAAGCGGTATGCTAGCATATTCTATGGTCACAACACAGCAACACAATAACACGGTAAGAGGTACACATAATGGCGGCGTTTGGAACCAAATACGAAATACGAGTACGGCAATCATATCAGAAATGGATCGATGGGATGGTTGGCGTATGTACAGGTGATTCACGGTGGATGCAGAGAAGCTGACCTGGCAATAGCATGGCATAGGCCAATGGACTTACCTTTTTCTTGAGCATGTTGAAGTTATCAATGATAACTCCAATGAACAGATTGAGTGTGAAGAACGACCCGCACACAATAAATATAACAAAATAAATATACGCATATAGGTTCGCTTCTCGCTGCGGCTGCAAGTCCACTCCGCGGGCGTCCACGGCATCGGCCATCACCTCCATCCAGCCCTCAAAGGTGGCCACTTGAAGCAGGGCCAGATAGCCCATTCCCACGTGGTCGAACGTGATCTTGGAGTTGATCCACGTGTAGTTCTGCTCGATGCAGTCCCACTTGTCGTTCACCTCCTAGAATTAGCAGGGATTAGTTTCTTCCGGGGGACCGGTAATGGAGCTGCAACTGGAGCTGCATCTCCGCCAAAGATACTCACAGTAATCGGCAGTAGCTCGCCCATCTCATTAACGCACTTGAAAAATTTACCACCAAAGAACTGAACACCCATTATTGAGAAGATCAACCAAAAAACTAAACAAACCAAAAGCACATTGAAAATTGATGGTATTGCATACATGAGAGCGTTTACTACAATCCGCATTCCTTGCCACCTGGAATAGAAATGGACGGTGAAATGCTAATCATTACGGGATGGACGCAGGTCGTCTCAACTGTGCCGGGGCTGTGCTAATGGATGGGAGACGGAGCGGATCTCGTCTGCTTTGTCAACTTTAAGGCTAGCTTAGGATATATTTACACATATGTACACATCTAAAATATATACAGAGAGTATAGGGGCCGAGGATAAGTCGAGATTCTAACTACTGACTACACAGATTGGAGGACAAGGACGAGGACGAGGACAAGGACGGAGGCGAGGACGATGCAATGCGTGTTCTACGAGTACGTATTTCTATTCGAAATCCATAAAGAAGACGAGATTGTATTAAACACTGCACACTTGGATCGCATCGCTCGGTCTGACCAACTCCTCCCCGAAAAGAGAGAGGCACAGGAAATCAGTGGTGACAGAAAAACAGCGAGAAGAATAGGCGGAATGTCCTACGCAGAGACCTTTCATCGCCGGATGCACGATGTCTGAGTAGGTTGTGGTGCAGCCTATCAAGAGACCAGCGGCTGCTCAACTTACCGAGAGATGGCTCTCAGCGGGCGCAATGCTCGCAAGGTGCGTAGCGAGCGCAGCACCTTAAGGTTCTCATTTTCCTCAATGAGCAGCGAGAAAACGGATACCTGGAGAAAAGAGCCTTGGTTATAGGAAGTCCCCTGATCAGACGTTCCAAAAGATTACTCACAAACACTATAATAAAGTCGAGAATGGTCCAGAAGCTGGTGAAGTATTTGGAGAAGCCCAGGGCCAGCCACTTGAGTACCATCTCCACGACGAAAATCAGACAGAAGGAGAAGTTGATCCAGTAGAGCACGCGCTTCAGCGTCTTGTTCTTGTCCAGGTTGATGTCCTCGAAGCAGAGCGTGATACTCGACGCAAAGATCAGCACCAACACAAACCACTCAAAGGCCGGAGTATCGACAACCGTCAAGACAGCCGTCCTCACTCGCGTCCAGTGCTTGGCGCTTTGCGTGTCCATGCAGCTCATAAACCAGGGACAGCGGAAATAGAAGCTGAAGGGGAGCAAGCATTAGATGGTTAAATGGAGGGGATCGCGCCTCTACTTACTGATCGTAGCACTTCTGCGGAAAGCAGTCGTCGGGCACCTTGGGTGCCTTGTTGGCCCCGTAGCTCGGAAAAGTCATGGGATCATTGTAAGCTCCCTGCGAGTTACGTCTCCCACCGACAGTGAGATCGTCTACGTAGGAAACCAAACAATGCCATGGTTTTTCGGTCAGTCGCGTGAATGCCGACGGCTTCTGCGTGGCCTCTGGCGCCGCCGACTGCGACTGCTCAGTCTTCTGGGCCATGGCCAGGGCCAAGGCCGAGCTCGTGTCGGCCGCTCCCGAGCTGTGCGACTCGGTGCGCGCGGACTGGAAGGATGCGGCTTTGTCTAGCGTCGATTGTGGATGCTCCGGGCGTCGCCGCGGCCCAGCCCCTGCATGCGCGTGTGCCTGCGAGTGGGAGTGGGCATGGGCATGGGCGTGGGCGTGGCCGTGAGTGGGTGCTGCTTGGATGCTCGTGGCATGAAAGTGCTGCTGGTGCTCAGTCAGAGCAGCCAGCGGCGGGGTGGTCTTTAGCGATGAAATTTGCGCCAGTGTCGGTGGCTCTATGCTCGATTTTAAGGAGGTGGGCGGCGTGGCGGGAACGGCGGGAGGCGTGGCCATCCCCAGCTTCTGCTTCTGGATCAAAAAGGTTTTCATACGAGTTCGTGCTTTTCAGTGAGAGGCTGTCCAGGCGCAGCTGGTCGTGACCGTGGAGAAACTTGCGCGGCATTTTCTCCGACTCGATGCGCAGTGTCGATATGGGCTTTTCCTCCTCGGGTAATTCCTCCACGCGCTCGATTAGGGAAAGGCGCTTGAAGCGATCAAACTGCACCGTGAAGGGATCGATTTTGCGTCGGAGGAAGGGCGACTGATTCGACTGGGTCGTCTGGCTGGCGCTGGTGGCGGCCACGGCCATGGCTTCCATGGCCACGAAAGGGGCGTGAATTTGATCACAGATTTTGCGTATCTCGTTGGAGATGCTGAAGTCCTCGTCGATTTTGCGCTGCTTCTCCAGGCTGCGCCGCTTCAGTTTCACGGACTGGCGCTGAGCTGCTGCGCTGACAGACTGCGAACGCCGTGGCACGGTTGACAAGTCGTAGCTGTCGTAGGGATTCAACGGGTGCACCACCTCGTCGGCGGCCGAGCGCTCTGAGGCACCCGTGATGATGGCAATGTGCTCCATGATGGCCTTTGTGGCCTCGTCGGCTGCCGGCGAGGGCTCTGAGAGGTTAGACAGCTTGCGTTCCAATGACGTCGTTGAGCGCTTGATCTCCTCCAGCTCCTTCTCGAAACTCTGAATGATGTTGTCAAACTCAGAGTGCTCAACCAGTGCTTCGCTATCTGGCTGTCCCATTTGACTGGAGGGGCGGCGCGACCTAATGGCGTTCGATATACAGCTCAGGTTGGTCCCCTTCTGAATTTCGTCCTCTTCCTGCAGGAACTGAAAGAGCTCCTTTTGGTCGCAATTGAGCAGCTCTTCCCGCAGATTGCCCTGCTGCGAGAGCAGCTCGTCCTGCTCGATCGATATGGAGTTCAGCGACTGGCCGCTCGAATTTCGCCGCATCTCGGCCTCCTCCGACTTGAGCAACGACCGTTGCGATTGCCCGCTAGACTGCGAAAGACGGTCCAGCGACTTGCGGTAGCTCGGCGATCGAGTCAGCAGGGACTTCTGGTACTTGAGGTAGGCCTCGTCGTGCTCTTCGCTTCCGTAGCGCCGCGAGGAGTTATCTTGCAGCGAGTCGCCGCGGTTAAAGGAGCCACAGCCGCTCCGCTGGTCGTTCGCATACGGATCCGTGTCCGTGGAGTTGTATTGGCCCAGCAGGCGCAGCTCGATGGACTCTGTGTAGGTCGCCTCGTCCCGAGAGTCGTTTTGCTGGGTGCTCACTCCCGACGAGATTTGGTGCTGCAGCCGGCGTTCTGCGTGGACGAAAGGGGTCAGATTTTGACCGTTCCCGTTTCCGTTCCCATTTCCATTGGCAGCCGCCGCGGCAGCCATCATGGCGCTCTCGTAGGTGGGTGGCAGCGAGTCAGACGTGGGTGGCAGTGGATGCGCCTGCAGCTGAATCTGCTCTGGCAAGTCTCCCGTGTCGTCATACTCGAGACCATCGACAATGGTGTGCAAGCCGTCGTGCAGGGGGATCTGGAATCCGAAGTCTGAACCGGAGACTGGCCGATTCATTGATTCCTAAGGGCGGATAAATAAATTCAACTGCTCGAAAAGTCTCTAAGAACCACTCACCTGATAGCTCAGTCTGTGGAACTTGGTCTCTGCCAGCACACCCGGTTTCTCGCCCCGCTCCAGACTCACGGCAGTCTGCTGGGGGTGAGCCTGAGCATGCGCCTGCTGAGCGTCCAGTACGATCTGCTGGAACTTTTCCGCAAACTTACGCTCCTTGCGATCCTTGCGCTCCTGTCGCTTCTTACGAATTAGGTCGCGCACGCGTTCGATGCTCCTCGCCAACTTTGACTCCTCGCCCACTTCCTATTTGGGACAGAGATGTGACAAGATTAGAACACAGTGGAGCTCAGGGGAAACTCAACAGAAGAGTTCGCTACAAGATTCTTTTTGAATAAACATCGATATAGACGATTTAGGGATCCAATGCATACATAACTGAATACGGTTTACGCAAAGGCAGGCAACACAAAAGATTACAACGTACATATACAGGTTGATCAATTTTCCACTACTCTATAAATAAGTATTTACAAGTATATCTGGATTTAGATACGGATTGGTTAACGCAAACGAGGCAAGCAAGTTTAAAGCAAGTAACATTGGTTTAGTTGGAAAAATTACCTTCTTCTTGAAAATCTGTTTAACGTTTTCAGTGTATTTAAATTGTTTTAGTTTCGGTTGGGTTATTAGTTATCAGTTTGTGTTTAGTGTTGGGTGTGTTTTGTGGGGTAAGTTAAGATTTAAAACGCATTGTGCAGAGTTGACGACAGAAATTTGGTTAATTGGAGTACGCTTAGTGCATTTCAAAGATTGTTTTGACATGTAGACCTACATTGAGACTTAAGCAGAATACTTAATGAGGTTTGTTCTGGGTCTGAGTGGGATGCAGTTTTGAATGTATGATAATGTCCTCAGAACAATCCCCACGGAAGTAGATTTCGGACAGAGCCGAAATGAAAAACCCAGAAAAGGGAGTAAAAACATCCCTGTGCTGGGTTTGGTTATTTGAATTTTAGATTAAAGTTAGGTTAGTATAAACACTTAGCACAGTTAGTAACACAATGCAGAGAGCGATGGAATTTAGTGGGAAATTTGAAAAGTTGAAAATAATAAGAAGTTTTGCTTTTTGAAACAGAAGAGTGCCACAGATCATATAGTGTATAATTCAACAGGTACTTCAATTGCAGGGTGCCATCGCAGGATCATGATGAAGCTAAGATCTCACACTTAGAGACACACAAATACCGAAAACCACATCAATTGCAAGACAAACTTAAATGGAACAATTAAAAATCGATCGAACCATCGATCGTCTTAACCATTTTAGGGAATTATTTATGACACGGGGAGAGCGGTATCTTTCCCCTGTCGATTTTCAAACTATTCGAGTTTAGTTGTTTCATTGTTTAAGTAACTTTTCTGGCACACACACATCGACATATAGACATAAACATTCACAAACGATAATAATAATCAGGATCGGAATTACGATCAACGAGCCAAACTTGCCTCTTTCTTCGATTTGAGTTCCTCAGAGTTGAAACTGTTGAGCAACAAGGCCAAAAACAAGTTAAGCACCATGAAATTTCCCATGACCAACGTCGGCAGAAATATGGCAAAGCAGGTGGAGGCTCCTTGCTGTGGGGTTTTTGGTGTGTTTGTTATCTAAATTTTTCAAAAGGTCAGTTACTCATACCTCCTCCTCGGCACGCATACAATCCCAGAGGGGCTCGATCCATTCACCGCACAGAATGCGGAAGATCATCATGAACGAGTGAAAGAAGTCATTGAAATTCCATCTGCTCAAAAGTAAACGAATAATTAATGTTATAGTCCGGTTCAATTTCTTTAGTTTCTTGCCTTGGAACTGGATCGGGGTCGAACTTTTCGGGCGTATAGTCTTTGGAAAACAATTGCATGCCAATGACGGCGAAAATGTAGATGACGATGACCAAGATTAGCGTGAGGTTGCCGAGGGCGCCGATCGTTGAGATTATAATGCTGAGAAGCACCTTCATTGTAGTCCACGATTGGGCTAGTTTTAAAACCCTTAGCTGAAACACATCACAATAAATACAAGAACATAACCTTGGCGAATCCCCCTTACCAATCGCAAGCCACGCAAGACACTCAAACCATCGACCAGCTCAAAGATGATGTCTAATAAACTGGCCGTGACGATGAGCAGATCAAAAATGTTCCAGCCGCACAGAAAAAAGTCTTTGGATAGCGCCATCAACTTCACAATGCACTCAAACGTGAAAATGGACGTAAATACCTGCAAAATAAAAAGCATTAAAGTTCGCCTTTGAGGACGTGAAGGCAAAACTCACTTTGTTTCCCACATCTAAGGCGTTGCGAAAACTCTCGCTCATGCCATGGTGTTCCATGGCCAAGAATGCGGTGTTTAAGACGATGCACAGAGTGATAGCCAGCTCAAAGAGAGGATCCCGCACAACTTTATAAAGGCAGTTTTGGAACTGAAGCCAGCTCTCGTAGTCGGTACACCAATGAACACATCTATCGCAGTTCCGATCAGGCAAATCGTCTGGAAATTACATGACTCCACATTAAATAATAGTCACTGGCAAGCCTTTAGAACTCACCGATTACCACCACCTCCGAGGAGAATTCTTGGTGCAGGGCATACACATTGTGGTTCCTTATGCGGGCTATGTTCCCGTTGCACTTAATGAGCCGCACCTCGCGAGGAGAAAGTGCCAACTCCACGGTAGATACGTGCCCCAGCTCGTTTGTCGCATCCTGCTCCTCGTGATCGTCCACTACACCGGAGTCGTCCTGCGAGGACTCGCGGTTCACACCACTGGAGTTTGAGCTCGCTTGTCGGCTGCTGGCGATAAGCTGACCCTTGTAGTCCGAGGGGTACAGCATGTTCGGGTTTTTCACGCCCACGCCGCTGTCCTGAAAGCTGATGCGCGCCTTAGGCGTGGCCGTGGCGGCAGTATTGGTGTCGCCACCAGTCGTCTTGGCCAGCTGGTGCTCCTTCTCCATCTGCTGGTACTGTTTCTGGGCCTGCAGAGTGAGCGCCGATGGCCGTTCTGTGGCACTGTGGCGGGGACTTGGGCGCGGACTGGGCGTGGCTGAGGGGGATTTAGGGTCGTTCCCGTTGCTGCCGCTCCCGTTGCCATTGGTGCCGCCCTCCTTTCCTCCCTTGGCTTTTTTTCGCCGCGTCTTTTTCTTGCTGTACGAGGCCAGTAGCACGCCCTTTCGGGAGTCGATTTTCTTTTTGTTGTTCTTGTTTAGTTTCTTTACGTTCAGCACGGAGGGATCGAAGCTGAACGTGGAGTCGTCTCGATGGTCAAGAAGGTCTTTTTTTCGTTCCTGCAGGGACAACATAATGGACATACAATATATTCGCGTAAGGGACTTGAAAGACTCACCTCGTTTGTAATCTCTGCCTCCTCTTCGTAACTAAGAGCCACAACAGCCAGCATCAGGTTGATCAGGTAGAATGAACCAAAGAACACTACCACTGTGAAGAATGATACGCTCATGGGGCCACACGTAGCCAGTACCTGGAAGAAAGCACTGGATAAAAGGCTCGATACGGAAATGACCTAAGGACACCTACCATATTGTAGACGTTCTCCCAGTAGTCAAGTGTGATCAGCTGAAACGTCGTCAGCATGGACCACATAAAATTGTCAAAGTTGGTGTAGCCGTGATTCGGGTTCTCGCCCACGCAGAGGCACACGTACTCGAAGGGGCAGTGGCGGGCACCGGTCAAGTTGCCGCACAACACGGGCAGCTCATCCTCGTCATACAGCCAGTTGTCGGTGTCGTTGACCCAGCTGGAAAAGATTACACCCCATTAGCTTGATTTTCCGTCCTGCTGCTGTTGCTTCTTTACTCACATCTGCCAGTCTGCGTGCGAGACGTTTGTCCAGTCGGTGGGCACCTGGCGCACGCACTTATTGCGCAACTCTCCCATATAGACCTGCAGGGCGAAGAGGGCGAAGACCATGAGGCAGAAGATGGTCAGGGTCATGACCTCCGCCAGCTGGCGGAAGGAGTGCAGCAGCGCGTTGATGATCGTCTTCAATCCGGGCATAATGGACACCGTCTTGAGGGCGCGCAGCACGCGAAAGGTACGCAGCCCCGCCAGGTTACCCACCTCCATGCCAATAGTGGCGTACCCGCTGGTGATCACCACAAAGTCCAGCCAGTTCCACGGGTTGCGCAGATACGTGTACTTGTTGAGCAGAAATCCCTTAGCAATGATCTTGATGACCATTTCGATGGAGTATATGGCCAGGAAGATGTACTCCGCCTCCTCCACGGTTTCCGTCATGGCCAGAAAGATGCAGTTAAACAGGATGGTGGCCATGACGCAGTAGTCGAAGAACTGGTTAGTGGCAATGTAGACGCACACGCGCCGTGCTGGGCTCCATGGGTAGAAGAGGAATAGGCTTTTGGTTCCTGTGAAGCGGTGGATGTAGTTCTTGCGGAACCGTTTTGAAACCACGCAAAAGGTCTGTAATTTAAAAAGAGCGGGTAGAGTACAGGGTGCTTTTCGGATGACTGCCTGACTTCCAGTCCCCAGGGTCGGAGCTCAACCCGCAGAAAGGCACCCATTTTTTGTGTGCCATTTCAGTTGAATTAGTTGATTTTATCAACAATTTTTTGAGATTTAAATTAACAATCGAAAGCAGAGTCCCATCTGGCAGCCCTGCAAAGTAAGTGGCAGCACAATAAGGGGGCAGCCCAACTATCGGTGGCCCACCTATCGCACAGAAGCAACCCTGCGCCAGCTGTCAAACCACCACGCGAGGCTAGCAGGCCGACTTCCGCTCGTCGTTCGTTCTTTCGTTCTCAAACCGTCGTTCAGACCAGAAGGAAAATGAGAGCTAAGGTAAAAAATTGGTGACAAGTGAATATAATTGAAGAAATAGTGAAGTGACCGGCAAGAAACATTAACCGTGTTTTCTTTCATTGCAGTGGCGTAAGAAGCGTATGCGTAGGTTGAAGCGTAAGCGCAGGAAGATGCGTGCAAGGTCCAAGTAATCGCAGCGCTATCGCCCACTAAATGGTGAGTTCATCTGGCCGATGCCCCCGGCAGCACCCCTGAAAGCCCCATCCGCCGCACGCGATGTTATAATTCGGTTTTCGTTATTTTGCAGGAACCTTTGATTGATGCCCTCACAACGCACCGAAACATGCCGACTGGGTCACCCTTTCCCAAGGGCCCCCATGTAATTTTGCAAAACCAGTTTTCACACAAACGTACATGTGCATTTAAAATTCACGTTTCCTTTTCACGTAAAAATTGATTCTAATAAATTACTGGATTTTCGCCAAGGTTCCAAGAGAAAAAGCATGTCTTATTAATGAGAGTGAGAGTAAACGGAGAGAGCCGAGGCAAGCGTGCTCTTCGACATAACCACATTCGCGAATCGTGTGTCTATATGTGCGTGAGAGCACGTTTTGCCAAAGCGTTTTCGCCTTTCAGTTATCTGGATTCTAGCCCACTTCCTCCCGAAAGGGATGCTAATCGGCAATCGGCCAGCCGGTAGATTGGATCTATGGACCTGCGAGAGGAGCTTGAGCGCGCCAAGTCGGGAGGCCCATTAAACATTGATCAGCTCGAGGCAGGGCAGTAAATTGCCACGGAGTCGGATAGCACGGCTTTTCAAGGCGCAATCAGGCGAAGGACTTGCTGCCCCAGGGAGCGCGTGTCCCGCGCTCGTCATGGCGTTCCGCTCCTGCTCTTTCCTTTCAACTCCTTGGCCTGGCCACATTCGGAGTATCGATTTGTGTGCCAACCAAACCGAAACTAAACCTGAAGCAGCTGCCTGGGCGAACTGAGCTGTTCATTAGCGCCCTGATTTCTTCAATTATATATGCAGATGTGCCTGCTGAGGATGATGTTTCGGCCCAGCCCTCCCCTCAGCCCACTTGCCTGAAGGTCGTTTGTCACTGTAATACACACATAAACGTCGCTCAGCCGAGTAAGCAGAAATTTTAATGTAACAAGCAAAAATTACGATTGGGTGGCAGTTTGCCATTTACCATTTTGTGGGCCTCACTCGGCTGTAAATTTGCATGTCCCCCATCCGAATCCCTTGCCCGGAATGCGGTTAGAATTGGCGGCAGGAGGCGGAGAAAGGAGCTTAAGGATAAGCGTGTGTTCTTTTAAGTGCCCGAAATGAAAAGTTGTGTAGGACCTTGCTCGGCATTCCGGACAAGCTGGCGGCGCCTGTGTCTTATCACGTCGCCAGAGAGGAGCAGGCGGGCCTTGTTTGCCAGAAATGGGTCATTAAATGCAATTAAGCACTTGGATCCCCTTCGCTGCAATAGCTGGTTTCCATCGGAGCTGAGCTGGAAGCGATTTGGTTATCACTAGACGCGTACAAAGCAAATTAACAGGGCATTTACCCAGAAATGAATGCGTTCTTGCTTGGATCAGTTTCTCAATTATTAGCATTTAATAATGGGATTTTAAGATTGTTTTATCTTTGCTTTACTACTATAAATTTTATATGTGTATTAGATTTCGACTTGCCGATACTGGTTGGAACATAAAGCTGCTTTGGGAATTGGCTGAATTCGGTCGACTCAGATCAACTCAGATCATTGTGAAAGTGACTTTCAGCAACTGGCCGGAAACCATTTGTTTGAGCCCCCAAAACTTAGGAAACCATTAAAACCATCATAGGATTTAATTTTAGAATGTGGGACAACGTAGCAGCAGACTCCGCAGGAATCGCTGTGACCCACAAGTTGCAACGCTATTTGCAGCTGAATTTTGCCGGACTGCCACCCCCTGGCCAATAAGATTTAATTATAGATTGCCGGAGTGTGTTTGTCTTGGACTTAGTGGGATATCCAGTCGATCGATAAACACATCACTCGGCGTCACAGGTACGCTCATCTCGGCTCTCCCCGCGACTCCCGTCCAGATTGCAGCCCTGTGTGCCTGGTCACCTGCATGTTTATTTAGCCCAGTCCACCTCGGCCGCTATCCGGAATTATTTCGCCACGACACGTGGCCCGAAACCGAAGCCGAAGCCGCCAAGTCTTGAGCACACTTGCATGTTCGCCTATAATTTGTCCTCTGCGGCTGCTGCGCCAGCGACTCCGGCCAGTTTGTTTGAGTCACGTAAATACGGTTGTCAACTTTGCTGCCCGGAGCCCTGTGCATGACATGACCCATATTTTCAGCCAGTGAGCACACACATCGCACCACACTCGGTGGTGGCCATACGTGCGCGCAATTGTGTGTCCTTTGTTTGATGTAGCTCCAAAATTTATTCCCGCCTTTGAAATTTAACGAGCGCGCGGCATTTACGCTGATTTCCTTTTCGGTTTTCGAGGGCCCACGAGGGCCGTTCTAGGCGTTTCCATTAACCCCGGTTTCCCTGCCGTCAAAGTGCACTTCCACTTGTGCCCACAATGCCGCGCGAATGCAACAAAACGAAGCCATCAAAACAAAAGCAGCCGAAGCCCCGCGCGCGTTCCATTTCCGCCTCATCCCCCCATCCACCGGGCCACCCTTGAGCCCCTAGAGAGTCCGGACTCGCAGGACTGGGTCGCCTCCGTGTGACTTTTTAATTACATGCAATGGGCGGCCAAGCGTTCTCACTCACCTCCTCGTAGATGAAGGTGTCGATCTCCTCCAGCGGCTTGCCGTACATGTGCTCCGGAAAGGGCTCGAACTTGCGGGGCAGTACGTCGCCATCCTCCACGGAGGCCTTGGTGCGCGGGTGGAAGCCGTACTCCCGCACCAGCTGGATGTGCCGGTTCTCGTGCTTGACCTGCGACTTCTGCGTGTACGCGACGACCTGGTGCTTGGCGACAGCTGGAAGAGATTGAGGAAGTTAGTGCTCGGAGAAACCATATCGGTGTGAAAATAAAATCCGAACAATTATAGCATGACCTTTTTCCAATTACTTTGCTTGAATAAATAAATAAAAGTGTGTTAGCCATCTTGTTTTAAGAACCCGCATTGAGGTACGAAGTAACATGGCAATTAATTAATTAATTTATCATTTTTAGTAAAGCTGGTGAAAGCAGTTTAAAGTTGAAAATTGCTTATATTCAAAAAACAGTTAATTGCAGTAATGATTTTTTCTATAAAAGTCTGTCAGATTACGTAGATTATGCAATATAATATAATATAATACCGTGGCAGCCTTGATCAGATGCCAAATTTCCCAAAGTTAGGTCTCCTCTTTTTGTCAGAAAATTATTTTGTACTTCAATTTTGACATATTTGTATTTTATTTAAATCTAAAAGAGTTTCGAGTAATGGACGCAGAGTTAAACCAACTTGCTTAGCCCATGTTCACTTGAATATTTTTACAGTTTCATAAAATTAGCTTGCGGAATGACAACACACCATATCGGTCTCGTGTGCACCTTGACCAGGCCCTGCACTGCTGGATGGCCCTTCGTCTGTGGCCCCGTCCTCCGCTGATGCCTCATCCGACGACCGACAACTCAGGGCTGATCCAGGTAATGCAGGCCGTCGGCGGCGGAATCGCCGGAGCCGCCACGCGCACCATAACGCAGCCTCTGGACGTCCTCAAGATCCGCTTCCAGATGCAAGTGGAGCCGCTCACCAACCGCAAGGGGTCCAAGTACCGCGGCATCCTCCACGCCTTCCGCTCGGTGTACGCCGAGGAGGGGATGCGGGGCATGTTCCGGGGCCACAACTCCGGCCAGGTGCTGAGCATCTCCTACGCCCTCGTGCAGTTCTGGTCCTACGAGCAGCTCCGCTCCATGGCCCACCAGTCGGTCTTCTGGAACGAGCGACCCTTCCTGATGTTCTTCGTTTGCGGCGGCCTGGCCGGATGCCTGGGCGCCTGCGCTGCCCAGCCCTTCGACGTGGTGCGCACCCAGATGGTGGCCGCCGATCCCTCCTCGCGCCGCAGCCAGATGAGCACGTGGAGCGGGCTGCGGCGGGTCTACCGGACGGAGGGTTGGGACGGCTTCACGCGGGGAATGTCCTTCACCCTGGTGCAGATCTTCCCGCTGGTCGGCGCCAACTTCTTCTTCTACAAGTACCTCAACGCCCTGGTGCTCGCGGCCAAGCCGCCCGATCTCCGCCAGGAGATCCACGGCGCCTTCCTCTTCATCAACGGCGCCTTGTCTGGCGTGGCGGCCAAGATGCTCGTCTACCCGGCCGACCTGCTCAAGAAGCGCATCCAGCTGATGGCCTTCAAGCAGGAGCGCAAGACCTTCGGCCGCAACCCCGACTGCCCCACGCTCCTGGGCTGCATCACGACCACGTTCCGGGTGGAGGGCATCGGCGGCTTCTACAAGGGCATGTCGCCCACCCTGCTGAAGGCCGGGCTGACCAGCGCCGTCTACTTCACCATCTACGACCTCTTCAAGCGCCACTACATCGCTCCTCTGCGGGAGCCCGACAAGGGCCGCCAGAAGCGCGGCAAGACGTAGTCTCCACTTGCCCGTTTCATCGTGGAACTGGACCAGGTGAGCCCCCTGTCCCGCCAGTCCCGCCCATGGGCAGCAGGCCGAGTTAAGTTATTACACTAACATGGTTTATTTGTACATCAGCTTCGAGTGAGGATGCGCGGAATATGGATGAGCGAACGAGTCGAATATAAGTTAAAGGTCCCGTGGACGGTGTGAATTGGGGGGCATGAGCAGTAGACTAGACGACCAGATGGCCAAGGCGGGCATTGCCGCCTACTTCCAGCTGGAGCTGGATCCCGCCCAGCCGCCGGAGGCTGGCGCCGAGTAGCTGTAACCGTCGCCCCCCGCCGCCGGAAGATCCGCCGTAGGAGCCGCCGCCGCCACCGGAAGCAGCCACTGCAGCCACCACCTGGGTGTCGTAGCTGGATCCACCGCCGCTGCTGTAGCCACCGCCGCTGTAGCCGCCGCCATGTCCTCCGCTGTATCCGCCGGAGCTGTAGGAGGAGCCCCCGCTGTAGGAGGCGCCGCTGCTGTAGGAGGAACCACCGGAGTAGCCGCCGGAGTAGCCGCTGTCGTATCCGCCGGAGGAGCCACCGCCGTACCCGCCGGAGCCGTGCGAGTCGCCAGCCGCGGCCGCAGCAACAATCACCTGGGTATCATGGCCTCCACCGCCGTGACCTCCGTGACCGCCGTCGCTGTAGCCTGAGTATCCGCCGCTGCCTCCGTGGGCGGAGGAGTCCGAGCTGGCGGCGATGGCAGCGATGTTGGCGATGGCGTGGGCGTCGCCGTGTCCTCCGCCTCCACCTCCGCCTCCATGGCCGTGTCCGTGTCCGTGATCGGAGGACGAACCAGCGGCAGCTGCGATGGCGGCAATCTTGGCATCGTCGTGACCGGAACTGTATCCGCCGGAGCTGTATCCCCCGGAGCCGTAGCCGCTGGACCCGTGGCCTCCGCCTCCGCCAGCACTGTATCCGTGGCTCTCGGTGATGACAGCGTAGGTGTTCACATGGCCGCCGCCGCCGCCTCCTCCTCCTCCACCGCTGTAGCCGCCGTCGTGGGAGTGAATCTCGTAGCCACCGCCTCCGTGGCCTCCGAAGTCACCGCCTCCGTGGCCTCCGAAGTCGCCACCTCCGTGGCCGCCGTGGTCGCCGTGGTCGCCACCGCTCTCCGGCAGGTGGATGCGGATGTGGACGTGCTCGCGACCGAAGGTGGGCTTGCCCCAAACAGCCGGACTGGCCAGCAGGAGCGCACTGATCTGGGAGTGGAGGGAAGGGAAGGGAAAAGGGGTTAGGATCCAGCTGCTCCGATCTGGCCACGATGCGAACTCACTATGAAACGGGCAGCCATTCTCTGGATTCGTTGCCAAGGACTCTCGGATGATAGCTCGTCTCTGGACCGACTGGGAATGATTCGGCAATCGTGGCTGCGCGCCGTTTTATAGCCCTCTTCCCCACTCGGGAGCCGTGGGTTACATAAGCGGTCGCGCCGCCGTCGAGCAAGTGCAGAGATAATCTCTTTCGGCGGCGACTGAATGAGCTGAATCGAGTGGAGCAGCCCCTCTGGAGCTCCACGGCCGCGACCCATTGAAGGCCACATGGCCGCGTCTTCGCGGTGCTTTCTTCTCCGCCACTCTTCACTCTTCGCTCTCCACTCTTCACTCTCCCTTTCCGCGACCGCCAGTGTGTTGACCTTTCACATCCTCCCCAGCATGTGCCCTTTGCGAACCGGGCTCTCTGCTCACACGATGAGAACGGAGCGGACAATTTTATATTATATTTTGTGTGCCAAATTATTTTAAAACGCAAAGACGGTTTTACATAAATGGTGTGTTACCAACGTAAGTGTATTATAAGTGTTTGGCTTTTCATTTGCAATATTTTAGACGAGGAACAAAACAGGTTCTCTAGACTCATTTAAGATCGCTGGGAGTCACCCGAAAAAAACTCACATGGAATCTGTATCGCGGCATATGATAATGTAATATTTTTAATTTACCAACCAATCATAGTTTAAGCCCAAAAATTATCATCCGATAAGATTATTTGTTAATATCTTGTCTATTAAAAGCACATAAGCTACCAGTTTTTCTCTAGGTGTAGCAGCTCACTCTCTCCCGAGGAGCATTGGCTTCTTGCTCCACTTTCGTTTGAGAGAAAATCTGAGTGGCCCTAAGCTCTGTGGGCTGGCTGCCGAAAATGGTTAGTATCGGAATTCAAACTGAGGTAATATGCAACTTGACCGGTTCCAGTTTTGGCCCAGAGCGCGTTGTTATTGCCACTTTATCACATCGCCGATGCTGGAAGTTAACCGTTAGGTATTTTGTTGACGTTCATGTTTATGCATGGTTGTTTATGCAGATACGAACTTCCTATTGGCAATTCCTTATTGTTGGTCCGGACTTGCATAACGATTGGCCAAGGGTTGGATTGGCTGGATTGGCAGCTGCTCGGGTCGTTTCTCATTAACCCATTGATGGCCGCCGCCCGCCGGAAATTGGCCTGATAATGTCGTTTGCTGGCGCGAGGAGTGGGGCAGTGGGCCAGCGGGGCAGCGGAACATAACAGGTTCTGTTCTTCGGATTGGGCCAGGTCAGTGCGCTGCGCTGCGCTGCCGCCGAAACTTCTCCTTTCTGTGAGCCAGCTGGGAAAGTGGCTCTCGAGCATTATTGGGTTAAGCCTCGCCTGCAGCAGCATCAAAAATATCTTGTCATGCTCTGGCGCTGCAACACTGGCGAAAAAGTACCTGCCGTGGGTTTTGTTTCGCTCTTACATCAGCAAGACGTCCGGCTGGCTGACGGACTGGCAGCGCGGAGAGGTCATGGCCACTGGCCATCTAATACCAGCGACTCACCCATCACCACCCACCGCCCTCTGTTATGCATTCGCCGTTGATTAGCCACAGTTTTCATTAGCGCTGAGTGACTGAGTGACTGGGCCAGCGTGTGGGCCGCAGTTTTCATCCGAATCATCGGAATCGGGGCCATCCGGCCATTTCGATTACGTAGCTGATTATCATTTCTCGGCGACTGGGTAGCTAGGCAACTGACTGCTCGGCAGCTCAGCAGCTGAGCAGCTCGGCAGATTCCGTCGTTGCCGAATAATTAATACACATTTAAACTGTTTCGGGTTGTAAACAAAAGCGGGCTTACATAAGGAACTAGCTGCCCGCGAGCGGGACTCCGACGCAACAATCTGTTGCCAATCAAAGCATAATGACGATCATAATCACGATGCTCCCGCGAACCAAGTTCGAACTGGGAGCAAAAGCACTCACTCGGCTGCATTTCAATTTCAATACCAAAAGAGCATCTCTCCACGGGGACCGCTGCCTTTGGCCAGCGAGGGCCGCGCTCGCGATGATGAAGCTGCTCTGCCGCCGCCACGATGACGGCGATGACTGTGATGACGATGGGCAACCGGTTGGCGGTCGCACATTAACATCAGATGCAACAAAGACGCACATCTTCCCCGTATTGCATAATCGTCCCGGGCTCGCGACTCGAAACTCCCGAGTCGCCGCTGCATCTTCACGCGGAAGCAAAGTCATTCTCAAAGCGCCCAAAAACAAAAAGGAAATTGCACACAGGCACAGAAAACTACTAAAAAGCAACTAGCAACGGGCAATGTCGTGGTTTTCCCAAAAAACCAGTTGCATCCCCACACGGTAAAAAACTTGTACTCAAATAATGCCAGAAGCGATCCTATAAAATTAGTTAGGTTAATCGCAAAATAAATAAAGCTATTCTGAGCTGTATTTTTTTATTTTTTAATCAACATTAATATGGTTCATAAGTTGTGATGTATGATATATGATGAAATATAAACATATTGGGAGAGGTTTTGCTTCACTATATTCCACTCCTCAAGGGTAATAATTCCGATAAAAGGAACCCTTCATTTAGGTCTCAACAATTCCTCTGAGAACAGCTCTTAAAGCAAAGTAAAACTGGAGTGTTTAAACTGCTGGCTTTCCTATTCGCCAATTGATGGCAAGTCTTACATTTTTCTGCTAGTGAATTCATTGTTGCAGTTGCAGTTGCAATGCCGCTGCTGCTTCGGTTGCAGTTGCAGCTGCGCAGACCTTTGCACAAGTTCAATGGTGACGGGAACGGGAATGGAAATCGAAATGGGATTGCTACTCGAAGCGGGGTTGCGGGGGCGGGGCGATTACGCCCCTCGCAGACGGAGGCACTTTCTATGCGGCGCTCTCCACTCGCTTCCTGGCTTCCTGTCCAAAAACAAATCCAATTGGAGGCTGGCGAGGCGAAAGGGAAGGCAATCCAAGCCGAATCCCAAGGAGAGCCCGAAACCGAATCCGAAACTGAAACTGAAACCGACACAGAAACAGAAGCAGAAATTGCACCGATGCGGTACAAACAAAAGTGAAAAAGTGAATCGGGAGGATTCGCATAAAGCGAGATGCAGCAGCAATTGCTCTACATATTTAATTAGTTTCCGCTTCCGTTCATATTCGTAATCCGCAGCTGGCAGCGCCTGCTGGCCTTTGTGCTTTGTTCGCCTCCCCAATGAATATCCTCCGCTGACAAAGGCTCCCACCGACCTCCCATCCGCCCACCAGGACCTCCCCCCTCCCCCTTCCCCTACCCCGCCGGCGAGCGAAAGGACAAATTGCGCTCTCTATCGGCGCCTGCAAAACGATTGCGTAACTTATGGCCAGTCGTCAGCCGAAACGTTGGCGTCCAGCAGAAACGCTTCCCATTTTCGATTTGTTTATCATTTATTTAAACGGCCTTAGGGTCGGCCTGTCTCGCCATTAAGCTGCTTCGATTCCATTCTCGTTTTATTGGCCAAGACCCAGACCCAGACCCAGACCGAGGCCAAGACCAAAACCAAGACCCAGGGCACCAGGCAAAAGGCGACCAAGCAATCGCCCAGCACACAACGAGCAATGCTATTTAATTATGTTGATGAGCAGGACTGGCCAGGAGGACAGGAGTCCGGGAAGTGGCAGGAAAAGGCACAACACGCACAAAAAGCAAATGCCTCCGCACTTCCCACCCCAATCACCCCAACCACTCCATCGCCGAATTTGTTGCCCCGCACAGTGGGTGGTTCCCCAGCAAAGTGAACCCGAAGTGCTAGCAATAACCCGATGATGGATGCTCATCTTTGAGCTTACAGCTTGTCCAACTTATATACATATTTTAAAATAACGCGAAATACTGGTTCATCTTCCACGATTTATGTAAAAACAAAACACCTCCGGCACAAATACGGAAATAACTGCCTCTAATAAAGAATAAGCATGTATAATTATTTCTTAGTATTACTAAAAAAAATAATATAAATGAATCGAGCTATTATTTTGTTCTTAGTGAAAACTTTACAAAGTAAGAGTTAAGAGTTTTACATATTAGTTAAGCCGTAAACAATATTTTAGGTGGATTAGGTTAGCTCAATGGGTAGCTCAATAACAGATGGAAATGCGTTCTTCAATGTGACTCCAGTACACCACAATCTCTGTGGCCACGACCACTGTGCACGACTTTCGCTTAGTTGGCGTGCAGGTGTCGCTGTCAGGAGAACGGAGGCAGGAGTCCCGCCCCCTGACACCTGGCCTCCTGGCCTTTCAATGCATATGCCCTCGGATACAGATTTGATGGCCTCCCATCCCCATACCCACCCCCAACTCCACCCAACGTGGCCCCACTCCCGCCGGACGGCTCAAGAATAATATTTATGAGGCCGGGTGGCTTGGAAAACTATCAATGGCAGTATCAGCAGGGCTTAGTGGTTCGGGACTCACCTTTCTCATCGTTGGACGCCGTTTGATCATCACTCATCTTGACTGATTGTCGTCGTTTGGTTGGTTACTGCTGCTGCTGCTGCTGCTGCTGCTACCTCTGGTTTCTGTTGGTCTGCGTCCTTGCTAATGTCCTTAGGGCAGCTGCATGGCTTGCTCTCTCTTGGCTTGCTTCTCACTCGATTTTCGAACACTGGTCTGCATATGTCTGTCTCACTTTTCAGGCGAGCGGATCGCTCAGTTTACCGTGAATATTGTCACCGTTCCCTTTGTTAACCATTTTGTGCGTAGTGCCTACTATTGCTAATGCTGTTGTCGTGGTGCTTATCACGCTGGGGGCTCTCATGGTGCCTATTGCTATCACAATTGCTATTGCTATGCTATGCAAATCCTACGACTATGACAGTTTCCAATAATGGCATTTGGCATCGCCTCGGCTCGCCGCCTCGCCTTCTCGCTCCTCGGCTTCTGCTTCTATTGTGGGCTTTGGCTTTGTTGTGTTGATTATTGCTTTACATTTTGCGATGCGTCTGTTTTGTAAATGGGAGAAATGAAGAAAAAGAAATTGATCTGAGTGGAGAGATTTAAGCTTATGTAAGTGGGGGGAAGCGAGTAAATTAAATCGCCTCTGCCCGCAATAGCTCAGCGTCGCATCGTATAACGGTAATTGGCAGCACGCTAATCCCCGAGAGCGCCCACACCCACTCACACACGTTACACTAAAAAACTGACTGTAATTTTTGGCCTGACTTAAAAGATTTATTTAATAAATAATCAAAAAAATATCTTTGAAATATAAACAAAAGTGCCCATTATTAAAAATTTTTGAAATCATTTGCTAAATTGAAGCAGTTCTAAATAGATTTTATTTGGGAAGTTAGATTATGGGCCAACTTGTTTCTTTACTGTTTTTGAACTCAATAGTTTTTGAATACTTTTGTGATGGTTATCCCTAACTCAATCACTTACCTCATAACAGATTATCTTAAGATTTTGAAAATCATTTTTCCCGAGTGCACTAAGTATATGAACCGTAACGACTTACTCGACTAATGTGCGTAACGGAAGAGATAAACACCTGAGAGGAAGGATGGCAGAGGGCCTGAGACGAGAGGCGGGAAATGAGCACTGCTTTAAGTCTTAAAGCTTGAGCGAGATAAAGTTAATTAACATTATGGGCACACACACAATCTAGCATCTTTCCGAACACGAACACACCCAAAGTAAGATACAAGAATTGATAAATGGGCGCCCAACAAAAAGCAATGAGGTTGCGTGGGCAGTGGCGAAAGGGAGGGGGCGTGGCAGGATGATGCTGCTCACTGCTCAGCGCTTTGTTGCTGGTGCTCCCGGCATTGTTGCGCCTCCCCCACATATATGAGTGCGGGTAGCTGTCTGTGTAGGCCTGTGCTTCCTGTTGTGTTTTTCGCAAACTTCTTGACACGTCTGCAAGCTACTGGCAGCGAAAATGGAAAAGCGTTAGATGAAGGCACCCATAAAATATTCAATATCAAGTTTCCACCTCCCCGTTATGGCAAGTGATGTTTGCTGGCGGAAATTCGCTGGCAGGGATGTGCCATTAGGCCCGGAGGCTGGGCCCCCGTAGAAGATCCACCTGCATTTGCAGGTGCGCGCCAGTACACACAAATCGGCAGAAACACTTTTATTACAACAATAAGAGCTGCGCTGGAGACATTAAACAATGTGTTGTTGGCTTACAATTTTACGGAGGGTTCTTCCCCTTGGGGTCGAGCTCCGTTTCTGTTTGTGGTACTGTTTCAGTTTCAGTTCCAGTTTCTGTTTCTGTTTCAGGGCGTGACCAGTGGTTGGGTTTAAAGTTGGCCCATAAAAGTGCGGCTGGCAGAGCTTTACCAGTTGGCCCCTAAAGTTGTGCTACAAATTTTGGTCCTCGATTCCCCACCGCCGTTTTTAGCGCTCGCACGACAGCAACGCGAACGAAGCGATACGAAACGAAGCAAAAGTGTGGCCGCCTAGTTAAGTGCACATCAAGAGCTAATTTATGGCATAAGCCTTGTGGTTGTGTTGACCCTCCCCCACACACACACCCACACGCATTTCCATGTTCGATTTTACCTTTAAACATTAGCCGTAGGTTGTTTACTCTCCGCTGGCTGCAGTTCTTGTCCTTGCTGGTGGATGTTCCGGGATGATAGCAGGGCTTTATGTAATCGCTTGTGTGCTTGCACTACGGCTATTTCTATTTCTATTTCTATTTTCGTATTTCACTTTCTTGGGCCTGCAACACACGCACACACACACTATTGCACTTCACTTTCCTTTCGCCAACCACTCTTACACTTCCACTTCTCAACACTGGCACACCTACTCTATTCCCGATCCTGTTGTTGCTGCTTCTGTTCAAGCTGCTGTTTTATTTGATTTTATTTTACATTAATTACATTTTTATTTAGTCGCAACTGTGCAACAATGTGGGTGGAATGGGGGTGGGCCAACGGCACCAGCAACAAAAACAGAAACAGAAACAACGCAAAGCAAAAACTTCGGGCACGCACATTGTTCGACACACACACACAAACACACACCAGCGGACTGAGAAGTGTTATTACAATTTACTGTTGATTTCTTTCGCTGTCCAAATAGTGAGTGCGAGCGAGACAGCCGAGTGCCCTCCCTGCCCGCGTGTGTGTGTGCGCAAAAGCGTGCGAAAGAGCGCGAAAATGTAGGTTAGTTTCAACCGTGGCCCCTCCCCCCGCCCCTCAGCAGCAGCAGCAACAACAACATGCAGCACACATTTCACTCTATTTTTGGGCGCTGAAGAATTTTCCTCGCACTGAATGCACTTGTGCTGGTAACGCGTACGGCTGTGTGTTTGAGTGGGTCCTTTCTGCGTTACTTTTCAGGCCTTTTCAGGCTTTTCACTGCTTTTCACCATTTTCCTTGGCTTTTTCACTTCACACTGGGACACTGGGCCACTGGGACACGTGCGCTCGCATGGCGACTGCTCGGTTCTAAGGTTCGTCGGCGACTGAGCTCGGCTAACGGGTTTTCCTTTCCGTTTGACGTAATCTGCAGGGCGACCGCGATGCAGAGCGATGAAAAAACACACAAAGCAATTTCCCCAGTATTCTGGCGAAAAAGGACTCGTCGGGGAAATGCTCTCTCGCTCCGTTCGCGAGGTACTTCCCCTGCGCCCTCGCGATTTCTTGCAGGTCAGCCGGCATAAACAAATGCCGTGCCACATGCCACATGCCACACGAGGACCGAGAACCGACTACACGCTCTGGCGAACTTCCCCCTATTCCTCCGATTCAAATTCTGATTTCCATTCCGAATCCTTTGCTGCTGCACCGCGGGCAATAGGACCTCCACCGCTGCTGCGCTCTCCCCGCACAGAAAATGTCAAAATGATTAAGCTTGAATATGGGCCACTGGCTAACAAAGCCAGCCGCATGCGGACGTTCGTCGGTGGAAAATCGTGTAGGGATGACCCGCCTACTGGCTGGCACACACAGCGTATACGTAATGTCAGCATCAGCACGTGACGTATACGCAACGTTTGCTCGGGGAGATCGCGACTGGGGTTCTTTCTTTCGCAACTGCAGACAAGCTCAGAGCGCCGGCCCTAAAGCGATAAGCCCGTAGCTTGACTAGCCGCGCAGTAAGAGTTTAGATTCCGCCAGAGTCGGAAGCAAAGCCGAAGTCGGATTATAACACACACACAGATAAGCTTATCGCGGCGAAACGGAAGCCAGTCCAGGGCCAAAATGCGGCCCCTGCTCGGAGTACCTCTTCTGGTCATCCTGCTGACCGTCTCGTTCGGGCACTGCAACCCCCGAACCAACCACTCGTCCGGATATGAGTTGGCCACCAAGCTGATCTTCGACAGGGCCACCGCCCGCATGCGCAACGTGTGGGGCCTGCAGCGCAGGATCTTCATGCAGCTCACGGACAAGGGGAAGTCGCCGCTGGGCGGACAGGTTGTCAACGTCAAGCAGGAGGTGGATGCCGAGACCTATCGACTGCTCTACGAGCTGGCGGCCAACTTGAGCGTGGTGCCAGTGGCCAACCTGGACGATCCGCTCCTGCGCAGGCGCGTTCAGCGAATGGCTAAGCTACAGCTGCAGGGCCTGCGACCGAAAGACTACGAGCAGGCCAAGGACCTTCTGCGGCAAACACACAACTTTGTCAGCGGGCCCCTGGTCTGCCTGCAGGAGGACTGTTCCGCCCACGGCCCGCTGACCATGTTCCCGCAGATCGTGAACAAGAACATGCGCAGCAAGCTGTACGAGGAGCTCTTCTCCAACTGGGTCGCCTGGCGCAAGGCCATCAACGAGAAGGAGACGGCCAAGAACACGTTCATCGAGTACGTGCGCCTGCTGAGGATAGCGGCGACCTACAACGGCCACGTGACGCCCTCGCGCACCTGGTACCTCAACTACGACACGGAGAACTTCCAGGCGGAGCTGGAGGCGGTCTTGTGGGAGATTATGCCGCTCTACCGGGAGCTCCACGCCTACCTGCGCCACGAGGTGCAGGCGGCTTACCCGAAGGCGGACACCAAGAGCGACGGCGCCATCTCCGCGCCCATCATGGACCAGATTTTGTCGCAGGCCTGGTACCCGCACCAGTTCTTCCGCACGCCCCACCAAGGCAAGCAGCACCAGCTGCCCTCGGTCCATCGCCGTCTGGAGGAGGTTCTGGTCACGCCCGTCAAGATCAACCGCAAGGCCGCAGAGTTCTTTGAGTCGCTAGGCCTCAACATAATGTCAGAGTGAGTCGAAGTCGAAGTCCTTTTAAAAGCTGTTAAAGGTTTCTGAGATCGTATAAGCTTTTACTTGATGTTTAGAAAAGAAGATTTATTTAGCTGAAAAATCCTTTAGATAACTTATTCTGAAGACTTCGCCTTGTCATTATCCTTAAAGACTACAAATTAAACTATTTTACAGTAACTTCTACGATCGCTTCTCTCGCCGGATGAAAGACGACGAGGGAGGGGCGGACTGCAAGTCGCAGGTGTACTACTTCCCGCCGGACGTGGCGCTGCGCTACTGCCCAAAACTGGACTACAAGAAGATGATGCAGATCCACGGCACAATGGCCGAACTGCAGTACAACCTCTACAAGGTGCAGCTGCCCTTCGGACTCGACTCGGAGCCGTGTCCTGGGTTCGGCGCCGCCCTGGCCGAAACGGTAGTCCTGGCCTCAGGCACACCGCGCCATCTGCACCACTTGCACATCCTGCTGAACGACAGCCTAACGGAGGAGCAGTCCCTGAACCGACTCTTTCGCATGGGCGTTCACACACTGATCGCCGTGCCGCAGTACTTCATCAACGACAAGTTCCTGGTGGACGTGATGGATGGTCGAATCGGAGCAAAGGACTACAACTGCGCCTACTGGGACCTCCAGGATAAGTTCGCCGGTGTTCAGCCGCCTTCGCAGCGCTACAACAAGGACTTCGATATGGACTTTAAGTTTTACCGCGGCATGAACCCGGAAACCTCCAACACAAAGTCTGCTCGCATTCTTTTTTATAGTTAGCCTAGGATATTCTATCCCCCTGATTCCCCCACAGGAAATTCCTGGCCGAGATCCTGGGATTCCAGTTCTATCGCTCCTTCTGCCTCACGAGCGGCCAGTACAAGCCGGGCGATCCGGATTTCCCGCTGCACAACTGCGACTTCTACGACAGCAAGGAGGCGGGCAAGAAGATGCGCGACATGATGCAGCTGGGGGCCACTCGACACTGGCGGGATGTCATGGAGATCGCCACTGGAGAACGGAAGTTGACGGGACGCGGAATCCTGGAGTACTTTGCCCCACTCTTCACTTGGCTGAAGGAGCGCAACAAGCAGTTGGACATCGAGCCGGGCTGGGATGCCGACGAATGTGAGATTGGAGCAGAAACCATAAGCTCTGGATTAACTGACGTTCGCTTATTTCTTTTCAGTGTGCCGCAAGGACTAAAGTGCCAAGTGCAGCACATAATTTACTTTTATCTAACCGTAAAGCGATAACCTCAGAATAATCAAATATATAAGAACATTCAATTCAATCAATTAGTAAACAATCGATCGCATATTTTAGATATTTATTTACAAAGGCACTTTGGTAAAACGACAGAAACTTAAGAATACAGTAAGCACTACACCTATCATTACATTACGGATGAAGTTTAAACTATCCATGTGGCTAGTTGCTCAAAAATAAATACGGTTGGGCGATAGCGATGGCCGTGATGATGGTTTTGTAAGACTCCGAGATCCATGGGGATGAAGGTTGATGCTCGAGGGTGAAGGCGGAGGACGGACTGAGCAAACACCACACACACACACGCACCTACACTTCACATCGTTGTCTCCGAGTCGGGCGGCGTGTGGTAGTTGAGGTTGTAGGCGGGCGGCCCGTTGTTGAGGAAGGCCATCGAGCGAATGCTCTCCCGCGAGGCGGTCCGCTTGGAGAAGGACATGGCGCTGACGTAGGCAGGCGCGGGGTCCATCGGCGGGGGCGGAAGGTACTGCTGCTGCTGGTGTTGCTGCTGCAGGTGCATCGGGTGTTGCTGGTAGAGGGGCGGCGTGCAGGGAGGCTGCGGCGGGCTGGCGCTGGCCCCGTTCAGTCCGGCGAAGACGTTCTCGCCAGCGGCGTTTCCGTAGGCGGTGGAGAGCGGTCGCGAGCCGTGGAAGTTCGAGTAGCTGGAGCGCACAGAGGGCGGCCGGTTGTTGTACAGCTCGTCGGGCGCGTGTCCCACGTCGTTCAGGTGGGTGGTGGAGTGCTGGTAACTGGGGTTGTAGTGGCCCCCGCCACCCGCCTGCAGGGTGGAGGCTGCGGCAGCGGACGGCAATGGCGGGGGCGGCGGAAGAGTGGGCGAGCCCGGCTCCTCCAGCGCCCCCTGGCCGTTGGTGTTGTAGTAGATGGGGTCCAGCGGAATGTTCTTGCGGTAGCTGTGGTAGTAGTGCCGGTTGCTCTTGCCCAAGCTGCCCAGCTGGCTGCCGGACGCGTTTGTGTTGTTCAGAATGTCGTTGTTAAGCGAGTGCAGGTTCGAGGCGGTCAGAGAGAGCTTGTCTTGGCGGTGGAAGGAGCCCAGGTGCGGCTGCGACTGCTGCAGCTGCTGGTCGATGATCTTGGTCACCGGGCTCTGGTGGCTCTTCCGACGGGAACTGCGGGTACTGCTGCGCACGTAGCTTCCGCTGCTGCTGTCCGCTCCTCCGCCGTGTCCGTGCTTGGATCGCAGGGTGCCGCTGGAACCGTGGTGCGAACGCCTGGTGCTGCTGCCTCCTCCGCTGGACTGTCTTCCTTGGGTGCCGCGCGCCATCACGGACCGCCGCTTGACGCGCCGGGGTGTCATCGGCTTGGGACTCAGCTCGCCGCCGTCCTGGTCGCTTCGGGGATCGCCCAAGCCCAGTCCCATGGAGTGGGCGCCGTGCCGGATGGTGTCGCTGCTGCTGCCGAACTCAATGGAGTAGAGCGACTGGCGGTGCTTGGACTGCTTGTTAATATGCTTCACTGCGCCGGGGAGAACAATATTGGATCAGTAGGTGAAAGGCAGGAGCACTTAGCCGTGGGAAAGAACGTTTGGAGTTACCTGGGGTTAGCATTGAGTTTGTGCTTATGATTGGGAGCTGTTAAACAAGTTGGATTAGCTACGTTCGGAGAGAGACGAGAGTTAGCGGTTGGTTAGAGCCACAAATGCTACGAAAGCCAGCTACCAGCTACCAGCTACCAGTGAGGAACTAAGAAAGATAGGCGGCTACGAAAAGGAGTTCCGAGTTATACATATAGAGATCCCGCAGTTTGGTGTAAATGAACATTTTATTGGAAACGCTTCGAATCTCGTCGGGAATTGGCACCAATCAGCGAAATTCGCATGGCTAAAGATCAAGACCGTGGATCTATCTAAACAGTTAATAGTGCCTACGCTACATGGATTTCGATTTGGATTTGGATCTGCTCTGCTAATGCATGTGTGGCTTAAAGCTTAATACTAGACTTAACAGTTCTATAAATTTGTTTCTTTACGTTTGTATAACGAATCTCGCACTTAACTCAATAGGCAACTTTTGTTTGTGTCCGACAACTAACGTTTGCATCGTAGTGCAATGGCATTTCGCCATTTATCGTAAATATGTATGTATGTATAGATCGTATATTAGTAAACAACAAAAGGCAGCTCTTGGGGAGGCTGCGCTCTCCCGCACATAACATCGGTATATATTATATATGTGTTGTATACTCTAATCTCTATTCCGTCATTCACCGAAGGCATTTCGTTGCAATTGGCGCTAAATTTCATTTATCTCGCTTGCGTTCTCAACAAATTTTCATATCATTCGCTTGATAATGATTTTGTGACATTTTCGTTTTTAAATAATCGTTTTTCGCTCATGTTTGTTTTCAGTTATCACAGATCAACATAAAATTGTTAGACTTTCATTCTGCTGCGACTTTTCACGCCTTCTATCACAATTCGGGAAAAGTCTCTTAAAACTGTTTGCACGTGTTTGAATGGTTACTAAGTTTTACATAATTCAAGTCAGCATCAGGCATTATCCGAATCGTTAAACGCACGCTCGGGAAGCTAGGGTTAGGCCCTATTCCTGGCCACGTTAGCAGGCTGGTTAGGCACAACAAAGAAACAGCAACATCTATGTGTATGTATGTATGAAGGGTGTGTCGGGACCGAGTGATCCTGATACAGTTAGTAACAGGCATCCTGCCTAGGCAGAGAGCTTGAGCAAGAGAGAGACGAGGAGCAAGTGCAGCGGGACGTACTTAAGTCATGGGAGTTCTTTAGTTCTTTAGGCCTGCACGCCCACGATCGAGTTACAAAAGGAGCGGGGACGTGACTTCTGTCCGTTGGCAGTGCGACCACTCCGGCGATTCACGTGGGGTGCGGCCTCAACTTCCGCCTGTTCTACCAGGCGATCGTCGCTCTGTGCCCGCACCACGTATCCCGGCGGAGGAGCGCGGATTTGATCGCAAAAGTTCACGGGAATCGGGGGCCTTGGCCGACGGTTACTGCGACGCACCATGGGGGAGCCATGTGGGACGGGAAGGGGCATCTGGACAGCCGACGGGACGGATCCTAGCTTGCTGGGCATGGCGTAGCGCTCCGCCACCTCCGGCGAGAGATCGAGATAGGGCGCCTGGCCCAAACGCTGATGGATGTGCGGCCGTGCCACCGGTGGAGGCGGGGGCGTTAGCATCTGGTCTTGATTTAGCTCCGCATCGCCGTCCGCATCCTCGTCGTCCTGCATTTCCAGGCAGCTGTGCAGGGGCACCGTGGGCAGGGGAATGTGCGTGGGCCGTCGCGAATTTGAGTTGGGTCCAAGCCGAATCGGGGAGGGCAGGCCGTTCTGGTCATAGGGAAAGGCGTTGTTGTTGGGACTGGGGCGAGAGTTGGAGCGGAAGACGAGATGGGGCTGGGCGTTGTTGTTCTCGCCCAGGAATAGGCTGTTCGGAGTGGGGCTCTGGAAGGGGACGTAGGTCACGCCGTGCTCGCCTGGAGCGAACTGCTGCAGCGAAAAGTTGTCCTCGTCCTCCTCGAGATTGCGTGACAGGCGCTCGAGCGGACGGACGGGCGAGGCCATTCCCAGGCCGGGAGTCGGATGGGAGTCTACTTCTCCCAAAACAGGGACGCCAGACTTGGGCGGCTTGGGCTTGTGGTGGATGCGGGCGAAGTGAGTCGTGCCCTGGAGCGATTCGGGGCTCTGGAAGATGCTGTAGTTGCTGTTGCTCAGCGAATTGCCGGCCAGGTAGGGATTGGAGTTCTGCAGCGAAGCGTACGACAGCGAGGGTGTGGTCTGGGCGGACATGGGACTGGGACTGATGGGTGCCTTGGAATGGTGGTGCCGGTGGCGACGTAGACTGCTGCAGTTGCTCCCCTCACCGCCTGTGCGCTGGGTTAGATGGTTGCTCGAAGGGTGACTATGAAATTGGAATGATGCGCTGTGGTTATTTGTCGTGTCTGGCGGCAGCAGCGAGGACGCGCGCGGGTGTACATTATTGTTGAGTGTATTATTGTTGCTGCCGCTCAGCTGGTAGTTCTTGTTGAAGTGGTGTAGTTTGGGTTGCTGTTGTTGCTGATGATAATAGAGTTTCAGTGAGTTCTGCTGCGGCTGCTGCTGCTGCAGTTGCAGATGCTTGTTTGATTGCATGGTGGCGCTTGCGGATGTTGTGGGTATACTTGTATAGCTCACGTACATTGGGTGCACCACGGTGTGCTGTGGACTCTTCGCGTCGCCGTTCATGAAATCGACTGTAAACCAGAAATTGATTAAGATGCTTTAACAATAACCAGAAGAATACGTCGAATACCGCAGGACACTGTGCAGGGGTCACAAGTTTTGAACTAAATGCAGGTCAAACCCAAAACGGCCAGTGGTCGCTCGCTCTGTTGAGCGAACAATTGTTGGTCGTATATGCATACATTAAATGTATGTGTGCATAGCCATCACGTTTTATTTGACTTCACGAATTTTCCAATTACAAATGAAATTTAAAGTGATATTTTTCGGAGCACCCGTCCTGATGTTGTTCTACTTTGTTTTTCGCTGCACAGTGTCGCTGTCGATAAGCAAATACAATGTTGTTGTTTTCTTGATTATGAGTAAATGACTTAGACATAACATGGATTACAACACTAGTATATGGCATGTATGTATATTGTTTAGGCGTATGTAGATTTTCTCACAATTCACAAGAAAAATTCACAATGGTGGTTAATATAGGGCACAACATATAATATGTTTAAATCAGAGTCATTTTATATGGGTACAATCGCATTCCAGGGTGCGGGTTTTGGGTGGGGAGGCTAGAGCTTACATATCGACAACCTGATATTTCGACAATAACAATAAACATTCGACGGGCTTCTCAATGTCAATTCATGCCATCATAAGAATTCATTACACATAGGGGAAATTATGAAGTCAAGATGGGAAGGGATACAATTTACCAGACACAGTGCACAGTGATACCCAAAAGTGAAAGATTATGAGGAGGAAAGGGGTTAGCAATGACCGATCCCGGTTAGTGGGGTTCATGACAAACGAGCATGGTTCGTAATCAGAAAGCGCCACTTACATCTGTCGTCCTCATCAAGAAATATGCAACTGATCAGAATCGCACCGAGTATGCCGAGCATCTGTGGGATTGGACGAGACAATTTACACAATTCGGGGCACTTAAGCTAGAGGGGTACTCACCGCCAGGGCGCATTGCACCCCCGAGTGTATGATCTCTACCAGGGGGTAGTCCAGCAGGCAACCCTCAACATTCTCTGGCCGCTGGGGCCGGAACGGATCCTCTGCGGTCATGTTAAAGGTGGGCTTACAGCCGTATCCGTTCGCCTCAAACCAGGAGACGCTCCCGGTGCCCAGATTGAGCAGGTCGCTGTTCTAAGATGTGGAATTTGGATCAGGTAAGTCTGGACACGTTTTGATAGGTAATTTAACTCACCTTGTCCAACTGTCCCACATTCAAGTAGAAGCAAATGAGGAACGCGTTCCAGCCGATCCACAGGAAGTTCCATATTAGATACTGCAGGCGGACACACGGAAAAATTGGGGTTATCGCAGAGATATGGTAATCAGGCCACTTACGGTTATGATGTATTTAACGCGAAAATGGTAGGCGCCGTAGAACCCGAATATGATGAACAATATGTGGAAAAAGTTCACCAAGATGGGCGCCCACATGTACCCGAGGAAGTCGAATACCTGGCGCTCGATTATTGTTATCTGTGGATCGATGGGGAGTCGGTTTTAGAATTGGTCTTATCAGACCGAATCGCCGATACTCACCACTTGCAGGAAGCATATTGACAGCAAAAAGTGCCGCCGCGTACACGAGCACGAGCCCATCACATCGTCATTTCATTCAAAATTAGAATAACAAATAATTCTGCTCTCCCCTCGCTATCTGCTTTCCAGCTAGCTGCGTATTCCAGTCTATCGTCGCCTTATCGGGACTGGAACTTGTGGCTATCGGCGGCAGTAGCGTTGGCTCCTTGTGGCATTTCCGCCTTGCCTGCAGACCTGCTGCAAGTCAAGCGTGGCAAGTGCCGCACTGGATCTCTGCCTCTCGTTCGCTCCTTAAGAACGCAGGTGCAGGTTTTCAGGGGCAGGGGTGGGAGCGAGAAAGAATGCAGCTGCACCGAACAAAACCTGATCTGTGTGAACCGAGAGTAAATAAAGAGAAATTAAAAAAACGAACCGCGTTACCAAGATTAACTTTGGCCAGTCAGTGCTGGGAAAGTTACCAGTTTGCAAGTACCCAAGTGAATCAATTACAGGGAAGTTGCAAAAAAAAGCAAAATCCTATATTCGGTTTAAGGCAATATAAGGCTAGTCGTAGGGAGAAATGCTTTTCTTTATTTTATTAGGTACATAGGCACCTCCAATCTCAACATTGCTGCTCACGCACACTTGTGCACGATAATTCTCCCTACCACTACAAACACAATCTGACCGAGGGGCTCACGTAACTTAAACCAAACACGCACTTTTTCGCCCATTCCATTTAGGCGTTCATATATTGTCGATTTCAACAGCGTCTGCTTAGTGTCCAGGTCAAGTATGAGCAATTAATTAATTAGCACACAGACACAGCAGCGCAGCCAGAGAAGCTCCCGCATCTCCATTACGCCATGTCTATTTGTGGCCCCACATAAGCGATCAGCGATTGGAAGAAGACTCACTTGTACCCGGTAATCAAATTAAACAGTAATTCAATGGGCAACGCATGACGCGCTTTGTTTGTCACTGGAATATGACTCAAACACAAAACTCATTTCCATTTGTTTTCCGCTTGCGACACGGAAGCCCCACTCACACACGCACACAGAGGCACTGACCACCGCACATTCCACTGACTAACACATAAACTCGATGGGCCAAAGAATATGCGTTAACTTTCCATTAGTTTTGAGCCGATATCTAGCCCAGTTCACTTTACATAATACAAAGACACGACGTTTAATAGTTTTGGAAATTAATAACTTACGTACAGGACAAGTGCGCGAACGAAACGGGAAAAAAACAATTGAAAACTAAGAGGAGTGACCGTGTCTGGGTCGTGGAAAAATACTTCGAGATACGGCAGTGCATCAAAAAATACCAAACAATCGTACCAGATATTCAAATAATTGAATTTATACTTGCCGAGTAAAGATTGAAAATTAAATAAAAACGTTTATTGAAACTCAGACATCAAGAATGTTCATATAAAAATTTCTAATATGACAATTATCTAGTTCATTTCGACAAAAATGTTTTAACTGTTATCTATCAGCCTACAAATATCATAACTTCCCAGCAGTCAACACAACCAATAGTTTAGCAGACCCCATCCATAAAACCCAGAATACTGACAAACAAGGCAACTAAGTGGCGCGCGATTCAAATTTACTGACTATTGATTACCTTATTTTATTTCTAAGAAGCCATTGCAAAAAAAGGACAGCGCAGTTTTTTCGGTTAGTTTAGTTTATTATGTATGCATATTGTATAATTTGTGTTGTTACGGTTATCATACATAAATAAATTAAATTATGGTTTTTATTCACAATATATGTGGGTTCTCTGCTGCTCCGCTCGCAATTTCGCGTATCAAGTTCTCGATTGAGTTCGGACTATATTCTTGTGTCTGTGGAAAACACCATAAAATATATATTTCAAACTCAACATTACGCTTAACGTACATTCGTATGCTACGCGCATTTTATTGTGGCAAGTCAGTTTCGATTTTCAAATTCAATTTTCAATGCTCCATGATGCTTTGCATTTTCGACTAGTCAATAGTAATATAATTCGTGTTCTGTTTTGTTTAGCTAGTTTTTGAACTCGCAAGTTCTTCAATTCTGTTGTATTCAGTGTATTGTTTCGGCCGTAATGGTTCCTAACGTTCATTCTTCGCCCAATGTTTCATGTTTATTTACAGCAATTGAGAATATAATATAGTTAAATGTTCGCTACAGTTTCCTATAGTTGACTTGGGGTCTGGGAATTTTTTCCGTTGATAGTTTTCTTTGCTAATCTCTCACTAATCAGTAAATAAATTGTTTCTTTCGTTTCGTTTCTTTTTGTACAATAGACGCGTGTTTTCTTTGTGTGTTATCAGTCGTTTTTCATTTACTTTACATGAATGTGCAGGGAAATTATTGTAAGTTTTACTTGTAAATAATCCTCTTCTCCTCCAGTCGCGTCTCCTTCTCCACTAAATATGTTTGCTTGCATACAGGTTGGTTACCAGAATTGTATTTCTAAATTGACACAGATAATTTAGGATTGATCACAAAGCGTAGTAAAAATGAGAAAAAGATAGTACACCACTCAGACAGGTTAGTAAAAAGGTGTCCGGTCCGCCTTCGTGTATATGATACAATAATTACATGAATATATATCTATATATAAATATGTATGTGTGTGTATACATATATTTATAATAATATAATATGTTAGTTAGCTTTGGTTGGTTTCCGCTTCTCCTCAGCTTTTTTCTCCACACCTTAAAGTATTCCAACAAATCGCAGAGTCCAAAAAAGGTTGATATACAATAACTCTTCCCGCTGCTCCGCACAAGTGAAAATACACATCTCGGATCGTTATGGAATCAGCAGCGTTGTGCAACTGACAGCGGGCGGAAAGTGGGTGGATGGATATGGGACACACGGGATTTACGGTCCAGTGGCTTAGGCGTGCTGGGAGCTCTTATTACGGCATAGCGATGCGGTTACATTACAATACAGGACTTATGCATTTAGGGAAGATTAGAGACAGTGGACTGCGTGTCGTGTATGTGATTGGCTCCGCTCCTGGAATTAGATTCCCTGGACTATCTTTTAGGAATACATGCTTCTACACCTAGTCCGATCTGTTTCTGAATCTGTGTGAGAGGATGTGTCTGTTGGCTGACAATGGATCAGTCAAACTTTACCAATTGCCCCATGAGGGAAATCAAAGACCAGCCACCTTACTTCTTGCTCTTGCGCTTCTGCTTCGGCTCCTCGCTTCCGGCCGTTGCTGATGCCGATGAGGCTGCTGCAGCGGTGGCGGCGGCGTTCACGAGCTGGAGGTTCATGTTCGGCTTGACCGTACCCTTCTTCTGGGTAGCCGGCTGCTGGGGAGTGGCCTGCGTGATGTTGTTGTTTGTGGCGGCTGTCGCATTTGCAGCTCCAGCGGACTTCGACGACAAGTTGTTGGCTGGCGTGGCCGGCGTCTCATCCAGGAAGAGCGGATTCTTTACCTCCATTTCGCCGGTGGGCGCCAGACCCGGGCACTCGTACACCGTGTAGTCGCCCTCCTCGTTGTCATCGTCGCTCTCGACGTCCGACATGCCACAGCTGCCATCCGTGGCCTGGTTCTCCATTGCGATGATTTGCTGCTTCTGGTGCTGGTAGTGGTACATCTGGGCGCTCTGTGCCAGCTTCCTGTCGCCAGACGGCGAGACGTCCTTGTTGGGACCAGTGACTCCGTAGGCGGGATACTCCACGTCTGCAGCCGCCTTGTGACGATTGTGGAACCTGTCGATAAAGAATTTGTTACCTCTGCCGAGACTGTTATGCGTTTTAAGTTTACTCACCAAGTCACTCCGAGGGCCAGCAGCCCAACGGTCACTGCCGCACTAACGCCCGCGATCAGTGCCACTATGTACACCCCCATCTCACTGTTCATGCCCAAGTGCTGACGAAGCACAATCTGCTCCTGGGCGGAATCGCCGGCATTAACTAGGTTGAGATGGGTTGGCGACTTGCTCTGCTTTTGCAGTTTGTTGATCAGCGCATTGAGTTCGTGCGGCGTTTGGTCCTTGGTCTGGGGCAGATTAACTCCCGCCACGGCTGCGGCGGCCACAGACTGTGGCTTGATGCGGTGGAAGTTGGCGTTGGCGGCGTCCAGATGTTTTGGGGGATCGACGGGTACGGGAGCTGGCACTGGCGTAGCTACCTTGGTCTTGCTGGCGGTAGTGGCCACCTCGGGCGTGGGCTCAATGGGAGCGTACTCCTCGTAGTCATCCAGCGCCCGGGAATCCAGCTCCCCCGAAGGGTCGTTAGGGTTATCGAAGAAGCGGGCATCGTTGGGGCCCACGGCGAAGGGAATGCGCTCGCGGAGCACGCTGTTGCGATTCGGGGAGTTCCCAAGCCGGGGTGATTGGGCAGACTGGGCAGCGGTGGCAGATTGGGCAGGCGGGGCAGGTACAGCGGTGGACTCTGGACATCCGGCACCCCTTCTAGCGGACTGCCGTAGCTGGCCTCGGCTTCTGCGTTGTCGTATTGGTCGTACTGTTGATTGAGGCTGTTTCTGTTGCTCTCGTAGTCCTCCTCCGCCTCTCGCTGTACCTCCAGCTCCTGCTGTCGTTGGCGGTAGCGCTCCCGCTCCAGCAGCTCCCGCTGGCGGTCCATCTTCAGGTTGATCTCTTGCAACTGCTGGTCGAACTGCTGCTGGAGCCGACGCCGGGCGTACTGCTCCATCATCTGGGACAGGAAGGCGTACTCCTGTTCGCTCTGCGGATCCATCACGGGCGCCTGAATGGGTCGGCGGCGCAGTCCTGCAAGGATTGGGATTGGATCAATTGATTTGTGGGCGCGGGCGAGGTGATTAGGTAAATGCTAATGAGCCCGGCCTGCGTGTCAGCAGTCGAAAAATAGAGCCAGGTTGAAAATAGCGCCGCACGAATGGAGGTAACCCCGAAGCGCAAGAAAGGATTCGAAATAGACAAACAAAGGTCCGTTTTATTGCCAGAGGCTAAAAATAGACCAATTACACACGCGCCCAGGTCAAAGCGGCCAATCGCGGTAGAGTGAGGGAGACCAATATACAATCGGTGGTCTGGGAACTGAGGCCTGTGACGTGCTCGGAAACTTTATCGTGCTTGGTTGTTTTTGTTGTGGACTGTTGAGCACATCAAATCAAGGAACTTCCAGCAGGTTTAAATCTATTAAAAAGAGGCTATAAAAAATAGTTAGTTGATTTTCGGACACCTATTTTTGGGATTTGGGCCTCTTGAGATTTCTGATACTCCTCATCGAGCTCTACGAAATTCCACCTGTAAGGGTGAAAGCGCTTTGTGTGTTTGTGACGCTGCAATTTACTTGATTTTTAATTTCCCCGAAGCGGAGAGCGTGGGTGTTTTGGTTCGGTTCGGAAACACTTCGCAGGACATATACCTCGCTTAGACGCACACTATGCATGTATCTAGTGCAGGGGATACACAAAACGAGGTGACCCCCATTCGCCCCTCTTGCGCCATCCACCGTTCTCCAATCCGACACCACGGCTTGGTCTATGGGTGAAGTGTGCTATTTTCGGCTTACCTGGATAAACGGACATTTCGCATTGACCCAATATGCAGCAGAGCAGCGCTGCAGCGAGTGCGAAGCTAACGGTGATTTCCAGGCGGGCCGCCATTTTGCACTTGGCGAACGGTTGCACTTGCGAAATTTCTTTGCACTATGGCCCTTGTTCGGAAATTGCGAATGGAATCTGTCTAGCACTGCACGACCACTGCTGCCATATGGCCGGTTAATGGGGATCTGGCCAAAACGACGACGTCGACGTTTTTATTGATTTTCGACTCCCACACTCGCAGCTGCTGGTGGTTGCTCTCCGAACTTTTCGCCTCCCCTACTGTCTTTTGCACTTTTCGCGTGGGCGTGCAATATTTCTTGCAATTCCACTTGTTTAACGGCACTTTTCGAGTCCTTTGGTTATTTAAGTCCTAAGAGGGGGGCACTATGCACTGGTACCGACTGGTGAAAATGTCAAACGCTGCAGTTTTTCACAGATTGCAAGCGAAAACCCTTAGATGGACATATGGATGTGTGGACAAATACGGATGGGGACTCGACTTCTGGGAATGCGTTGCTGTGCCATCGACGTATACCGTTATACTGAAGAAACTGAATGAGCCTGGCGGCGGCAAAAAGTAGCAACACGAAGCACTGGGCCCGAGAAGAAGCAGAAGCTGTGACGCAAATGTTATGTCCGCCCCCGCGCTGTTAAATGTTGCGGGCAGCTTTTAGGGCAGGCCCCGCAGCAACAACAATAAGAGGGGGCACACAGTGTGAGAGGCGCCTGCGCATAATGGAGGTGGAAAGCTCGGCACGTCCGCGGCTCGTTGAGTAAACACGGGCATTCATTAAAAGCCGAGCCAAGCCAGCTCTCGGCCAGCTAGCAGGTGGCTGCCACTCGCAAGTCCCCAAGACCCTCTTGACCCCTTATCCGTCTTCCTCCTGCAAGGAGTCTTCCCTTTCCCGTAGCTTTTCGCTTGGGGTAGGGCGCGCTTTATTTTTATCAATGAATTGCCAGAGCAGAGCTTTTTTCTCGGGAAATGAATGTGGGAGTTATGGACGGTCCTTAACGGGAAAAAAGGAAGTTAAATGGTTAATACTAGGAATAAACTTTAAAATGGATCGCGAACTATTAGAATACAACTTGTAAGTCCTGTCGATTATCTTAATTTTGTTCCAGTATTTTAATGGATTAGCCATTCATAAAAGGGTGCAATACACCCTACTTATTACAAAAGCTTCTATTAAAGAGGTCTTGAGAAAGCTCTGTAAGCTTAGCTTAATCCTGAACCTCAAGGGAAGTAGCGTAAAATATTAGTTTTATAAATAATAAAGTGAATACACAGGCGGATCTCATGGTAAAATAAATAGCTACCGAGTCCAATTCGAATTTAATTCGATTCTCTTTTAACGGAATATACACAGTTTACTCAATACGGTATTTTTGGTATATTTTCTTGAGTACCAAATAGACAAGCGGTTTAGCTGCGGTCCCACTGATGAACTGGTTCATTAGGAGCTACGCATCTGAGTCATTTTTGGTAACGACAAAGGAAAAATTATAAACAAACACAATGGCCACTTTGAAAGGTAGTTATACAAGGTGCTATTATCCCACAACAAATGACTAACACTGCCTTTTTCCTCCGCCATTGCCCGAAACCCGCACCACCTGTTCAAAAATCACCGTGCAGCGTAAGTCTACGCCCACCCCTCCAGGCCAACCTCTCAAATGACTTCCTTTATCTTGCAGCCTCTTCATCTGCGCATTTCTCACGTGCATGGGTCTGACCTTCCTGATCCTGGCCTGCGCCATTCCCAATCCTAAAATCTTTTACCCCTTCTTCGTGCTGCTCTTCTACGCACTGTCCGTGCTGCCGGTGTTTATTGCAAAGCGGACGACTCCGGGCAACGAGACCAATCCGAAGTCTGAGTTGGCCCTCTTCCTCACTGCAGGCATGGTTCTAAGCGCCTTTGCCCTGCCCATCGTCCTTGCCCACGCATCGGTGGTGAGTTGATATTTGTAGCTAATAAATGGAATTACATGGAGTGTTATTTACCCTGCTCTCCCTTAAAGATCTCGTGGACTGCGTCTATCCTTACGATAATTAGCAACATCATCAACTATGGTACCATCCTTGGGTACGCCATGCGCGATGACGAACCCTACGGCAGTATGTTTTAAAGAGAACCCGCCGTCTAAAGGCTTATGTATATGACCAGTAATCGACGCAGCCGAATTAGAACGGAAAGCATTTACACTCTGAGGTTACTGGCTTTACCCATAAGCACTCATGCTGAACGCTTTTTTCGCAGTCATCACTCAATCTCATATTATCAAGTGTATCCAGAAAACATAAACACAAACGAAATAAACAAACTTAGTAAATAAAAGTCGGCTGCGTTCCGGTTCCTTGGTGGTTCGATAACCAAACCGCTCCTCGATAGCCAGTGGTTCAAAAAAAGGAACGAAGGGAGGGGGTATTGCATCCTTGTCCCTTTAGTAATTTAACTACGCCCAAGATCTGTCGGTCGATACTTTTTTCAATGCCTAGAGTACACTATTATTGACATATGGAGAATTAGATTAGCCTTATTTTTTGCCGTTAAAATGGATGGTATTGTAGGACCTATTAAAAAGGAGGATGTCACAGGAATTCCTTCTGTGACCCTGCATGAATTCAAGCAGGCAGACTACACTGATTCCGAAGCGGACATAGAAGAGGATTTCACGGAGGAGCACCTGGAGCTGGAGTCCAGTTATCAGGATGTCCCCACGGAGGACTCAGATGCAACCATTACGCAGGCCAAAAGTGTGCGCAGCCTGCCCTTGAGCAATACTCCCATGCGCAAGTATCCTTTCAAGTTGAAGCAAAACGATAGCGGGTGAGTGTGCGCGATTTCAGAACATCCCAGAAGGCTAAATATTCCTATTTTCCAGCAATATCCTAACCGTACATCACACTGTTAACGAAGGGGGTCAGCAACTGCGCATTCAGATCGCCGCTTGCTGCTTCAACGAACTTAGCAACAAACTGGTGATAATCGACAAGCGGTAAGCATCTCTGCGACTGATATAGGAATCCACTTATTTATGCGATTTTTACATTATTCAGTGGCAACGTCTTCGTGTTTGATTTTGTTAATAAACGCTACTGGCGCCTGGGATTCCGGATAGCCAGAGCCAAATTGGTTCGTCCATCGCCCTTGCACATGAGTGACTACATCGTAGGCAATAAAGTGGGCCAAGTGTTCATTATAGACGTGGATAACTCGGTTCTCGGCCCCCGCGGAGAGGTTGGCAACGCATCGTTGGAAGAGTTAAGCTGGAGCAATCGTTTTCTGAATCCATGCACCTCGAACGCTCTGATGCGCTTTGGCAGTGACGCTGTACTGGTGAATCTCCGTACACTGGAGGTCTCCCATCAGCTGGACTTCGATGAGTCGCGCTACACCCTGAAGTTTGCCGCCTTCCTACCCAACTCTGACCAGTTCCTTATAGGATTCTCTAACGACTCGCTGCATGTGTGGTCTTCCCATTCCTTGTGCACGTTGCGGATGGCTCAACCTATTAAGGCCAGGAACCGCAAGCTGAGACTGATGCCATCAGGGGAATCTGTTCCGGAATTTGTTCTTCGAGGCTCTGACAACAGCGACATGGAGGACGACTTGACTTTCGATTGCCAAGACCACGACTATGCCGATGGATTGCTAGTCAGCTACTGCTTCACCCCTGACGGCAACAAGATGTGTCTAAGCACCTTGGATGGATACCTCCTGTTGCTAAACGTGGCATCCTTTGATCTGGAGAAGCTCTACCGCTTAACCGACTTTACTCTACGCCAAATGGCCTTCCTCGCGCAGCCCAAGGAGCGCATAGTATTTGGGATAACGGCCAGGAACCAAGCGGTCATGCTAGATCTGACCAATACAGACTACAAGCTTATCGTGCAGCGTGAAAACGCGATCGATCTGACTCTTAGCCGGGATGGCAAGCTGCTGAGTGTAACCTCTCGCTGCGGAGAGGTGAATGTGTGGTCTACCTGCCGACTGTTCAACGCCTTGCAAGCCCAGGTCCGATGCCTTGGCCAGATGAAATCGACGTTTAAGCAATTAAAGCCTCTGCCGCCCTGCAGTGTTAGCCGAGGAGTGAACCAGGAAGTACGTCACCTGCTCAAGCCAGAGCGGCTTAGAGCCATGCTCAAGGAATATGGTTGCTATCCGGAGAAGTACAGGTTCCTCATATGGACATCCCTCTTAGAGCTTCCCTGCAACGGGACGCAGTTTCAGGCGCTCATCAAACTGGGCCCACCGCCCATGGTCAGAAACCAGGCCAAGAAACTTAAGATTAAGAACGAAGCCCAGCGGCGTGGCGTTATTAAGATCTGGAGCTGCCTAGCCCAGTGGTGCAAGGTACTGGCTCACGCTGACTTTATGCCGCATATCATTTACCCCTTTGTGAAGCAGCTGCCCAAGAACGGGCTGGTTTCCTTTGAGGTGATTGCTACTTTAGTTCTCAATCACTTTGAATTGTGGTTTGAGTTTCATCCCCTGCCGCCTTCAAATTATCTCGCTATGTGCGAAAATATCCTGCAGGACTGCGACGGGAAGCTATGCAGGTTTTACAAATCTCAGGAGATCTTAGCCAAGGATTTCGCTTGGTCCCTTCTGAGTACAGCCTTTTCGGAGGTCCTCGAAGAACAGCAGTGGCTTTCGCTGTGGGACAACATAATTTCGGAACAGCCTTGGTTCCCCGTGTTCCTGGTGGTTGCCTACAATTTAGTTAATCGAGAAGTCATTATACGCCTGCCGGACAAGCGATCAGTGCTCTCCTTCTTCCACGAGCAGAATCCGGTGGACGTCGGCAAACTTCTATCCAAAGCCCGCAGACTGATGGCTAGGTGTGAGCTCGCGTTACATCCACAGCGTTTTATGCATCGCTTTAGTGGCATTCCTAAGGGAGTGTATCCCAAGTTCCTGAAGTATCCCAGCGAGTGGATCGAACAGCAGGAGGATCAGGCAATCTCGCTGATAAAGCACAACCAGGAGATTGATGCCCGTATACGCCACCTCGAGCTGGAGGAGGTACAGATCATGGAGCGCCTAGAAAACGGACTTAAGCAGGAGGAGCACGCTCGTCGCCTCAAGGAAATGGAGAAGCTCTACCAGGACACTATTTACCGTGAAGAGGAGCGGATCACCTGCCAGCGCAAGATGCTTCTCACCTACCAAATGGAGGTGCGCCGCCGGAAGAGCGAGGTCATCACCAAGTTGCAAGAGTCGGAGCAGCGGCGAAAGGTTCTCGAGATGGAGAAGGAAATCGACCTGCTGATGCACAGCATCGAACGCGAGCGTCGTCGACAGAACCAACAAATGCAGCTGGCCGAGGATGAAATTCGCAACCAGGAGATGGAGCTCCTCGCCCAGCGCTACTACTCGGAGACGGCAGGGGCTCCGTTGGCCCAGAAGTACTTCGATAACATCCAAAAGCTGTGCAACCAACGCGATCAGCTGCAAAAGAACCTGCGTGATGTATGTGTTTGGCGAATATGTGATCTTGTAATCTTGATTGTTTTTTTTTCCGACAGATGACAATGGAGCACCTGCAAACTCCCGCCACTTCCGTGCAATTTCAGCCCCATCTTGTGGATATCGAGAACTCCATTCTCGAAATCCAGCGCGAGTTTACCGAAATTATAACTACTGAGACGACAGCTAGGGGATGCAAGAGCAATATTCTTAACTAACAACTAGCATAACAAATTGATGCCTTTTGTACAGACATATGTACATATAAAGCTAGGATTATTTACATGGCACCGAAAAATAAATAAATGAATAAGGCATACTGGCTACTTTTTGTCCGCAACGCTGCTGCTGGCAGACGCGGGCACTAACATGCTGGGTACGTTAATTAGAAGGTGTATGCTGGATGGAGTAATCTGCAGCTGGTTGGCCACCACTGAAATATAGACAGTTTAACGAATGTGTTCAGTGGAGGATGTTCTGGGCTTACCACCAGCTAAGCTGTGGGATTTGTGTTGTTGCAGCTCTTTTTCCAGTCGCGCGATTCTTTCAAGCAGCTCTTGGTTCTCCTGCTGCAGTTGGGAGTTCTGTTTAAGCAGATCCTTGTGCTCGTTTCGCATTTTGGTGCGGTATCGACAGGCAGCCGCCCTTCGCCGCTCCATGCAGTCCTCGTCCCGACTGCGATCCTTTGGCTTTGATGCCTTAGGCGGCGTGGAGAAGTGACGTCTCTTGTTGTTGTTGTGCAGGATGGCTTTTAATCGCTCTTTGATGGGCAGTTGTGAGGTGGGCGTTAGGCTGGCGCTGCTGGGCTCGGGTGGTGGGTTGGAGCCGACCAGAATGGGCTCAGGCCTTCTGCTTACGCAGCCCGATCCCTGGGCACTCGGCTTGGGCAGTATGTAGGGGCGATTGGCGCCAGTGGACTTCCCTCTCGGACAGTCATTTGCTGCCAGGGGAACGGGAACCGACTGGGCAGGCAGCACCCACGTGATTACCTGCGGCTGGATCAGCTGCAGGGGGAGGAGGACCCGCTCCACAGACGGCGGGGGCAGTGTCTCCAGTGGAGGCCAGCAGCTGATCTACATCCACGGTGCCGCAGCTGTCGCTCCGACTGACGGGATTGGCAGGCTGTACTGCTGACACGCTGGTCTCCAGTGGGTAAACCTGCGGCGTGTGCAGGGACTCTCCATCGAGGGGAGGACCCTCTGGACGATTGGGAGTGCCGCTGACGTTCTGCTCCGCCGCCCGCTGGAAGCCGATGTCAAAGGGATTCACGTGTTGCAGGTCCTCGAAGAGACCCACCTCGTCGCAGTTCTTGATCAGGCGCGTGGGCGTGGGCGTCTGGTCGGCGACGAATAAGTTCTCCGACTTTTGGCCGAGCGAAAGGTCCAGCGAGATGTCGTGTTTCCCTTGTGGCTGGAAGCTCTGGTAGCAGGAAATGTCCGCCTCGGTGGATTTCGGCTCAAAGTCGGCGAAAGAAACGCTGGCTAGGTCCTCCATGTCCGTGGAGGTGTCCATGGCCGGGAGTTGGATCAAAAACAAGTAAATAGACTAGCTTCAGTGCTGTCAAATCCGATATAAGAAACCCAGTTTTCGCCCTAGACTAGCATCACTAATAGCTAGTAAGTGTTATCGATTCCGTGTTGCCACAGAGCAACTCTGTGTCGAAGCCCGCGAATTTTTAAAACATAAACACAGCACGTTCAGCTTCAGCCATCTCCGCGGTAACACGATGCCTGATGTCTCTTACAGTCTGTCGTTCTGGGCCGCAACTGCCCTTTTTGTTGTTATGCAACTCTATCTAAGGCAGCCACTTTTGACATCCAGCATTTCCGCCACGAAATTGCGTATCTGCCATCGCATCCCAAATGCCGCGAGTCTTTCGCAGCACGTAGCAGCAATCATATGTGAAGAGGGGGAGAAAAGGCTGAAAAACAACGAAAACATTTTTGGCAGCCAAGAAAACCCCATAATTTAAAATTTGTATCTTTTAAATTAGATTTCTCATTGAAGGAAGCAGCATAAAACAGACAGCCAAGCACACAACACGCAAAATGTTTTCGAGTCGCTCGCATTTCGGGAAACTTGCACGCAACGAAACGGGCAATTTTCTAAAACTCAGCCCCACAGAAAGCGGCAAACTCGTCTTGTGGGTCAAGTTCAGTGCTCAAATCGTTCCCAGGCGACAAGATGGAGGCCCCCTCGCCTCCCCAGCCATCCCCCGCCGATTCCGAGGAGGAAGGGCCCAAGATGCACAGCACGAAATTAAGAAAAAGTGATGCGTAATTACAGTCATTCTCTTTCACTGCAGCTATTCCACACAGCTCTACCCATGGCATGCCCATGCCCATGCCCGTGGTTGCATGCAGCAGAGGCGCGTTTTTCGGACAACCTGGTCCATGGAGTTGGGTTCCTGCCAGGGACCGAGTCTGCCGAGTCTGGCTCCTAGGTCCTCGGCTCTCGGAACTCACTTCTCGGCTCTTCGTTCTGGGTTCTGAGTTCTGGGTTCTGGGTTCTCGGTTCGGGGACTGCGCCGCTGCCGGTAGAAACAATCAGTTTGAAGTTCGTTCGCATAATTATGGGCAATTTTCAAAGAACATGCGTTCCGACGAACATCTCTCTCCTGCTCGCATTCAAAGTATCATCCCCAACCCCGGTTCCATCATCGCCGCCGCCCGCCGTCCGCTCCTCGCCACCATCTCCCTGCAGCATCGCCATTTTTCTTGCCGTCCGTCGGTCCTCTGGTCGGAATCGAGTGGATCGAGCTGTCCAAGGGGGGATTCAGATTCAGATACAGATACAGCCAAGTCTCACAGTTTCTTCGCTTAGAGCCCAGCATTTGCAATCTCAAATTGTTTCCTAGTGTTTTATTGAAGTTGTGGTTGAAGTTGAAGTTGGAGTTAACCCAAACTCGGGTCCATAACTTTCGTTTTCACATTCTAGAGACCCATCAGCATTTCTCTATCCATTCAACTTTTTGCATTGCCCGTTGCCTAACCTGTTGCTATAAAGGATGGTTCTAATTTGGAGTTGCTGAAACTTCCCTTGAAGTTCGTCTAACTGCTGGTGTGATAATCATTCTCCTTCACTTTCAGTCGATAAACGTTTGACCGTATCAATTTGGCCAACTTGGCGAGCAGGCAGGTTGCCTGCCGCAGGACATCGTTAGCGAGGAGCAAGGACCGCTCACAACGGCATGTGCAGGACTCGAGATCCTGCCGGTCCGCCAGTCAGGGGATCTTCATTTTTTTATGAATATTCAAAAACCGAATGCCCCTTCGCTGGAGTTCCTAGAACGCCCAACATTTGTTTTCTCCTGCCCAAGTTCACTTTCCCGCTGCCTTTTGGACACATTGTTTGTTTGCCATTTCCCCAGGGGCAGTTTTGCATATAATTTATTCGAGTTCGCCTGCCTCATTTGAGCCTTTTCGCAGGAGCAGCGGGGCAGGAGACGGGGAGCAAACAGTTTTATTTATTTCCCGCTGGTATCTCAATTTCTACATCGAGTGAAAGAGCCAAGAAATGGACACCGATCGCTTTTAAAGGCCCGAAAAGGGGTGGCTGCTTCGGCGGTTGGTGGCTGTGTTTTGGACAACTTCCATGGCCCGGGGCCCGAATGAGACTTCCTGTGCCGCCGCCGCGGCCCGAAATGATTTCTGCTTTTCCGACGGCACACACAGAATCGCGGCTCCGAGCTGCAGATACACAGACAGATTTCGCTGCCGCCGCTGCTCGGCGCTCCAATAATAATTTCATAATTATGGGTTATCTGGCAAGTGGCATTCGTAAATAATAAAACCCAAGCGGCAAGAAACTACGAAGAGCCGGAGTTTGGTTGCGCTCCAGCGTGGCCGAGATTGATTGTCGCTAATGGGCGTGCGGTTCCAGCGAAAAGCCCTCTTCGCCGCCTTTCAGTGCTTTCTGGGCCAGTCCAAGTCCAAGTCTTAGTCCGCGTCCGCGTCCGAATCCGATTCCAATTCCGATTCCGAGTCCCTGTAATTGTTTTAATTGCCCTCTGCAGGTCGCACTGGAGCTGCGAAAGTAGACCAGGCGGCATTAGAAAGAGGCGGAGGCTGTGGTGGAGCTGTCTTGAACCGGCCCAATTAAACGTGACCTTGGAGCAGCCCCCAACCCCCAGCCCCCAGCCCCTCCAGCGATTATCTAACGGGGGAGCCATTAGCTCGTGCTGCGAACGCGCCGTTCCGTCCACCATTTCCATCTCCATTCCCGCTCGTCAGCCAAAGGATGGGGCCTTGTCGGCGCTGCTCTCATCGCGCCGTGATTCGCTGGATGATGGATTGCGTTCACTTTTGATGTATCTGCCACTTTCGGCTCCAAGTTGAATGCTCACGTCGGCGGGGCGCTGCCTAATTGCCCAGCCCGTCCCGATATCCCGATCTCCAGCCCGGTCCCAATCTCGATCCCGATTCCGATCCCCCCGGCACCCCTCCGCCATTTCCATTTCCGTTAAGGCCGCTGGCGAAAAGAGTTGGTCGGACTTTCGCTTTTGCCGCCTCCTCGGGTTTTTCCGCGCTCCTCGGCCGCCGACGGCTTCTAGCATCCTGCCCAGTTTGTGGCCAGGAGACGCATCCTTTGGCTGCTTTTGGCAGGCATAATTGGCGTCTGGGGCGGGTCCGCGGGCCCGAGACTTGTGTCCAACATGTGCCCGGCACATTCTGCTCCGAAGAAAGCCTGCAACTAAAGCCGCCAAGGAACGAACCCTTCAAAAGGGATTGGGAATTGGCTCTGGGGCATTTGGACCTTTTGGGGACCAGCGCTAACGGTACTCCAACTTAGACATTTGTTTAATTGCCAGTTGCAGGGCAACTTCATCGGAATTGCGAACCTCGCAAGGCACAGGCAACATGCCACCAAATCGCGGAGGTGAATCACAGAGGCAGGCAAACAAGAGCCAACTGAGTCCGCGGCTCCAGTAGGTGAGAGGTGTAACTATCTGCTAAATGGCCAAACTATTTTCACCCTCATTCACTAATTGATGGCCGCAGTCATAATGACTACAAACTGAGCCAACCCATTAACTCGAATTCAGCCAGATTTCATCAATGAATTTCATAGAGTTCTTCTACACTCGTTAGTCTTGGCCTACGAGGTATAATGAATTCATGTTAGTGCAATTTAAGTAGCTTCGTGTTGACCCCATATAGAAGGTGTATTTATGATCGGCAAACAGGCAAGATTTTGCGGCCTTATCCGTCTGTTATTGTGAAAACCTTGCCAGCCATAATTGAAATGTTTTAACATCTTGAGGCAACAACTTTATCATATCACTGATACCTATGATGTGATATACACTTCCTGTGCTGCTCAACAGCCAAATTACAGTGACAGTAGTTACAGGGTATTAAAAGGGCTACACCTAAATTATGACTTACTCGCATTTGATTTTCAGGGAAATACAATTCGAATCAAATACTAGCTGATCGCTCGTTTTATTTAATTGTGATGCTTGCTTGACACCTTCTCTAAGCTTTTGTTCTGAGCTGAAGAGCCGCCTGGACAACTCCATCGCACTCACCCCATTCAGAGATCCCAAGGCGGATTCTACGCACCCGAAGACCACGAAATACGCAGATCACGAAACCAACTTGCGACCCGCGGCCATTTCGCTTCGATCTCGACTCTCCGTCGGGCTCTGCCTTTGAGCCAGAACCAAAGCCATTGACAAATGATTGGCAACCAGGGGGTCGGGGACGGGACGGGCGGCCTGGAACGGCAGCAAAAGTCATCAATTAAAAGTGCTAATGGCTATCATAATGATATGTTAATATCACTCGCAGCTATGGCCATTCTGCTTTTGTTTTTGCGCTCTGGCTAACTGCGTTTTAGTTCAGTTAGCCCGGCCGAAAGAGCCGCAGAAAAAGGTAACACACAGCGGAACTCCGGGCCAGAAAGAATGTTGTTGCATGATTAATTATGGCCCGGCGACTTTTTGGCGGCCTCTCGACAGTCGCAGTCAAAACATATTTCCCAGCTTGCTTCATTAGCGCATTTCTTCCTTGGTGGCAAAAAGCCGAGGGTCTAGGGCTCTTCATATATTGTATGTCAAATTAATTAAGTTTTCTGGCACAACCGTTCTGTTCTGTTCTGTTGCGAGGGGTCAACGGAGCAGGTGACCGCTGACCGCTGATCGCGGATCGGAGCATCTGCCGAATCCCCGGCTGCCTTCTCCCCAAGTTCCAATGGATCGGCCCTGATTTATAAGCTCAATCAAACTCATGAATATGCACATCATTGGCAGGCAGCGCCCGCGGCACTAGGATATCTGATTTATGGCCTACATCGGGATCGGATCGGGATGGGGATAAGCAGATCCAGAAACAGCCGGGGATTCGCGGGTATGCAAAGGTTCCTCGCCATTTCCAGATTGATACGTGCTGGAATTCCCTCGGCGCAAAGAGTCGCAACTCGTAATTCTCCCTCGGTTGTCAGAGGTGATATATGCGTCTGCCCGGATCAGGGGTCGTCTTCGTGCGTAGGCTAATGGCTAATGATCGGTTGCTGATCGGGGTTAAGAGTTATGGTGAACTCCGCGGCGGATG